AATGGTTAAATGTTGTTACAGAAACTATTTTTGACGTGTATTATAACACGAACGCATGAAGCTAACTTGCATATAGGAATAATTAACGAAGTATTTTTCCGGAAAATTTGAGCCATTTCGTGAAAAAATGGTCAAAATGATGATTAATATCGATCTTGATACTCCATAAGATAATCATTGCGGCATCTTTAAGTATTTTAGGGCTGTTACGCTTTAGAAACCTGTCTGCAGGTCGGACCGCCTTATCGTTGGTTTCGATCAAGATGGCGAATATTTATTAAGTTCACAAAGCTCTCTGCGGCGCAGGATGAGGAGTGCCCAAAAGTTTTATTCTATGTTTAACTTGCTCTATGTAAGTACTTTTAAGCTGCAATAGACTTGACTCTAGATCAGGTCCCACGTAAGAGAAAATAGCTTTCAACTGCATGTACCTCACTCCTCCCAAATTTCAATGCTCACGATAAGGTATTTTGGAAATTTCATAACTAGGTAAAAATTCTATAGAATGCAATTGTTTTACCTTTGAAGTACTGAAATAAAGTCATTCTTAAATATGTAAAGTAATCAGCTTTCTAGATTCGGAAATAAGGATTTAATAGCGTTCGATATTTATAGCTTAATTATAGGGGTCACAGAAGGCAAATTGGGCAGTTTTGGGGTGACCTTTAAAATTGTCTCGTAAAAAATAAAAAGAATGAAAATGATTAAAATAAATGTGATATTTGTACATGGGATAGAATTGTCGACTTTCACGGAAAAACTTAGGGAAATCGGTGAAGGGCCGGAATTTGCCTCATCCGTTCTTACGCGGACAGCCTCTTAATATTATTTATATTTTTTCACAGGCGTCTTGTGGATGTAATTTTCTCGTTGTTGCCGCCGTCCCCATTTCGAAACTTCCAGCTGTTGAAGGTAATTCCTTCGTTACTAAGCACTAGACCTAACGCAAGGTGCGTGATATTAGAATATAAAATTTGTTGCGGAAATTGTTCAGGGTGAGGAAGAAAGAGTTGTCCCAACCCACTAAAAACTACCGGATGATTCTCAATCTCGTGTTTGTGAACCCACCACATTTTTATATTATATATCCGAACTTTGGAATGAAACATGGAAATATTTCATTTGTTTTATAACAAGTAAATAAAAGAACCAACTTTGAGGACACAATTTTTCCACTGTGAATTACTTGAAGCCAAGAATAACCGTTGATCCTGTAGTTTGATCGTTCAAGTGAAGATGATCTAAAAAAGACTTGCGCGCAAATGACTGAAAATATATCTGCACATCTAAACTCACTTTTTATTTACCTTAATCACATTAACATCTTCATGTGGTAAAGTAAGAGGCTGTCACTCTTTTTCCATAATGCTTTCCTAACACTGTTCATCGGGATAATCTTCATACTGCGAATTGAATGTGTTCCTGGCAAAACATCTAGCTGCAGCACTGTCACATCGGCAGATGGCAAGTTCTCATGCATTATTGCTTGGTTTACTAGCTGAAACATTGGGACAAAATTTAAATCAAAGATCATTGACAACATTAGCAACAATTTCTCAATAGTTTTTGGGGAAAAACTCGTATTTATTTGATGAATTAACTAGCCTGCGAGCTGAATGACAACGATTCATATCCTGCCAAACTAGAATGACTCTACAGGCAGCCAAGACTCATATCATGACAAAAATTTGCAAAATCTTTTAACTCTGGCGTTAGAAAACAACTTACAATTTGCAAAGAAAGAAGGAAAGGAGGTAAAATGTATTATTCCATACCACATCCGCTGCATCCAACCAGTGAGTAAACTTCATAGTAAACATCATCGCTATAGGGACAGATTTTGGAGCTTATAATGCGATCGTAACAAGCATCATGTTCCCGACAGCACCTGCAAGACAGAGTTTTTTTACAAACATTGATCTCAAACATTTATCTACCCTTGAATCAATCAAATTTGGAAACTGATCATGTTCCTTGGAATTTGTATAGGTAATAGCATGATTTCGTGTGCAATCTGGTGTAATTAAGCACGAAAAAATAAAAGGGATCTGCTTTCGGGCTTCTACTACGGGGGCTTAAAGAGAAAGGAAAGTTCAAGATCTAACCATAAAAGTGTCCGCAGCCGCTTAAGGGAATGTACAATTAGATGGTAACATGGCAGTGCTGACAGGCATTGTAAAGGCGGTTATTACAATAGCTAACCGCTCACGAGAGCTGCTAAGAAAGTTTCTATTTTATCAACTTTTTACTTATCGAAAGTAACTTACCTGTCAACCCCGTCCACAGGTGGACGGGGTTGACAGGTAAGTTACATCATCTCTATTTTAACTACCATTCACTCGCTCAAAAATTGTTTTAGTTTATGGAAGACCTTGCCGTATTTACAGCCCTAAATCATTCGGGTTCTTTCGGAAAGAATTTCGTCAAGTTTAAAGAAATAAATATGTTATTTACCGGCTAAGGGTCGGTCGATATCAGTCTTGAAATGCTGCCCTCGGCCTACGGCCTCAGGTAGTATTTTCGAGACCTCGGTCACAGTTTTTCACCATACGAACCTCCCAGCCGGCAAATAACATATATGTATTTTACAGGCGAAGAAAATTATATTTTGAAATATCAACTCTTATTTCATCAGTTGAGGGATTACTGATCCCAATTGAGGGGTATTTGTTTGGCTAATTATTTTTCAGAAAAGATAAAAACTTCCTCTGGGAGGATTGGGCCACTGATGCATCGCCGATCGACTGCGGGAAGTGAGGTGATCCTGATTGCAGATCAGCAACGAACCACATGTGTGCCTGCGGTAGAACATTTTAAAAATTCGCCTGAGTTTCGTCGTAGTCATTATGAAAATTACTCACATGCCTCTTGTCTTAATTTTCAGATTTCATTCCTGTTCTTTGAAGAGTCAGCGCTAAATTTATCATTTTCCTCGTGTAAACAGAGTGACTATAGATAAATAACGACCCATCTCACGTTAACGCCTCCAACCGTCTTGTGGAAGTTGTGGAAACAAAATAGTCAGAGATATTAAATCAATCAGTAGAAAAATGGTTAGTAACAATTCCTGTATCTTAAAACTGGATCAGGAAAAAGGAAAGGGAATGTGACTTCAGTTAAATTAAATCATGTTGGTCAAGTTTACGCTGCATTTTAATAGCAACATATGCTTGTTTCGTCGACTGATTTTTGATTTTACAAACAAGCTGATTGACATTTGATTTTAGCCTTGATTGACAGCCGATGGTGCAATCGTTTTAGTAAGTTTACCTTGAGATCAAGTGACACGTTCTTCAGTCGTGAAAGAGAAAGTACTGTTCCTCGCTAGCTAACCTGTAGTTTTTCTGCTGATCCGTTTCTTTCCCGTTTCGCTGACCTGTTCTGTAGTAATTTCTGACTGGATAACGCCACAGAAATAAGTAATTTGTTTTGTAATCAGTTTAATATTCAGTATATTGTAATTTCGTATTTTCCGCATGTAATTTTATGAATCGCTCGCTGTTAGATTTCTTAAGAATTATGTATTGTCTCTTACAGATCGAATAAAATCAAAGATAGAAATATACGTTTCGTGTCCAGTCAATTACTCGATAGCCACTTAATCCCCGGACCAGTGATATCATTGAATGTTGATGGTGCATTTACTACAATGCAAATATTGCCTTCAACAACTGATAATCCCAGGGCGTTAAAATGAGCAAGAAGAGGAAGAAGTAGGTAACATCCATGGCGGAAAATCAGTAAAGAAAATTCAAAGGATACCTTCCTCTATCTTAAAACAGGATTGGGAGAAAAGCCGCAAAGGGAATGTGACTTCAGCTATTAAATCATGCTGGTTTTACGCTGCATTTTGACAGCAGCATATAATATCATTGAATATTGATGGTACATTTACTACGATGCAAATATTACCTTCAACAACTGATAACCCCAGGGCGTGAAAATGAGCAAGGAGGAGAAGAAGTAGGTAACGTCCAGGGCGAAAAACCTGCAAAGAAAATGCAAAGGTTAAAGAGAATATTATGCGAACAGGGTAAAACATCACTTAACATTGGTTGAGCTCGTGATATTTTGATAGCATTTGCTCCTTTGTCCCACGACGTCTAGCGTGGAATTTTAGACTGATTCAACCCAGAAATCACGTTCCTGCATACTAGATTACGGTATGCTTGAAAAAGAGAAGAGCTGGTATTGCCACACTACGTCTCGTGTTTCTTCCTACATTTCTTTCGTACTCTAGCCGCTTCCTGCGTGCTTTACAACGGAACAGAGCACAGTCAAGGCTTCTCTATATTGGTTAATTAAACAGCACTTCCTCAAAAATAACAGATCACGTAGGAACACCAACTTAGTTTCCGAGAAGGTGTGAAAATAAAAGGTCTGTTTAAGCTTCTCTCTCAGCCAAAAAGGAAAATAGACAGAAGGGATTCTTGTAACGTATCTTACAAACATTCGACCGGCAAATTTCACCCCATTTGATGTTGTTGTCATGAAATCAAGTTTACATTGTTCAACTGAGTATTTCGCTCCCATGCCCTGCTACGCGCATAATTGTTTTAAGAGCAGCTTTAGTCAAACGAAAAGTATACAGCTGATCTGACTTCATATCTTATTAAGTGTAAAATGTACCGAGAAAATCCAGTTGTAGAATTTAGACAAAAGTGGGACATAACATTTAATATGGATTCCCGGAACGTGAGACCCAGATTTCCTTATACTTCCAAAAATCATCGGAAGTAATGTTTGAAAACAACGGTCGAATGCAAACAAGTAGTGGAAGATGAACAACACAGGTAGTCCAAATAAGTCAGTTACCGAACTCACAGATCTCATCGTTAAATTTCGAGAGTCTGACACATGGATCGAAGTTATATTAGGGGAACATGGAGGGAGGTTAAAGTTTTTATTATAGATCAGTTACAGCGCAGCAGTTACACCTCGGCTGTCACTTGATTTCAGCTCTTGAACAATTTTCTTTGCATCTCTGTGTGAGTAGCGACCACATTATTTCAAGACATATATTAAGTTAAAGAGACGTTTAGTTAGCCGAAGGGATATCCAGCATTATTTAACGCAGAATTATTGCTACCTTTCGAAATGCACGATCCTATTGCGGTGAAATACAGCTCAACCAGTGTTATTTTCCCAATCCGGTAGCACTCGACGCAAAGTTTAAGCAGTGAACAATAACGGTCATTACCTTTTATTTGAACATGATTTCAGACATATATCAACTTATGAAGCACAGTTCATGGTACGGTCATGAAAAATTGTATTCAAGCGTTCCAATCATAATCAAAGTCGATGTACTATAATTATTTAATTAGTTGTTCTTGAGCATGCATGCATCAATGCGTTTTCTTCTCGACTTGTAAATGAGTTGTCAATCACGGTTAGCAAGTTTCTGATACGGAATCGAATGAATATAGTTTTTCCAATCTTGATTATTTCCTCAATAGAAACCTTCCTCGATTGAAATTTTTTTACATTCGACCCCCAGATTTTCTCGGTACATTTCGTACGTAAAGTCGATAAGATTTAAGTTAGCTCAAGTTTACGGTTGACCTTTGCTACTATGAAAGAAAGAAAAAAAAAAAAAGAACGAGCGTTACGGGAGATATTACTTTGACACTGATAAGCATTTATCGAAAACGTGATACATCACATAAAACGTGCTCGTGGAATTATTTTTAAGATTACGTTTCAAGATTCCTTTCAGTTCACCTTCCTTTACATGTGAAAGTCGGAGTTGACTTAGCATATTACAACATGTCAGGAACTTTGTGAACGTTCCTACGTGATCTTCAATGTTTGAGGAAGTACACTGCTTCAGGATTAAGAGGATGATCATTCAAATGCAGTTAAAAATAAACGAAGCAAGAGTAAATTTTTTGAGAAATCAATTGATTACTCGTGAAAATATGCGTTAACCTCAAGGTTTTCCGCTGAGTTTCTGCTTTTACATTGCGAATTGTTCCTTCTCAGCGAGATTTTGCATTTGGTGTAGATGAGAAAGAATTGATTTTTCAGAGAAGCAAAATGGCATGAGCATGCACGGCAATTTGTAGTTTAAAAAGGTTTCTAGTGCTTCACTTATCAATAATACAATACGTGATGAAAAGGAAGACAGAAAAACAAACATGTGAAGATTTGAAAGAACGGGCTTTAATTTCACATACAAAGCTTATTCAATTGATTGATTGAAACAGATCACAATATTTGTCTAATTCAAAGTTTTGATAGACTATTATTTAAAGTGATCCAACTGTTACTTAGCAGGCCCGTTTGTAATTTATACTTGTGTTACAAATTTGCATCCGTGTCACATGAGAATCACACTCATTTCTAGCCAATCAGAACTTAGTAATGTTTTTACCTATGTTTTAACTTTTGAGTTAAATGTACATATTCTGTATGGAGGGTACAAATGATGCGAATTGCCCGCATGAAGTGATAGTAATTTCTAACGGATATGATCATTAATTAATTCTGACTAAAGCCCTTCTGATAGAACCAGTTAGTCTCTTCTCAGTAACTCTGTTATTGTACATGGCTCTCTCTGTTGCAAAACGTTTCCTTTTAAAATCATCGCCTTGGCAGGGACAGCATAACAGCAAAGTAGGAAATGATTACCCCGACAATCTGGAACGAGAAATATCATGCCATAAGCAAAGAAAAAACGAGAAATAGCTTGTGATCAGAACAGAAGACGACAAAATGTTATGGAAGTAAATGCATTATTCGCTGTTAACAACTTATTTTAGCTGTTTTTTTTTTCAGTGAGAAGAGTAAGCTGCTTTTATTTCACAAGTAAAAGAAACCGTCACGTGAGGTAGAGCAGAGAACTTACTGTTAGAGACATTGATTTGTTGATCACTGCCAGTCCGCCAACAGAAAGACCCTTTGATTCGCCTTGAAGTTCCAGCATAAACATCACCAACTAAAATATAAGTCCAAAAGTTTGTCACTTTAAGGGTGTTACTAAACTATGGATCAGCAGACTGCGAACTTCTAGAACCTCTGGAACCAGCGGAACCTGCGAAACCATTAGCTTTTTGTAAAAAAAAAAATTAATACTAATGAAATAAAATAAAAACTAAAAATACCTTAACACTTTTCGAAATTTCGTTTTCGGGTATAAAGAAGATAAAGTTGAAAGAGAATTTTTTTTTTTTCAATCTAGTCAACCACAGGAAACTCACAGGAAACCCAAGCTCACACAGTGAGCCTCTGTGAATATGCAAATATGTTAGCGTTGCGCAATGGGTGAAATATAAGGATTTGAATGAAAATGAACATTCGCGATCTCAACCTTTAAAATATCTGTAGTAGTTTTGAATAAGGATAAATTCACCTCACTCAAATAGTTGTTCTTTTGCATTGAGGGTTTGTTTTTAGTTTATCTGCTTAGTCCTCTACATAATCTTTCCAAGATGTGTCTGTGAGTAACGCCAACCAACGAATCCACTGGAGACAAAACGCTGTGAATCGCGAGTTCGGACGCCCCGAACAACCCGAATTTCTACAGGCATATAACCAAAGTCAAGCGTAATTGTGTTCATCATTTGATTGAAAACATCCAAACGTTTAGGTACTAACTGAACACGAGGAGGAAAATATATACCTTAACGGTGCATTGCTTAACAGGCGAAAAATAAAGACGCTGTTTCGTAAAAAGTGGACATAAAAATTGATCTAAAGGACTAAAGTTATACACAAAACCTGAAAAAATTACTCGACATAATTACGTAACATCACGCAACGGTACAAACATCAACCGCAAGTACACGATACGACTAATGAAACGTAAAAACACTCACAGGTAACTAACTCGTAAAAAATACACACAGAAAACAATATGACAATAAGTTTCGCGATAATAATGCATCTCAGGCGATGATGTTACTTTACGATCGTGATCTCATTCCAGCGTCATGTTCAATGAAAAACAATTAAAGGCCGCCAATTCCAGCGTAAAGGAGGTGTTACTCGATATCGCGGTACCCAAACTTCTTTCAAATTATGGTTCAATTATTAACACACGGGGGGAAGGTGAGTGCTGATTGTACCTTGTGACATTACATACCCTTGTATAGTGAATGCCGCCACAGTTAAAGTTGGACGTCAAGGACATTTAAAACATATTTTCCTTTTCTAGTAATCTTTATACCCGAAAACAAAACTTAAAACAGTGTTAAGGTCCTTTCAGTTTTATCTTTTATTTCATTACTATTCTTTACCACAAATATCAGGTTCCGGAGGTTCCGCCGTCTACTGTCCAAAGTTTAATAACACCCTCACTTGAAAGCTCCATGCCTTACTTATCAAATTTACTTACTCTATTATTTGTTATATGTGGCATGCATAGATCACATCTATGATGAACAGGTCGGTTTAGAAACTACAGGCAAGCAGGGGCGTACAGAGAGACTGACAGATAGCTGAGGGGAGACGCACCGACAGCAAAACGACTCGTGATTGATTATTTTAGGTATGAATCACCTTTACTTCCTCGTCTTTTGAAATTGGAAATGCCTCCAAGTCCTTTTGAAAGCTGTGAATCTGGAATAAATTAGGTAAACAAAGAGATGAGAAATGATAAAAGATCGAGATCAAGTCTTAAGGTTAGACATAGAATAAACATTGATATGCAGTTTTGGTGGTGAATTTTGGGTGAAGCTGTGACGCAGGTAATTTATGCAAAAATTAGAAAAAAACGTTCTACTACTACTGCTCTAACTTTACTCCAGGTTAAAACTCGCAAATCTCCATCATGAATTATTTTACCTGTTCATTGACCTTTGACCCAAACACCATGATGATTGCCAGGGTACAAACAGCAAACAGAAAAAAAATGAGGGTACTGATATGAGACACAAATTTATGCCCTGGAGATGAGTTAACCACCAGATAAAAGTTAAAGCAAATTAGAGGAAGATATACAGAAACCATCCCAAACAAAGGAAGGCGAAGCATCTTGTCCGCGAACTCGACCACCTCACAAAGCTTACGATGCTCCATTCTAAAAGCTGTTAGATTCAAAGTAAATGGACGCAGGGGCGATATTCTTTGGTGTAAATCTTCTAATAATGCTTCTAGAATACAGCAAGTGATGCAGTAAAAAAGAACTGGTAGGAACCACGGTCCACAACCAACAATGAGGAAAATTACAGAAACTATTTCAAATCCAAGCCACTGACTCCAAGGCTCACTGTAAGCCACGTTTATTTTCAGCAGAAGAGACGTCATCAAGATGCCGGCTGTGGAGAAAATGGAGACGAATCCAAACACAATGATGCCTCTGGTTGACTTAGTTTTTACTTTTTCTAAACTGACAGTGGTGTTCATGGAACATAACTTCATCAGCAAATAGCCAAATCGGGACTTTCTTGTGTCGTTAAAGGGAACACAAAGTACAAAAAGACAAAGTGTTGCGTTGAGTGCTATTAACACGCACCATAAGCTGAACAAGATGAACCTGTACATATCATCTCCATAAAAAATAGCAACAATGGCCATCACAACATTAATCCAAAACCCAGCCATCATCACACAACAGTTAATAATCGCAAGAATACTTGGCTGTCTGTAATGACCAGATGTATGAGCCAATCGTTTCAAACTTGTATCTCCAAGGTACAAGCCGAACAACCTCAAAAGTTTTAACACTAGACTGTATATTTCGTCAATATTTTTCAGCAGTGGTTTGCTGACATTTTCCTGGTCTTTAGCTGGATCGTCCGTCGAAACATCGGTAGGTTGCACTGAACCTGAGGCAATCATGTCGTCAAACCTAAACACAAGAGCTACTGTAAGCTTCACTCTGAAAGTCACGCTTCCGAGCAGTTTTGATAAAATTCAAAACTAACCACTAATTTTAAGTCACAAACCTGAAACCTCATTATTTCTATTTACTCTTCCAGTATTTGAAAAAAATAATTGCTTTTTTCAATATAATTGGGTTTGTAGACTGATAGAAATTGATAATGTAGTTCTTTGGTTGGTAAACGTTTTACTAATAGCAGTAGGCTCCACTGGCTTTTTATGAAAAACAAAAGGCTTATTTAATTACCACATTTCCCTTTTTTCAAAAAAGGAAACGAAGATTCATTTGCCGGTTTAGCCTTTGAAAAATAATTTTTTAAAAAAAGCGTTTCACTCAATTCAATTAGTTTCTATTCTTTGAAAAAAGCGATGAGGTTTCATTTAATTGTTCAGTCTTTAAAAAATGATTGGTTTTTTTTATCAAGAAAGCCGATGAAATGTTTGATCAAATAACTGCATTCATATTTGAAATAAAATTGCCGCAAACTACCAGAAAATTAGGAAATAAAATCTAATGAAAGGAAAAATCCATATGTTAGTTTTGAGGAGATGAAGACCATCATTCGTTTTTCAGAAGAAATGATTATCTTAGGCCTCTATGCACGATATTTACGGTAATTCAATTATTATTCAATATTCAACGCAGGAGACCTGGCAACACTGTGTACTGGTTTTTGAGGCTGCATGTCAAATGAAGACACTTTCCTGTCCACTTGTTACTGCTATCAATTAGGTAAAAGTCAATCTAAATTAATGAGACCTTGAAAAGGGGGAAATAGTTTTTATTGTGTGGTCGTCAAATAGGTGAAACATTTCAATTTTATTCGGACACAAAACAATGGGTTGTAAAAGCGTGGTGATATAGAATTTCATGGAAGCGTGGGAGTTGACGGATTTTTTCACCCTGTCGTTGTCATGGGTCACGCAATATTATTAAAATGTTGTACGACTAAGATGTAAAAATTTGCCAGATTGACGAGGAACCCGTTTATCCAAAGATGAAACATTGTCGCAAACTAATTTCTGTATTTCTGATTACAGCGTGAAAGCGGTCGTAATATCAAGATATCTTTTCCCTCTGTGAACTATACTTTAGACGTAAAAATAGCATGAAATCCCTCAAAACCTGGAAACAGTGCCATCACCATTTCTTTCGTAAGAATTCGCCACGATGTTTCTCTTTCTGGATACATTCTTCGTAAATGGCGAGGAGCCACGAAAGCTTCACAGCGAGACATATTCATGGGAGATGCATTTATGGTAGGCCTAATGAAAATGATCCATCGGGAATTCTCCAAAAAATTTCTATAAATCTTATTTTTGCCTTCAAAAACATCTCGAAATTTTTCTCTAAAAATCTGGATTAATCTCAACATTCTATCCAAATAATCATAAATTTGCATAAAGTTTGAGAGTCTTGCGGTAAAATTGCGTGGAACCACCTTCAAACTGAATCGAAGTGATCATTTATTGCCACCAAGAGATGACAATCTACCACACAATGTAAGAGATTTTTCAGTTTCTCCTCCCTACATAGCTCTCTTTTAAACAAACCATAACAACAGAAGACAGTTCGGAGAGTAACATTTTCAGGGAGCCCACCTGGAAGCAATAGAAGGAGAACCATGTAAATTTGCTTTTGTGCTATCGGCTGTATATTTCTCTAAATTATCGTCTACAAACCCTAAATGTTCTGAAAAAACTTAAAATTTCTAAAAAATCCCCTTTGACTCTAAAAACCCTAAAAACCCTAAAAAACCCCGGATTTTGTATCTAGCCCTAATTCATGTTGGTTGTATGCTTGTTGAATATACATGGAATGTTAAGTGTTCATGATCATTAAACAAGCTTTTATTTTAAATCGAAAGTGATAGCCGTGTACCAGACATATTTCTTCTGTCGGTAAGGACCAAATCAATAACTGAGAATTTTGTGAATTGAAAATTACGCCCATTGTTTGTTTTTGTAGTGTTTCAACGCATTTCGAGCCGAGTGCCAACGCACTTTACGATTTTTATTCGGAGATTGTCGATCCTTTATTTTTATTCATTAAAATAATTGACTTTTCTTCTCAGTAAAGGCCTATTGTATTTATACAATAAACAAAATAACACATGGTTGTTTGTGGATATGAATTCTTTCTTCTCGTGTTCAACTCAACATCTCACTCGTTCGCTGCGCTCACTCGTGAGCTATCGAGTTAAACACTTAAAGAGAAATTCCATATCCACGCGCGCCTATGTATTATTCTCTATTTATCATATCCTTCAGTTATTTAGTGCGTGCACTATGAAAGTAGTCTCGTTGCCAGGTCCTATTGTGTAACTGTAAATGAGATGACAACCGCTTGGCCGTAGAAGATCTGGGTACGAGACTACATCGGAAAGCCCGATAAATTCCGCAAGGCTTGATTTTGATCGCCAAAAGCGAGATAACAAATATTCCACTAACCTCGTTTTCTCTGATCGCACTGCAAGTTACGGAACCTATCTTCCTCGAGCGGATTCATGATGGCCCCCGCACTTAGCGTATGGGCCACAAATCCGATCGGAAAAAAGTCGGTTCGTAATTTACAGTTTGGACCTCGAACACGGTTAACAAGAGGTATGGAACACTACACGCTGCTGACTAACAGATGATTTTTCCCTTCCTTTAAAGTAGACTTAATGGGATTTCGAGACGCTAATACCAGATTATATTGTCGCTAATAGAGCGAAAGCATACGCCCTTGAAAGTTTTGGGGTTTTTTTTGTTGTACTGTGGGATGATTCTGTAAGAAAAATCAAATTTTAAGCAATGATCAGTAGGCTGATCAGGGGTAGTCAACTTTAAGGTCAATACTTAGACAGATAAAATCCAATCGTTAGCTGTCTCTCTGCTCATTTAATGCACATAAATGACAGTAAGAGCAGCTAAATTTTGACGACGGTTTGGTAAAGTTCCAAGGGCTCCTCAATTAATTTAGAAACATAAGAACAAACGTGCAAACAATTTATTTGAAAGCAAAGTCAAGAAAATTACAAAGCTTTATTTCTCAAACTTCTTAACTCTTTGTCTGAAAATTAAGGTAAACTGGCTCTGACACTCCCATGATCAAAAAGTAATTTTGCAGATGACCCAAGTTTTGGGGCGACAACGAAACAAACAAAACAGACAAAGAATACAGGCCTTTTGGACATCATTCCTGAAATCAAACAAACTCTTAGATTATCATTGTTTTATATTGTCACTTGCAGCACTCATTCTCACAATCTTCACCATCATTCTCATAACACTCGTCCATACAATTTTCATCTCTCTGCCCATGAGCACACGGATCGTTGAAGATCTTTTTGAAGATTCGTCTAGCAATGTTTTCTACAAGACAAAAAAATCTCATTTTTAGATCCCAATTAGGGAGTGTCTTAATTATTTTCCCTTTAGATGTAAACGCAATCGTTCCGACAAATTCACAGCTTACAACTAACAAGACATCAAATGCGGCGTCCATTCCAATTTAGTACGATGAATGTTGTTAAATAAGCTTGTATCTTTTTTCAAATAGGCAGCCATAAATCTTATCGTAAAGCCTGTTCCAAGGTATAATTGATATTGAATATACGTTGGGGGCTTGTGTTGTGCAAGTAGAGAAGTCCACACAGAAGTTTCAATCAATATAATACAAAACGTATTGATCTGTATTATTCGTATATACTGTTTAGTCACCAGCTTAATTTCAAACGGGGTAAGATTTTGTTTCTTTATGTAAATCTTTTCAGGAGTTATTATGGGATTTAAAGTATGATTTTATTGGCTCAGAGCCGATTCTATGGCTTCGTCACTTACCGTCATCGACAGAATTTGACGTAACCGATAAAATCATAACTGCCAAAATGATGGCTAGGTACGCAGACTTCATGCTGATAATTGGGTCAAACAAATCTTCAAACAAACCCTGAAATATGCAAGGAATTATAAATTATGAGATGACCATCGATTGAGCGCACATCATCTGAGAGAGAACACAAAAGAGAAATATACGTATGCAACGAAATTCTAGGTCTTGTTTTGTTAAGGTTGAATCAAAGTCGTATGTTAGCATAGATTTCAAAGCTGTGAAATATCATAAAGAAAAGCCTGTATGGGTCCAATTCACCATCTCTCACCCAATTTTTTTTAGTGGATATCAATAGACAAAATGTTCGTCTAATAAATACGATGCCTTCATTTTGTTCACATATTCGAACAAAAGAGACCATTCCGGCTCCAAAGGATAGGAGGGATTACTTTTATTATGCAAGATAAAGCTCTAAATGTTGTAATCATAGGTCACTAGGTTACTTTACTGCAAACTTCTTTGAGTGGTATAAGGGCATAACATAATTTTTGCTTAGATCGCCAAAGGGAGACTTCCACTGCAAACTTAATCGTTAAGAGTGAAGGAAAAAACAAAAATTATCGATATTAGGAGACCATACAAGGAGTGACGGAGAAAAAAAATACGGTGATATTGCGAACAAAGCCATTTGATTATTAGTCCAATTGACTGAATATGCACATCAATAACATGTAATTGCTCTCAGAGCTTTTGACGCTGGGAATCGCCGATTTTAAAAGAGCCAAATCCTGGTGTTTTTCTAAGCATCCTGAATACTACGTCATTTGAAGGAACTGAGTTCCAGTGAAAGCACTTACAGGGAATGGAGCAGCGATAGAGTGGACATGCAAAATTTCAGATAAACCACGAGTTCCTTCGGTTTGTTTCATGACAAAAGATTTCTAGTGATTAACCAAGCATGACGACCAATTATGAGACATATGTAAACGTTAGCATTGGAGAGAATAAGGAGGCTCTTCTTGCATTCGTGTTGCTTTTCTTGGGTTAATAAGTTTACTCGATTAGACAACAGGACAGCGAGTGTAACAGTTCATTCTGTTAGGATTCTGCCTCGTCCAGTTAGCTTGAAAATGAAGAAAAAAACAGCAGAGCTATTGGGTTACAGAATGTCATGTCATGTCCAGTTGGAAGATCGGGCACTACCTCTGAGTATGTTTTTTGAATAAATCATGTGCGCGTTAATCCACTTGTTCTCTTCAGGTTGTTTGCTTTACCTGCTTGGTGCCTTTTTAGTTCGTACGTCATGAATTGTATAGTAGCCTCTCAATATCATAATGATGAAAATTACATACACAAGTTTTTAAAACGTTTCAAATAACCAAGAATTCTCTCTTTTATCGCCTTGACTGTTTACCGTGCAAACTGTGTTTAAGTATTAGTAAATACCATTCAGTTACCAATTTCGTTCTAAGACTCTTTTCCTTTTCATGTCTCCTCCATGGAAAGCTTGGATTATTGCTTAGTAAATTTGTCCATCCAAATACACTCTTACCTTTACATCTGACTTTGATCTGTCACTGAAAAACCACTCAAAGAGGTTTGCAGTAAAGTAACCTAGTGACTTATGATTACAACATCCAGAGCTTTATCTTGCATAATAAAAGTAATCCCTCCGATCCTTTAGAACCGGAATGGTCTCTTTTGTTCGAATATGGGAACAAAATGAAGGCATCATATTAATTAGACGAACAGTTTGTCTATCGATATTCACTACAAAAATTGGGCAACGGATGGTGAATTGGAACCATGCAGGCTAGGATCTAACTTCTGCGATGCTCGACAAGATTCCATGGTCATGAACAATGGAAACAAATAGTCGATTTTATCGCGAATAACACCATTTGATCGTTAGCCAGTTAATCCCGAGAATGGTCTAACAATTGATTAAATATGCCAAAAAAAAAAAATAATAAAAAGATCATTAATAGTAACCAAATGCTTTCGGAGCTTTGGAATTTGGTCTTATTGAATTAGAAAATATGAAAGCAAATGATTGATGACTTTGTGGCATTTATGGCAAATCCAATATTCTATGATAAGCACTCAGACCTTTTGAATCCCCGATTCTGGAAAACCCTAATGCCAGTTTTTGTTTTCAAGCGCTTTGATTATTACGCTATTTGAATTAACTGAGTTCCAATGAAAGGACAATAGAGCAGTGATATAATGCGTTAAGCCTTATTACTTAGGCATGCAAAATTTCAGACAGGCCACAAGTTCTTTCTGTTTGTTTCATGACAAAGGGACCAACAGTTTGTCACTTTACGAAATAACTCAGCAAAGCGTTTCTGAAGATTATCCATAAATGACGACCAGTTATATGAGACATTTGTAATCGCCAGTATTGTAGTAAAGTACAGTAAAGTAACCTAATGACTGATGACCACACCCTTGAGAGCTTAATCTCTAATAACAAAAGTAATCCCCGGATCCTTTGGAGCCGGATTGGTCTTTTTTTTGTTCAAATTCAAATCACATATCAAATGAAAGAAGTTCCGTGGAGAAATCTAAATGATATTTTTCACTTTGCCTTTAATTTAACTTTAAGAAAAAAAAGACGGATTCTATCGACTGGCGGACTGGTTGACTAGCCAGCAAATCGACCGTTCAACTTATGGGGAGAATTTGCGAATAAGGAAAAAAAAGAGAATAAAAAAAAAAAAAAAGGAGAGTCATATGCGAGGAAAAAATCCGCGTTAATTCAACTACTTATCAACCCTAATAGAGATATTTCATGACATGTTTATTTCCTTTAGATTTCGTGGCTTTATCAGGCTTTGACTACTTGCAACAGCTATCTTCACAAATTCTATCTGGTTCTCCAAGCTCATCCACACAAAACTCCAAACAGTTCGGGTCACGGCAGGGGTCTCTGGCTACAACATTGAAGAATCGCTCCACGTCATTTTCTATCAAACAAAAGTTCCTCGTTTTAAGTGCGACACAAAACAACATTGGAACCACATGCAAGCTTAATATAAGTGTTGTTTACATCTCTTTGAAACCAGAAAAATTAAGAAGGTCCTGTTTTGGTAGATATCAGTTAATTTCTATGTCTTTAAGCTCTTTTCTTTGACCTTTCAGAAACTTCATTGGAAGTGCAAATTATTCATCGAAGAAACGTCTTCATTAGGGTATGAAATGATCCTCATTGATGAGTAAGTTTTTTAAAAATTCACACTCATAGACAAAGAAACGTTTTCAAGTTCTAAAAATTTCCAATAAATTTCAAACACTGAGACTAAATTTCCAAAATCTGCTGAGTCTCTCGACATTTTCATCTTCCCATTTGAATTTTCTTTTCATTCAGTTCATGATATACACCATTGATTTTGCGCATCTTACCCATTTACTCACCTTGCTCAATAGAACGTGACGTTACCGATACAATCATAACTGCCAAAATGATCAAGTACAAAGTTTTCATGGTTGATATGTAACTGGAAAAAAAAAGAAAAAACTTCAGAACATTACTAAAAGCAGACACATTAGGGCCACAGACCTGACCCAAAGGTTTCGTAACTACACTTTTTCGAAATAACTGAGATCCGACGACGACTCTGATTGGTCGAGAATACTGCCAAGACGAGAGCATGTAAAACGCTTAGGAAGTCTTAGATTCCTGCATAATTCAGGGCAATATTTCGTAAAGCTATGGATGTCTTCTTTCTGTGTTTGTCTCATCTAAACATAAGTATGTTTGGGAGAGCTCTTAAAAAGGTTTAAACGGAGACGCAATAAAAGCGAAAAACCAAAAACAATAACAAAAAAGAGAAAAACCCCAACTTTTCTAGGCAGATAAGTTTAACACTACCTTTACCCGATTGTAACTAGCTACAGCAATTATTTAGGAGCAGCAAGAAAACTTAAAAAAAATGGGTGTTACCGTTTGATTTTCGGCCTACTTCAATCGCGCTTCTTTCACCAGGGTTTAATTACCAAAGCTGGAATTTTTTCGGGTAAAAATCACCAGGATCTGTGAAAAAATAGATTAAAAAGCAAATATCAAGTTAGAGCTTTGAGTCTTTGTACCAACAGTCGTGATGCACGCGGGCACATGAATTAGAAAACAAGCTCAGCGACCCACCACGTATAAAGCTGTTTGAACACGCTCTAAACACCAATATGTCGTCTATCAGCTAGTTTTCTCTCTTTTCTGGGCGTGAGAAACGCTAACGAACAGGTAAACTGATTGAATTACTATGACGTCACGAATCGTGTGACTGGTTCACACTGATAGGTCGACTTTTAATTGGCTTAGGCAGAATGAAATTAGAATGAGAAAAGTAATTAGTGAAATTCATAGAGAGAAAATTGACTGGCTAAAAATAAATATAAAATTGTCGTGTAAAAACGATTGAGTATTGTCTAGGTAAGAAATTACAGTCATTGTCTGCTTGAGAATGAGATGAGAAGCCGCCATATCATGTGGCTTTCTAAGTCACCTTTTAAAACATGGAATGAGCGAAAGACAGCCTTAGGATTTGCCAAGAAAATAAGCAGCGAGTTCATAAACGCCTTGCTACACAGCATTTCGGAGGAAGGTAAAAAAGAAAGCACCCCTTGGCACCCGGGAGACCGTCACACGAGGAAACCTTCACGATCGATCACAAGCTTAATCCCGTCAAGTTTTTACTTACTTTTCTTTCCCGGTGAAAATAGATTCAAAGATACATTTCTCTAGAATTTCAACTTGGTATTTTCTATTCTTTACGCGTATTTTGACACTACATATTTATTAAACGTGGAGCACTTTTCCTTTGCCGAATCCTTTCTTTGAGGCCGGTGAATGACACTGACAAAAGTTCAAGGTCTCCCGTCTCTTCTTAGAGCGTTTGCACGTCAAAATGAGCGATTCCCTGTTAATTCCATCGCCGTTGTACACTTGTGCTTCCAGGAATGTAATTTTTGGGGCTGATATTTCAGCCGTGAATTTGGTTGTATTGTGGCAGCCTTACAAATTCTTCTGTTTTGTCTTTGGTTGTGCTCCACACACAGAAAACGTTGTCATAATACCTCTTCCGAACTAGCGCTGTAGTTGCGCTCTGGGCGGTAAATTCCTTTCCATTTGTATTTTTAACATGAGTATATTGGCAAGAGCAACCGTTTTGGTTTTTAATGCCGTTCCGTAAGTTTGTGAGGAACAACAATGAGTTTCCAGAAAACAACAAAAACAAGTGCGCGCAAAGCACACTGGTTAAACGTAGCTCTTCAGGAAGTAAGGAAATCATCTTCTGTTAATCTGCAGTTCGAAAAGAGATTTTCATGTTCACTGTCGTTCACTAAATATAATAACTAATCAAAAGGTTGAACGCTTATCGTTAACATTTCTTGACTATTCCCATTCGGCTTAACCTTCCCTTTTTTTAAAACAAACTATGAATCTTTGGAAACAATCGTTTAGGATTGATTTTATTAATAGCTCAAATGGGTGTAAAAGCAATAATCTTAATCCGTAAATCGAGTTTGACCTTTTTCTCGCTTCCTTTGGCTTCTCACAAGTGCTAGCATCTTTCTTACAAGACAACTAAGAGTTAGAGCGATGAAACCTCAATTTCCTTCAATAATTACACAAGTCAGTTATCGGACAAATCACACTCAGAATCATTGTGGGAAATACGTCACGATATCTATTTAACAGATAGATTCCATGATACCGTGCGTCTGTTCTGTAATAATAGATCAGAGATGACGTAAAAATGTGGTAAAAACGAGAAAGTGGCTCACGAGACAAAGCTGCCTGTGTCACTGATCTTTTTTGCCACATTATGACATCTTTTGTGATCTATCACTTTTCAGAATTGCGGCAAAATGGAATATATTTGTTTCCACAGAATAGAATGAAGAAGTTTAAAGATGGAGATGATTATCAGGGATCAAAAAGAAAACGAAACAACGATGGTAACACTAAAAAAGAAACCCACACCGTTTGTAACTTACAAATTAAACACTAGTTCATCTTGTTTCTTCCTCGTAACAATTTTCAGTTTTGCAACCTTCTGAGAACAACTGATGCGTTCAGGTACGTAATAATTTGCTAGGAAAGATAGCCACTGGTTAAGAAGTAATTAGGCCAGGTGTCTCTCGCATCAATTAAGGTGTTACCTACTTTAAAACTGACAAAGCTCCTACAGGGAGTGAGAAAGAGTTTGTAAAACGCCATGTGACCGTAACTGGGGTCATGGTTCTAACGACTTATACAATACAAAATAACAAAATTTCTTCATGGTATTGTGTCTAACACTTCTGTTACGGTCATGTGACGGTACGTCAGTTCAGTGTCGACCTCTTCTATCACGATCACGTGGCGATCTATCGCGGCGTGGCGGTGAACGGGATCTATCCCGGCGTGGAGGGGATCTGGATCGGCGACGGGGTGGAGACCTGGATCGAGAACGACGAGTGTATGGAGGCGAGGGCGAACGAGACCTAAAATCCAAAACAAAATCGTTGATTTCTTATTTTAACTTGGATCCATATATTACTCCTAGGGGTAACCCTTTAACTACGAGGGAAAAATGACGATCACGCACACTCACGTTCAAAGTTTTTTTACGAGCGTGAGACATAAAAATATTCTAAGCTTCCTCAAGGATACACCTGATTTAAAGCTTTCCGTGCTTGCAAGACTGGTCTGTAGAAGAGATGGAGAATCCGCGCTCTCTGACAACGGTATAAATTGGGCAAAACCAATACAACTGCAGGATACTTATAGAACCTCTAGCGTAACATAGAGTGTCCCAGGACCTAGGTATTGCACAATCTTAATATTCTACTGTGATCTGAGCTTTTTTCAATTCATAAAAGGTTCTTCGTTCTAAGTAATAAAAAAATCTAAAATATCAAAGTAATCTGACAATATTTAGGTTAATGGACAGCTTTGTCTACTAACATTACTTCTGGGGGTCAAACTTCCCATTCTTCAACATTTAAGAAGAAAAAGAAGCACAACTTGGCTGTAACTTTTAGGCTGCTGCTGATGCTTTTTTTGTATGTATATCTATGATTCATTTCAGAGCTCAAATGGAAAGCGAGTGTCGTACACGCCAGGAATAGAAGAGAGATGAAGTCGGAGAACATAGGGGATAAAATGAGAATCTTTTACAGAACTGAGTTTCATGGGGCCTTATTTACAGAGACTAACGGAACCGTTGCAGTGAAACTTTACTAAAAAGTGTATGAACATAATCAATAAGGAAGAAAAATCTTAAAGAAAATCAAACTAAAGTGATCTTAAGGACAGAGACATATCATCACACTAAAAGAGAGCCGGATGATTGGATGCAGTAATAGTAAATGCAATGAAATCCGTTTATTACTTGAAAAGCAGTGTTTTAAACAGGGAGTTTTTGGTCTGTACATCAATAATTTCCCAAACATAATTTTTTTTCTTTAAGGTGACCAAATTGATAATTTTTAAGCTTTGACAAGGAGGAATGATTGTAGAACACAACGTTTCACATAACAAATCTTTGTGACCGTTTCTTATTTTTACAAACCGTGGTGGTGTTTCTTTTCCGCCAGGAGCACCAGCAGCACCAGCACCTCCAGCACCTCTAATAAATAAAGATAAATAGATAGAAATGTTCACTTCACATGCTGTGGCTCGATCTGGTTATTCATTTTTTTCTCTGCACTTAGTGGCTGAGAGGATGGGGCTTTAAATAACATTAAAATGCATTGGGTTAATTGAAAAGATAATAATAAAAATTAATATCAAATAGGAAATAACAAGGGTTCTTAAGTATAACATCAAATAAGGACTTGCCGCACAGCTGTCGCAACAAGACAAATTAAGGATGCTTTTGATAGTACCAGTATGCAGGTGAGTGTAGTAGAGTCTTGTCAATTTATATGCAGGCAATATTTGAGGTTACAGAATACTGTTGGGGCACAAATTGTTTGGTAATAACATCGAGCCCCCTAATATGAAATACAGAGGTATTTCATATGGAATTTTGCAAGCAAGTTAGCAGAGCCATTATTGCAGATAGATGGATGCTGGGCGTCAAATCAAACCTAAACACCATTGTTCCCAATCAAACCTGCAGTTACTCTTACAGTACTGAGAAAGAAGTATGAGGGCTAGGAGACAACTCTTCATCAAACTAGTACTATCACAGAAAGTTCAAGTGTTCAGAATTTAGTGAGGAGTCTCTTAACTGTGTATTGAGTTGAAGTTTCAAGTCTGGATAGGAATATTCAATCATTGTACACAAAAAAAGAAAAAGAATAACACATACTTTCTCCTGTTCCGCCGGTTACGGCCATACAGCTCTCGTCTGTATAAAGAAGGTAAACACTATTAGTAATATGTGTGTTGTAACCAACGTGACAGTGATGCTACAGTAAATATCACTGGTTGGAAAGCTTTTAAGGAAGCAACCCACAACTTCAGGAGATTGATGCATGTATTTTTCACTGAAAAATAAATAGGCAACACTTTACATTGATAAAAAATGTTTTGAAAAAAAAAAAGAGAAAAGCACAGGATTTGAAGCAGACAATGATTAAAGGAGCTCAAAATGATGAAGAGCTGGAAACCTCTGAAAACACCCTTTTTCTTGTAGCTCAGTGGAAAGACTGCAGGGTTGTTTGTCATTGTTTGTAATTAGAGAACAGATCTTAATGTTGTTTTCATCTCAGTGTGGACACTGAGATTCTTCTTTGGTGTAATCATAACAAGTTTGGTGGCTCACTATTTGAACAACACATTTTTAAAGAACACGCAGCAGATAGAATATTTTTTGTTGATAAACAAACATCCTGTACCCATTACTTGTTTTTGAATTGAGAGTTTGGTAACTTTCAATTTAAACTCAAACCATCCAATTATTAAAGAAGAGAAAAAAAAAAACACACATGAAGACTTCAAATATAAGAATGTTCTTGCAGTATATGCACCAGCAAACTGTTGACAGCCAAATCACCTACATTTGATCAGCGAGTTATCTCTATTAATAATGTAATTGCCATTAAAGAATGAATTTTGAATTGGAACTGACGTTAAACATATTGGGAATCTGTAGAAAACACTCCTCAAAGGCCCAGTAAGAAAAAAGTATACTTAATGAGTCTGCATCAATTTCTTCAAAAAGGATCTGGTCATCATTACAAACTTGTTTGAGGGCCCCTCAAAATTCAGATGTTTGGAACCACTAATAAAACTCTTGATCCAAGATGGATTTGATTTGGAACAAGCCACCTAACAAAAGGACTAATTCACTCTATTTGCCCAGTGATACTAATCAGCAATATATTTGTGCAAGGAGAGGGGGGGGGGAGGGCATTGTAAATACAAGGACTTTCATTTTCTGATGCTGCTTGGAATTTATGTTGAATCAAAGGTTCTGCTGATGTTGGAAATGCCTTGGTGGAGCTAACCAAAATTGTCCATATATAAATTGTATTCTCATAATTGTGTAGGACGTAATTTTCCAGCATTTCCTGGCAAAACTTACGGTAAAATTCTCTGTTTTCTCTCCACCTGTGTCAACCTAAAAACTCACCGCAGTATTCCTGAAATGGGCCGCATGTGCATGAAGTTACAAAACCCGCCTCGAGAACATTCTCTAGGAACATACAAGAAGACTTCTATCAAATGGATTTAACGCAGTGAACAACAGGCTTACCGGCTGTCCCTTGAGATTGGTCTCAGATGCATGAAGTTACAAAACCCTCCTCGTGTGCATTCACTGCATAACAGATCATGGGATCATACAGTCAGACACTGTCAGCTACGCTTTAATGCTTTTACATGAACTACGCAAATGAGGTTGTACAAGAGCTTAAATAGCCTTACAGTGTAGCACCTAAGCATACATGTAGTCTGCAGTGATATGTCCACTGGCAAATATACGCCAGCCTTTCTGGAGAGGTCATAAAAAAAGCAAGTTGAAGAATTTTAACATTTGGCACTGGTTAAGGTTTCATTACAAGTAACCCTACAGAATATTTGATTTAATCCATCAAATTGCTGAGTATAGCAACTTAAAAGTAACATTCATGTATGACAATGGACCAAATATTTGTAACCATAATTCTAAACAGTTGATAACATCACAGAAATGCTTCTAACTTATTACACTGCACAGTATCTTTCAGTGACAACAAAATATCAAGCTAATCAATAAGATGACAGTCTGGTACTTACCCCATTTCATACTGTCTGCAACATGCCTCCCTGTAAAGAGAAGACAAAATGCTTTGTGAGGTTCGTGCATGACCACATGAACATACTGGTCTACAATGACTGTAATGGCTTCTTGTATGAATATTAGACCATTGATGATTTGAAACCAAACCTTTGTTGAAATCATTAATAATGACCATCAATCATCACAGCAATCTAGGAAGCATCAGGAAAATGAAAATGCTCCTGATTTTCTTAATGTGTTGCTGACCATCCCAGACAGTTGGGGAAGTTTACAATTTCAAGTTTTCATTAGTCAGAAACACTGGGATGGTTGCAAAACAGTGAAATTACTGATCATCTGGGATTTTGGAAACATACAGTGATATGAAGACCAGGCTTAAAGAAGATTCACATTACCTGAAATCAGTGACTGGAGATAACTCAGCATAAATGGGTTGACCTACAAAGAATGAAAACTGTTACACACTTATGCACTACAGTGGCTAGGTAATCTCTTTACAAGAACACTCTGGCTAATATAGGAAGTAAGAATTTATTGTTCTTAATATGTATTGTTTAAAGGCAATTAAAGTAAGATTTTAAATCTCACCATTGTACCAACGATTGTCCAGATCATTGACAGCTTTTTCTGCATCTTCTTCATAGCGAAACTTGACATACACATTTCCAACTAGATGGTCTCCCAGATTATCACATACGTTCATCTCCTCAATTTCACCATACTACAAAAATGTCAGGATTACCAGTTATCAAGTTAATACAAATTTCATTTAAGTTTTGTTTACAAGTAGCCTTCTTAAAAAGCACAAGATGAAAAACTTAACCGAGTATGTATAGTACTTTTAAAACTAAATATGGTTCTCCTTTTTCCATTAAAGCTAGGAGGAAAGATGAAGAAAAAAATTCAAGCCTGTTCCTACTCAATAAGAGGAAAAGGAGGATGGTGCCCATGAAAAAACAATACCAAGACTTAAAATTAGCTTGTTAATAACAAATAATCAAGTATTTTACATACCTTTTCTTCAAGCTCCAAAAAAACATCCTGTGTAAGAAAAACAATATTGATTAAGGATGGTACAATTTATTTGCCACTGAATGATATTAGTTTTTGCCTGCTTATAAATCGTAAAAATGTGAAAGAAGAATGTTTTCACTTTATACTGTATTTAAGCCAAACCTCAAAGAATCTGTCATAATGTTCCTGAGCCTCTACATCAGAAATGGCACTACCTGCAATAATGAGACAAAGTAAAGGTTTGCTTTCCAGCGAAGTCATGCAAGATGTATTCCATATTCTGCAAACCAAAACATTGTTAAAAGTACACTGTGGTGAAACTTAAATTTAAAGGAATAACTTAAAAAGCATTTTACAGCTTTAATATGAACTCACTTGTCCCATCAGCAACCTGAGCTGCACTCTGTGGATTCTGATACATGTTTTGAAGTAAAATGGTCTGGAGGAGAAGGAACAGTTAACATGAACAAGATAGTTAGTAAGGCATAGAATAAATTATAAAACAAGAAAATGTCTTCAGTTTGAGTCATTTAAACTTCTTTCTCTCCTCTATATTAGTGAACTGTGATTTTTACGACTGACTCTGTGGTTGGCTTCACAGGTCAAATGGTAAGTGTTTGTGGTTAGGATGTTCCATGACCAGTAAAAATATCAGTTGATTCAGAAAATTAGTTATTCATGTTAGAATAGTAGGCAGAGCTTTAAAATATAACTTTTGGCACTTGGAATAGCAAATTTATGAAATTTGAATGAGAAACGAGTCTTGCAGAGGCATGTCCCCAGTGTTATAAATGCAACAACTACATAAAAAATTGTCACTTACAATGAGATTTACTTTTCACCCCTATGAAAACAATCATGGGCAGACTAAGAAACAGATGGCAAACAATGGAATTAACAGCTCACCTGACTGAATGTTGGTTTGTTGTGGAGCCTTGAACAACGTTCTCCATGGCGACATGCACCAATTTTGAAGTAGAAAGAACAATTTACTCTGAAGAGAATATCAACAATCCAATCAAAATAAAAACTTGAGAATGCTAGGAGATCTAAATTTGGCAAGATTGCCGCACAACCTCTCACTTGATTATACAGACAGTTCTTGCCTTTGAGACTATGGCTTTATTTTAAAACAGTATGGGGTTATACGAAAATCTTTCCATGATAACCAATGCTACGAGAAAATAAATACAATCTCCTTGAAAATATATGCAGTACGTCGTAGATCACTATCAATTATCACGATCACTTGAACCCATCATTTGTACCGTGCCGATATCTAAGCTAAGTTTTAATTTACCAAACATTTCCACGTTTAAATCTTAATTTACAGTCTTCTAGTCTTTCTTAGTGATACAACTTGGTAAGATAACTGCGTAAGGCTGAAAATTCACTTCAGAATCTTCGCGTAAAGATGATATAAGTCGATTGGATGAAAAGAATTCGAAAAGTCAGATGGCACACATTTTACTCTGCGGTGTTGCACATTTTCTAAGAAACAACAAAGTAATTTTAACACAACTAAGCAAAAGTTAGTTTCTAAAAGACAAAATTTATCTAGAAAAGCTCAAAAATATATGAAAGATCGCTCATAATTTCCTTACTTGTCCTTTTCTGTTCCAAAGATCGAGGCCAAATACTCCGCCATGCTGGTTTTCTCAATTACCCAGGATTGTTGGCGAGCCTTGTTCCAGCGCGCAGTTTTCTCTCGCCCCAAGTCTTTCTCGTCCCTGTCACCCTCACTTTCCCACCCTCCCAGAGAGAGAAAGAATCAGGCTCGTTGAAAGGTTAACTGGTCGGCTGCAAAACCACCTGGTGCCAAACTGGGAAATATTTCCGTACAATCCTACTCTATTTTAAAACAGAGCAGTAGTCCCACAGGCAATCAATTGTATTTGCCATTTTTTAACATGAAAATATCAGGGCTGCTATATATAGACACAGTCCCCTAAATAAAAGTAAAAGCTTTTTGTGCACATGAAATAGTAATTCTACATTTGCTTCATTTTTACTTGAGCAAGCACATAGACTTGCCTCATACTGGTCATTACCTTCGCCAAGTATTTTGGTGAACTAGGATCAAAAAGTATGGCTTGTTGGGGTGGATCTAATCCAGGACTGTTTTATGGTAACTTTTGTGTTAAGTATGGTGTGTTCCTCAATAAAATGTTGATGGTAGTTCTTGTAGCAAGAATCTAACTAAGAGGAGGAGGGCTGTTGCGAGCCAGTCAATTAATCAATCAATCATTTGCCATCACAAATTAATTGGTCAAATCTTTTGCTGATCATGAAATAAAATTGAAAAGGAACTACTACTGAGTTGTGCTAGGGAGCTTTTGTCAAATCAAAGTCAGAGATTTGAAAGGCAAGGGTGGGAAATTATTGAAATAAAAAAAAAGTTAAAAAATTGTTAGTGTAAGAAGTATGCATGCTTTCTGCAACACCACACCACAAATTACAGGGTTTGAGGGATGCAAAGTTGTGATCTACACCTTTCCTTAATTTCCAAAAACCTTAGAAAATCAGTTCTTTCCGTATGTTCCAGGTCACGAAAATGAATTCTACAAAAAGAAGCATAAAACCAGTCAAAAGCATGAATGAGAAAAGCTAATAACACACTTGCCATGATTGTGGAAGAAAATAAAAAAAAAAATCCATAGAGCACACAGTTGACAACTCATTAACTGTTTAATAAAAAAACTTTGGGCTTTGCAGCAAATATTTACATTGTCCAAATGTGTAATATTCTACAACTTCTGCATTAATTTGTGCTTTAATTGGTCCATTTGTAGCTGTCATAGAGTCAGGAGGCACTATCTCAGAAAGGGCTTCTTTTTCATTTTCACAAAACATTTTAGGTAGAAGCATGAAATATAGCTTAAAATATTTGTTCTCCCACCCTAATTAAGAATACTGCTGTTTCCATCTTGAAATCTAAGGTCTTTGATCATTAAGGGAGGTACTTTTCTAGGCTCTCAATCCTGCAGCATGGAAAATGTTCATCAGAGCCAGCCCCCTATCAGCCAGAATGAGCAGTGTATTATGAACTATAGGATGGCCAATGCCTTTGCTGCAGAGGTTTGATGAATACTGTGACAAGTTCAGAGCATTTGTTACCGTCACTTTTCTGATCAATGTGCAAGAGTGATGTAGTATTTGATTGCTATCTCCCAAACTCTATCAAAGGAGGAACAAGAAGCAAGGACAAAGAAGGGAAGAGCAGGGGGCATTGCAAGGAATGTGAAGAGTGGGAATAGAGGATCGGAGACTGATTGAATACCTTTGACTTTGAGATAAAAACAGTAATATTCCCAATCACTGAGGCAAAATTAAGATTTTAAACTATGTTTCATGCTTCTATGGCTGCAGATGTACAAAATGTAAACAAAATTGCAATGTTGATCTGCTTTATGGTTCTCCAAGTGGTATGACAAATGAAATTTTGTCTCCAAATTCTCCCCAGCTTGCTCTATATTTCTGATAAATGATAATCCATGCTGTCAAACCGGCAAACCATATGAGAAATCCTATTGCTGATTTAATAACATCTGAAAGAAAGATATACCAAACTGTTGTTATATTCACATCCTCAACATTTTCATCAAAATTGAACTATGTTGTTGGTATTTTACTTTGGTATGCTACATGCAATTTAGCAATTCACTGGTACTTTGGTAAGCTACATGCAATTTAGCAATTCACTGGCTGTAGTACAACCACTGGGTGTTTGAGGACTCTTGTCTCAGAGGTCTAGTCTCTTAAATGCACAGTTGTAAGAGTTGTCCAAAGATAAAAGTTGGTCCCATGTGGCATCCCGAGTTCACTCAAACACAACCCTGATCAGTATAAATGGTTGCCATGATGCTGTATCTTTTTGTCTCAGACTATTGAGTAAACTGACATGAGATTGGTTGAGGCCTATACCAAATGAACATTCCCTAAATCTGGACAATAGGACTTGTCAAAAATAACACAGGTCATTGTATCTCTCAGTTGGTATGTGTGCTATGATTGATCAATTTAGCAGGCTGTATTTCCTTGCACAGCCCCTTAAATTTAAAAGGTAGTTTAAACTGATATCTTTTCCCTCTATTTAAAAGCCAGAGATATAATATATAGAGATATAATATATATTGCAATAACCTTGTTTTCTCTTTTCCTTCTGTATATCACAGAACCTTGTTTTTTCTGTTAGGATTTATGGCCTGTGCACTCCATGGTTGGACCACAAATTCCAGCACAAAAAACTTGGTCATTAACTGACAGTGGGGACCAAGAATTCTGGCAGTTAGAGGTATTGATACAGGAATATTGCTAGAAGATAATTACTAGCGATAAAAAAAAACCTGTGAGAACTCGAACCTCTGCCACTTTTGAAATATAAAATCCAGCAAGAATGGGTGTTGCTATTGTGTTCTGAGAGTAAGTTCCCTCCTTGACAGGTGGCATTAGATTAATGTTGTTGTAAACTTACAAGATTTCAGCTTTGATTGTCCAGTGAAGGTTGGTTTGATGAACGCCTCCCTAAAGAACCACACTACATTGATAAACCAAAGAAATGGCAGCAGAGCGAATCCTCCTAAGAAATGTGTTGACGTGAATCAAGGAAAATAGAAACAAGCGAAAAAGAATATAACACAAATAAAAATTACAACTCATTCGATAAGTCTACATAGTCAAATCCTGGTATGGCGTTGTGTGTCGCCTTGCTGTAGTAAGTGCAATTTTCTATAATATTTGGAGTACTAAGTCTTTAGAGTTACCTTGTTCAACACTGTAATAAATACTTCCAAAATCACATCACATTACAAGAAAAAAGAAATAACAGTAAACGCTATAATTGAAATCCACAGCTAAAGTACCAAAGCAGGACTAACAAGTAATAAGTCCTACAAACATTTACAGTAGCATGGAGTGATTGAGATCAAACGTCTAAGCTTATCAACTCACAAATCCTATCTGCTAAAATTGACCACATAAACCAGCGTAGAACTACATGCTGTGACCATAGATAAAAAGGAATATAGGTATGATATATTTTCTGCATAAGTTGACTTTCTCTTCATCAGGAACTTTCCTCAAATCCATCCTCAAGCTGTAAATATGAACGATCTCTTGTTCGACTCAGGAATCTGACGTGATGCTGGTATTGCACTCCCATCATGCAACGAAAGAAAGAGTGATTTCACTGGTTCTTACATGACATACCAATCTGATATCCAAAATGGAGGATCAAGACAGAGGATTTCGTCGAGGACGAGGCGGTCGTAGAAGAGAGAGAGGCTTTAGAGAACGGCCTTCAAGGGTAAGGAATGTTATTTTCAAATTTCCCCACCTTTTTGCTGCGAGCTGTAACCACTTGTTGGAGATAAGTAAACTTATAATCCGCTGAGATATGGGCTAACAGTTTTAAGTTACTGAGCTTTTGAAAACATTATAGGCAGAAGCGTCTTCGTATATTTGGAAGTTCATTCATACAAAAAGCAGCTTAGTTACTTAGATGTATCTTTATATTTTAAAAAAATGTTGTGACTGAAGGTATTATTTGGTTAAGATAATTTTTGCACATTCACAAAATGAATTGGCAGCTTTTGAAAAAAAGATTGTCGGGATACACACTTTAGATCTTTTTTTTATAAACTTTAGATAGTTACCTTTTCCCCCCTTTTTTTTGTAACACAGGAAATGCTATAGATGATGGCTTTCAAGTCATAGAATAGGAGAGTAAATTTATGGAATTTTATATCATCTAGCTAGTCCACCTATATTTATTCAGCATCATGGTTATTTTTCTTCAGGGTAAAGGAGATGGTCCCATGGGAGCACATGCTGCATCCCCCACAGTACCACCCATGAAGACACCCATCATACTCACCAAGCCTTCTGCAGATAGGGTCAGCGTCAAAAATTTCACTTTACTATACTGCATTGTTATAATTGTTTGTTATTTAATTGCACTATAGGGGTGCGCAAATATTATGCTATAATTTTAGGTATGAGTGGGATATTTACCATGCTGAGACAAACATATGAAGCAAAGGCTATTGCTTCTTTCTTCATTACACAATGAGAATTGAATCTTTGACCTACCTGTAAATGGAGGGTCCAAAATAGACTTTTCCAATTTTGCATCCAGCTTCTATTTTCCATTCCATTCTGTTGTCCTGCCACAGTAAAAATTTTCATATGTATCCTGCCTGGTTAAATCCAAGTTGCTCTAGTTCACCACCTTTATTTAACTGATGGACAAATTATAGCTTTGTTTACAATATTGATAAATAAATGAACTCTTCCTTCTTTAATTTTTTCTCTGTGGAGGAAATTGTATCCACTGCTACCCTTTTTGTAATAAATCACAACACAGGTTGCAATGCTATAGGTCTTTTAGGTTTCTGAGGCTAACAATGTCAAAAGTTTCCCCGTCATGGAAATTGCACTGTTATGAAAGAACCAGCAATGCTGTCAACATGCTCAATGTGCTCTTTGACCACCTTTGTCTGGTCAAGGTCTTTTAACATGGGAGGAGACCTTGTGTTGGACTAGCATCCCATCCAGTGGAGAATGTTAAATTTATTCCTAGTTGCTTTGTGCTAATGAAACGGTGATAAGTTGTGATTGGGTGGGCCAATAGGCTGGAGTACAGTCTTTGCCTTTCATCACTCAGCTACAGCACCCTTAATTTCATGGTAGTCATATTTATGGCACTCTCATAATGTTTATACTGCTTGAATGTTGAAATTACTCGTGGATTTAATTTGAAGTGGTATACATGGAATAAAGTAATGAATATTATATTCTAACTGTTACATTTGTAGGGACAAGAAACGCCAGTGAAGCAAATTTTGATAAAACCAAGGTAATAGAGTTGTCCATGTTCAATAGAAACAAAGTACATTTATCAAATTTTTTAATTCATGCATTGACACATGAAGTCATTAATCTCTGTCAACTGTGATGAAAATATTCATGACCAAAACTTACTTTTTGAGCGTGAAATTATTTGGATATTTAGCCAAAGATTCATAAGTCACTTAAAAAATTGAGAATGATAAGTTTTGTTTTGTCAACTGAGTTTAAATATAACTTGGTTAAGGAAGGAGTTTCTAAAGGTGACATTTTGAGTATTAGCCTTGTGTGAGAGGGAGTGGAAGGAAAGGTTTACTTCAAGTAAAAAATTTACAGAGCAGTAATTGTGTGCCTGAGGCGGATCAATAGTAACAGTTTCAGTTACCAGAGATTAAATTGGTTTACAGGTGAGAGATTGGTCTGGTATAAATATTCTCTATTTATGAGCTGCAGTAGGTATGCAAGTTGTTTTTGTTTCTGTCACTGAAACTGATATAGCTTATTGGCTGCTAAGAGGTTTGAGATATCATAAGGAGGGGTTAAATTGTCTATTATTTGACTTTCTATAAATTATTCTTCTGAAGATGTCTTCCACTAAAAATAGTCACCTTTACCTTACATATCCTAAAGGGAACAGTTACCAGAGGCTTCAGTAAGTTCTAGTGCCCCTCAGCCAGCCACATCACGTGGAAAGACTATTTTGTCTGATCATCCAGCTGGCCAAGGAACTGAGAGATCTACAAGCACTGCAACAGCACTCAGTATGGGTGGTGCAACAGGAGGGCCAGTATCAGGTAAAATAAGTGTATTGCCTAGGTGTGGGATGTTCCTCTAAATTTGGACATTTTTACTTTTCTGTGTATAATGTTCATGTACATGAAAAAGTTATATGCATCTGATTAGCTGAAAAGGAGTGCATTCTAATGTAACATGAGTGCAAAGTTGTAACACAATTGTAAATTACAAATTGCACACGTGCTGTCAAAATTTCGTCTGATGTGACTTTCTGTGATGCTTTTTCATGTAAATTATTGAAAAGTAACAACATGATTTCTCATGCAATTTGATGTAATAAGCACTTGTAAATTTTTCTAAGACAACAAATTGCACTCACTCTCCAGGCTTGTGCAATTTTGTTGTCTTTGAAAAATTTACCTGTGCTTGTTAACACCAAATTGCACTGAAAGCATCTTATTACCTATACTAATTTTGTTGGTAGCAATCTAGTGAATTGTTTCGTTTCCTCAGGAACAAGTGCAAGTGTTGATGCACTTGCAACCAACATGGCCTCTCTCAAACTTGGTCTACACAGTCATGATGGAGCACCACAAGTATTAAAACTGCTGGATGAGAATCTTCAGTGGAATGATGCTGCTTTAGAGGTAAATCTATGGACTATGACAGAGAATTTTATCCAATATACTCAGTTGTGATGCTTTTTCCTGTTGTAAATGTAACATATTTTAATGTAAAAATGCAAAAATTATCTCCTGTAATACCTTTTTTAATCTCCCAGTTGGATGGAGTTTTGATAGATGAAAATTCAGTTGTGATCAAGGTTTGCACTTGTCACAAAAATTCTGGAACCTTCAAAAGTATTGATTGAAGCTCTTATCTAATATTTAGTGAAAATGATTCATGTGGGAACAAATTTGTTGGAAGTACTGTTTTTAGAAATGCTTACTAACTTAATAGATAGTTTTTCAATCACTCTTTAACACTCAATTATTTGCCATTTTTTAGATGCTTCTTGATCAAACAGATTTCTTGGTTGTGGGGGTCATTGGTCCACAAGGTGTTGGCAAATCAACTCTTCTCTCTGTTCTGGGAGGAGCTGGGCCTTTTACTGACTCCAGGTTTGTGATTCTTCAGCTTCACTGTTTTGTTAAAGTTAACTGAATTGTTGTATCTCTGTCAGTGAAAAAATTATTTCAACACATTGTTTTCAATTGACATCATGACAGTCATGTTGGTCTACAAAAACGATGAATAACCAGCTTTTTTGGGCACCAAGTTGTTTTCCTGCAGACACTTTCATTGATTTGCTCCAGTGAACTTTCATAGCAGCTGTTTCCATGCAAGTGATGACTTGTTACTTTTTCTGTTATGATGTAATCACTTATAATTTTGTGGAGTTTGGACCTATGAGAACTAGTTAAAAATTATTCACCAAAGTGAAGGTGAATTGAGATGGATATTTATTGAGCTGTGAAGCAGGGAGGTAGGTGTTTGCCACTTTCACCAACACTGAGGGGAATAATGGTTTTAGTTTTTAACGACACAGAAATTGAAAATTAGTTTATTTATGTCAGTTTTGTCTCTTCAGCTGCTCGGAAGTGAATAAAACTTGCTAATCACTTACAAACTAGCCAATCAGCACGTGCAAAAAGCAATGTTCACGTGTGTGGTATATACTAGTCTCTAATAAGACTTGTTAAGTGTAATCTGAGAAGTGCAAAATACTGTGGCTGGGATTGCCTGGTTTTCACTTTTGATGAGAGCATTACCAGCAGGTGATTTAAAAATATTTCCACTTTCTTGGCTGATCATGAGCAGTATGGGGTTGAACTGTAGTGATCTACCTCACAAGGGAAATTTTCTCGATTTAACCTTCATGGTGACACTCACAGAGCTTGAGCAAGGACATTATTAATAATTTGTAATTGTGATCAATGATTGAAATCAATTTTTATTAGTAACTTCTTTCTCTCTCAAAACGTTTTTAGGTCTTGCTTATTTCCTGTGCAGTCAAGACAGGTTCAGGTCAGTTGAAGGTTCTCTAAAGTGCTGAATCAATATCATATTGATAAATGTAAGCAAAGCATGTGTCAGACACAGTAACCTTGTGGTTAATGGGTTAGACTGTGAATGGAGAGGTCCTGGTTTGAAATCAGGCTGGGTCTGTATGTTCTTGGTAAAGACACTTTACCCTCTCAAAGCTACCTTCACCTCAGAGGTAAAACAGGGTTCTCGTAACCTGTGAGCTCGAGGGAAAGCTTACAAAATGATATAGGCTTGGGTTGGGATGGAGCAACTCGTGATCAAAAAAGTATCCCAATCCATGGCCAGAGGATAGTCATATTTTAAAATCAAACTGTAAAGAATAGAGAAGGAGGTTCTGGCACCCTAGCCATCCATTTTGTTTCTTCAGCTGAGAGTTTTATTGCATAATTTCCAAAACTTTTGGATCACTTGTCCCCTAACCTTACTTTTAATTCCTTTAACTTTGTGGCACATTTGTTGAGTGTTTTTGGTTTGTTCTTTGACATTTATAAATGATTGATTATTCACTGATTGCCTGGGTGTTGTGTAGGAGGATGGAACCAATCAAAGTACTGGTATTGATTTGGCTGTTACACAAGAAAGAGTCATTCTTTTGGATACTCAGGTGCTGTCATTTAATCTTGATTGTATTAACAGTTGATACTTTTTCAATAAACCAAGCTCACTAACCAAGATGATACAACCAATCAGTCCCCTCCCAATCCTACCAATAATGGAATCTTCATAGGTGAAAGACAATGTTAATTTTAGAATGATAGCCAGGTTTAGAAGGGATACTGAAGAAAAATTACTGCTAGGTTTTCATGGGAATGGCAACATATGAGAGAAATTCTCCTAAAAGGCACAGCCCTCATATATGAATGAGGCTTTATATGGGGAATATACCTAAAATACTATTATCGTATGCCTTAAAACAGAACAATATCTTATGAGTGAGTGCAGTGAATGAGTAAGACATTGTTCTTACCACTTGAACATGAAATACATATATTCTTGTCACCATGTAATATCCTCTATATACAAGCATAAATTTTGCTCTTTGCTCACATTTTCCTTTTCCTGCAAGGCTTGGAAAAGTGCATTTAATTTAAACCATCAAATTAGGTGTGTGGGGTTGTTTTTTATTGTGGGCTTGTTTCTTCCCATGAAAGCATATTTATCATGGATATTTGTTTATGATGTTGTCTTCATTTTTTTTCCTTGTTGATAAATGTAGCCTTTGTTAAGTGCAGCCTTGCTCGACCGTTTGATCCATCATGATCGTAACATTCCTCCGGAGTATACTTCTCCAGAGAACTACAACGAAATTCAGGTACAGATAAATTTCATGATTACAGTAGAAAACTTTTCATTTATAGTCTTGAATTTACAAATTCTTCTTTCAGATTGTTTGGAATGCTTCATATTCAGGAGCTCATAAATTATATTGCTTTTTTCAGGATTTGATATCTTACAATAATTCCCTAAAATTTCTGAGAGCACTGATGCTTCTGTTGAAATGTTAGAAAAAACATTTTTGGAGGGTTTGAGCAGGAACCCACAAATATTTCATAGATTTTCTATTGACTTTTGTGGCTCAGTTTACCTCCTAAATGAAGTCTGGATGTGGTATACAAATTTTTGATTACTAGATAATTCAGTTTTATGAAAATAGTTTATAAGCTTTTTGTTTTCAAATCACTCTACTGAGACCACCAATTCACAGTATCAACTCAGGTCAGGTGATGACCCAAATTATCTTGTAATACCCCCTCCCCCCCTCCCCCCCTCCCTTTCATCTCCTCTGATGCAGCACCTCAGTTTTGTTAGAAATTTGCCCTCTCATATCATGAATTTTTAATTACGCATAAATGCCTCTTTTACCATTTAGAAATGAGATTTAATTCTTGTTTCTTATATTATTAGTAAAAGTGCCCAATTCAATTTCAGACTTTTTGTATCCTTGGATCTTCTAAATGCAGTGCTGGATAATTCTAATTTTCATCACTCTGTGATTGGACCAAAAACTTGCGTCTCTCTCAACCAATAAGATGTAAAACTGAAACCAATCACGACTTAATCACCCTCATTTCAATCTTGGCACCCTCGTGTTCATCTTGACATACTGTTGACCTTTTCTCATTTTTCCTTTTCTTTTTTTCAGTCACTGCAAATTGTCACTTTCCTCTTAACAGTATGTCATGTGATTTTAGTTGTACAAGATTGGTTCACTGATCTCACCATATTAAGGTAACATCTTTTGCTTGTGTGTTAACCCTTTTTACTTGTAACATCAGTTTACATATTCTCCATACTGTTCTTTATACATTTTCTAAAGTGCCACCAGAAAGAAATTGTTTAACAATCAAGAGATTCTTTGGTTGCTGATCATTTCTTTTATTCTCGTGAGCTTAACAAGTGATTTGGGGTTGATATTGTAAGGAGAATCTAGAGGTCAGTCTCTCTCAGGGGTCAAAGGGAGCTTAACAAGTGATTTGGGGTTGATATTGTAAGGAGAATCTAGAGGTCAGTCTCTCTCAGGGGTCAAAGGGTTAAGTTGCTTTTGTTTGTGTTTTAAGTTGTACAAGATTCAGTTTCAACTCTTTGCTGATCTTCAGTAACAAGGTGCTTTACAAAAAGTTAATCTGGCCGTGACCAAAGCAACTGCGTTAGCTTGGGACCTTTAGTTTGAAGGGTGGATAGCGCTATCCAGATAAATCACCATCCAACGGCCAAGTGTAACAAAATGTACAGTGCTATCCACCACATAGTGACTTATCCAGTGGATAGCATTAAAATTTATCCACCCCTCAATTACCCGGTGGTCCCTTGTGGTACGAACCTTGGCATAGCTGGCCATGTTGTACTTTATTTCACCGTCGGAGTATTTGGTATTGTTTTCTGTAAGGCACAAAATTACTTTCAACGGTGAGGGAAACCACAGAGCATCATAGTCAGTGGTAAGATAGAAAAACACCTAACATGGGAAGACTAAACCAAGAGAGATGGATGATAACAAAGGATGGAGAAGGAATCACACAGATTACAGATAACTTGAAAAGATGAATCTAAACGTTTAACATTTACAGACTGTGTAGTGGGCTCTTAAAAGATACCACTTGCAAAAAATATGGGAAAAAAAAGTCTGCAAAGTTGCCTTAACTGCTATAATGTTAAATGATCCCAGCTGGTATATCAGATGAACATAATTTGTTTGTTTGTTTTTTAATTTTCAGGCTTTTAAAAACAGCTGAGATGTTGAAGCCTTCATCAACCAGCCACACCTCGCATGAATCCTCTGGGTGAGTGAATGGTTGAAAATATTTATATCCTCTGCCCTCAGTTATCTTATCATAGGGAATGTTTTAAAACTGAATGAATGTTAAAAAACCAAAGTAATCACACACATTTATCAGAATAAAAGTGAATATTTTAAGGAGCTAGAGAGAAGTAAAAAGGATTTATAACAAGAAAACCTCATCAAGCATAGGATGCTAAAAGAGTTCTAGCCAATAGCAGAGACTGGAAAATGCAAGAATGATAACACGAAGAAAAAAAGGAGGTTGTTTCATTGCTTTTTTTATTTGTTTAACAGCTTAGGGTCTTCAGACGAGTCAGATGAGAATTATCCAAACATAGGTAAGACAGGAGCAGTTTACGTTGCTTTCAGATATGATTTGCTACCCTGGTAAAATCCATCTCGGTCACATGCTGAAATACAACCACTTATGTCTCTCACTTCTAAAGATTCCGTGTAGGGTGCTGTGTCCTGATGAAAAGTGATTAAGTTTCCTTGGCAGTAAGCTCTGACAGAATTAGTGCATTAGGAGAGTAGGACACAAGTTAACGCTGATCAGACTTTCAAAATATTTACATGCTTGAACTGCGAGAAAAAGCAACTTGAAATGCGTCAAACTGACGCTGCAATTGTTGTGAAGCAATGTTAAGCATTCCGTGTTAGGTCTGAATGATTGGGAGGATTGACAAAGCTTTGAGATTCGTTACCAGTTGTTTTCACAATGTGGTCATTTCCCTCAGTGAACTCCTCACCACACCCTTGAGCTGAGCACATCACGAAGAAGACTAAACACGAGTCAACTAGCAGCTTTTTCATTGCTTTCACTACGCTTATATAAGTTGTTTCAATGCGATGAGATCATTGTGTCATTCTTTCTATTGCAGTTTTTGTGTATAACAAAGCCACAAGGGAGGATTTTCACCATGAAAACCTGAGCTCTATGCATTATGCAACCAGCACTCTGTTTCAGCACTCAAGATTGAAGTTACAAAGTATACATTAGCCTTACTAATATTTTAACTCCCAAGATCTGATTAGCCATTTTCCTCTTTAATTTCTGTGTATGCTCATGTAGATCAGTTACAAGAAACCATTCTTAAAGCAAGAAAACAGGAATGGCTTCTTGTTTGCAAAAACGTTGCAGAAAAAAAAAATTCAAAAAGTGGTTCAGTCAAAAGAAAGACCTTTTTTTGTAATTTTTTCAGGTTCTGTCTTGAAACAAAGCTACAGAACCACGGGAAAAAGGGGAAATGCTAGTTGTAGTCCTCATCCTCATACACTGGTTGAATTTCTTTATTTTTGTTGTTTCAGCTGGTATTTCTCTGTTGAGCTCAAGCTTGATGCCTTACAGAACACTTCTAACATCTTGTGATGATATGAACATATTCGTGGTACCAGTCTATCAACCACATGGAGGTAAAATTTAGCAGTATGAATTGAACCACAATTCTGTCAACATAAAACATGCCCAAATTTGACAGATTTTCCATAAATGAAAAGTCTTTTTCGCTTTCAACATAAATTGCAGACTATTTTCAGCAATTATGTAATTTTCTTCTTAACTGAGAGAGGTAGAAAAAGTTTGTTTAAAAAATGCTGAAAGGGAGTGATTTGCTAACTTTTGACTGTCCTCTCAAGATTCTGTGTGGGTTATTCATAAACCGATAATAGGTGTGTTCTGTTTCTTTCATGCAATAGCTTCAAAATACTTCGTTTTGCTGTGTATTTGTTGGCTTTATTACACCCATTTTGAAGTCACTGGTGGTCTCTGTAATCTGATTGGCTCTAATTGGTGCGATTTATTCTCAAATCACACCATTTTGCTTTAAATCGCATCTTTTTTCCAACCAATGAGCAGGTCACACTAAAAACAAAACAACCGATCAGATTTCAAGGCTTGTTTAAAGTAACCAATCAAATTGAAAGACAAAGAGTATCATGTGGCAAATTTTGCAACTTTTGTTTCCAAGACTCTTATTTTTCCCCCCCCCCCAAAAATGGATGAATTTAATTTCAAACCGGCTCAGTACTGTATCAATGAAATATAAGAACTGACCAAGTCCTGTATTTGGGCAATTTCAAAATGGATGTAATAAAGTGGTAACTGAACCTTGTGTTGTGCAATTTTGGTCTGAAATCATACTTGTGATTTCAAATTCAGCGTATGATCTCAGCCAAAATTGCACTCCACTCAGTTTAGTTACCATTATTAATACCCAATGCGGTATTTGAATTGTTAAAGCACGCGTGGTATTAAAGTTATTTTATAGATTACATTTTGTTCTTTTTTTTTCTTCTTAAGGGAATGGAATGTGCACCAAGTCACCCACATATCAGGGACATCCAAGCTTTGATGTGGTCTTACACAGTCTCCGGAATCAGGTTACCTTTCTTGTTTTATTAGGGAAATTTCCAATGGAATGTTGAAAGTGATATGGAATTGCATTCGTTTTGCTTTACTTCGCTAATTATTGGTCCAAAAAAGCGCACCACTCTCTCAGTCAATCAAATGCAAAACTAATACCAATAATTGGTTTTAGTTTTGCAATTATTGTGACTTGATGTCCACGTTTTCCTGCGCTTCAGGTAGTTCGATTGTTTTACTTTGAATCCTTATTGGCTCTTAAAGGTCTTTTCCTTCCGTCTGATTAACTGTTGTAATTACTTTCATTGGTTTTGATTTTAAGACTCTTAATCAAAAAGTGCTCTATTATTCATTTGTGAATTGTATGGCTTATCACTTGTCTGTTTGTCACCATAACCCTTGTAACAAACTACTGGCTCAGTTAATTTGTTGAGTAGTTTTGGGTTGGCCTGTTTGGAATTGAGTCAACTATGAAACATTACATCAAATTAGATCAGACTTTGAGCTCTTTGAAGCGACAACCCCTATCTGAATATGGCTCTGTTTCATGTCTCTGTAACTTCCTTTCACAAAGCCTTTTATTTTATCATTGCTTGCATTTCTAGCATCTCAAGCCTATTTTGACAAAATGAAAGCCAGATGCATTGTGTGCTGGACAACTCACGTGTTTTTTATTTCCTTTTTAATTGCCTTTTTCCATTGAATTTATTGTTTGGTTTCTCATTTTCCCGGGTTGAAATGAAAGTTATTCCCCTCTGATGATAATGTCACAACTTCCTTTCACTCATAGTTAACTGTTGTTTTGTTTTCAGGTATTTTCTGTTCACAGACACCTCCTTACTCATCATTCCCTGACAGAGAGAAATTGGTAATATATCACCCGACTGTTTTTTGTTGTTGTTGCTGAATTGTCCTGAGAGGGAAGTTTTTGTACTCCTGTATGCTAAGGTTTTGCATGACGCTCCTCTCGTGTCACGTTTGGTCAGTCCCTTCTGCCCCAATGATTCGTGACTACAGCACTTCTGTTTTGCGAAAAAATAATGCAAACATGTTATGATAAGGGAACAGGGTAGCCTTAAGAATCTTTTGAAAGTGAAGAGATGACAAAACAAGTTTTTTTTTATGGGGGGAAAGTGCAATATTGAGTACTTTTGTTCTCAAATTAAACCAGATATGTGAAATAGATTGTACTTTGACATGAGCCCATTACCCTGGTGGGCTACTGATCTTGACCAGTGGTAGAAGTAACAAGTGAACTGCAATGAAGATAATCAAAGAAAGAGAAGTTAACATGGGATGAAAGGACCTTTAAATTTCCTTCCAACGTGTTGCTTTGTTGCTTAGTTGGTGGCAACTCCCTACTGTTAACATCAAACTAGTATCACACTACTGGTGTGTTCCACCTCCCCCTCCCTTGTATTATCCACTGATTACACCCCACTGGTCTCTGCGAGACATTTGTTTAATCCTTGTGGAGGCCTGAAGTTTTTTACCTTGATTGAGGTACCTCTCTAAGGATCAACTCTTCATTTTTAATATTCTTTGTTTCAAGGTTTCACTTTGCTGCTCGTTCCTGGGAAACTGTCAGAAAATCAAGTTTGATCTCCGAGTACAACAGACTCCTTTGTTCTCAGTAACAAGAGACACTTCTGAAGTGTTAATAGGAGACGGGGCTCTGTAGCGATTCGGTTCAGCTTTTAGGGTACTGGATGAAGGTTGTGGAGAATTAGTTCCTCCCAAGGAAGAGACTTTGAATTCTCTATAAGAAGGTGTTACTCAGTTGTGTAAATAACTCTTATCTTACTGATCCAAATATTGAAATAAATGTATTTATTGTCGAGCAATGTGCGTGTCGGTGCTGGTTTAATCATGCCCTGGCCAGGATTCACATGATTACTTTCATGGGTCACTGTGTACTGCTATCAAAGAGTGCTCCATGTTATTATAAAACAACTGAAAAATAATGATTCAAGGCACGCATGATCAAAGAGACTGAACACTAAAACATAAGTATGCGTGCTTGCAAAATCAGACAGTGCCTTTTCCTCCCCTGCCCTAAAAGAAGAAAGGGAGGGTAGAGGGCGGGGCATGGGTGTGAGGTCGTTAAACAATACACTGGTGTTGACAAATACTCGGGTTTGCTGGTTTTCTCATGAAAGAGAGAGCTTTCACACTTTTTTCTTTGCAAACCCTGTACCTATTTTGTTTACACTCCCTTTTGACTTTCATTTGCTGAAGGCTAAGCCATTAAGATGTAGAGTGCAGTAATTTCAAACCCTGTCTAGATTACATGTTATTTTTTAAGTTTATGTACTATAAGTAAGCATGATGGTGAATTATAATTTTCTTTTTACGGCCCAAATATATTTCAAGAGCACGAAGAGCTGATGACAATTACTTTTTATGACTGTCATGAACAGTGCTGCTGTGAAGCAGGTTAGTGTATTTGTGGCTGATCAAGTTAGTAAGCAGGACGTTCAGGCTTCAAGCACGCAATTTTGCTCAATGATTTTAGAGGTCCTTTTCTGACCGTGACTGCTGAACTTAAGCAAGTATTCCTCAGCTAGCTGACAAGCTAAGACTTGCAGTGTTACTAAGGAGTTTCCAAGAACAAATATTTTAAATTTGCAAACAGCCCCAGGTGAGTTTAACTCCTTGTTTAATTAGCTCTCAAACCACTGTTAACAGTAATAATTTCCATATTAATAAAAAAGGTAAACTATAATAGCCAAACTATACGTAGTGATTTCATCAACAATGTTTTGGATTAAAACACTTTGAAGCCAAATTTTCCATGACATTCAGAGAGCAAGAACTGCCACAAAAAAGGTGATTCTTCCTTTGGGAAATCCTGATTCACTGTAAGATGTCTGAGTTATCAACTCCATGATGGAGGTTGCAGCAAACCAGAAATTGGATTGTTGGTTTGATTTTCTGAAAATTAGTAACTCTGACTATTTCAACAGTACAGGAAACTTTACTTTGTTGAGTTGCTCTTCTGAAAACTTTTTTTAGTCAGTTTTTGCACAAGCATGGTTGGCACGATTGGTTTTTACATGCCCTTAATTCTTTCAGATATTTTTTTCTGACAACAGGTAGCTTGTAACTACCTATCCAGCCTCCTTTCCTGGCTCATTGCTCCTGCCAATCTGCTGACAAGGGGGAGGCATAATGTACAGAAGCACCTATGTCCCAAAATCCTGACCATTTGTCCACCAGAGGCTAGTTGTCAAAGGGCAGTAATGCTATCCAATGGATAAATCACTATCCAGCAGAAAACTGTTAGCAAAACGTACTGTGCTATCCACTAGATAGCAATTTATCCAGTGGATAGCGTTATCCACCCTTTGAAAAACTAAGGCCTGGGGCCTATATGCCTTCATGTTTGATTGAAATGGGTCCTTGCCTCTTCAGGGGGGTTCATAGGCACCTCAAGACACCCTGACCATGCCCTAGATAGTAAGAGGAATTTTTGTGGGAGTTAATGAGCTACTAATTGCCTTAAGCGGTAGTCTTCAATAGTTGCAGAAAATAGGAGTAGGTTATAGGGGTAATATTAGGTGGGCATGCTTAATTTTGTTCCTGTAAAATTCTTGGGATAATACATAAATTTATTTAATGTTGCAAGAACATCTTTACCTTCACTTGGTCAATGTCAGGTAAGGTCTCACAAATTGGTATATTTATTTTTTGCAATTGCTTAGAGAATGGATAACTTGCAGAGTACAAGGTGCTAGACAGACATTAAGCTGGGTCAGAAAACATAACTGTATTCTTGGGTGAATTATTTTCTTGGGCAGGGCTCTTAACAGGAGATGGAGGAGCTGGTTCAGGGGTTTTTGCCACCACAGGGCTGGGTGACTTTATACATTGACTACTCTGGCTTGGTGGACGTGGGCTTGCTTTCCCTTCTTGCGGGCTTGGTGTCTGTACTTCTTCTTGCTGAGGTGTTGGAGTCCTTGCTTTGTCTGCAGTGACTTCTTCTTTAGGGCTTGGAGTGCATACAAGAGGCTCTGTATTCTTTTGCAAGCTTGTGGACATTGCATTTGTCTTTATAGTCTTTGTTCTGAGAGGAGGTTTTTTCATATCCCATGTCCCTACAAATTCACCCCAAGGACTCTTTGTAGAGCGTGGGATCCCTGGCAAAATGTGTCCTTGGTCGTTGCTAATTGGCTGAGTGAAGCCTTCAAGAGTTGATGGACGCTAGTATGAAGAAAGAGAATTTTAAAGTGGAAGTGTTAGTAATCAAACTCTACTGATTCATTTCTGAGTTGCATCAGATTCCAGGAAGGGTTGGTACCTAGGCTCCCCATACAACCCATCTTTTGCTGCTGAGGAAATGAAAACCAAAGAGACACCACAAAAACAAGAACAACAAAGAAACCAGAAAACAAAAGATAGGAAAAAATAAGGAAATTAACAGAAAACGAGACAATGAAAAAAAATCTGATTCGTGTGCATTCTGTTTATCGGTAATAGCTGTTTGGTTAAAGATTTATTGCAGCACAGCAGCTGAGTAACAATGTCTCTTATTTACATTTCATAGTCCTCAACCTGAGGAATGGTTCATCAAGAGAGTTACAGCTTAGAATCCTCTAGGAAGATTTCTCCCCGCAACATGCTTATGTCTCTGACTCAGCGAAGGGATGGTAAAACTTCCCAAGAAAACAATGACATGTTTCTCAGGCTAACCCGGCTAATAATTCATCAAGTATATCGTTCATCTTACCTCTTTGAACCTCTTTGGAATTTCCCAATTCTGCAACCTCCGAGCAGCGAATTCTTGTTCGTACTACGGGATTAAATGAAACACAAAACAAAGTGTTAACTATTTCACTTAAGACTTACCAAATGTAACAGTTGTATGTTTCTAGACATCGATCTACGATTGTTATTCTGTGCAGCTCGGGATTCGCACATCGACCGGCGCCGTTTTTGGGGTAAATGACAAGACTGAAGCATCTTTTAATACCACGAATCTCTTCTCTACTTGAAGAAAAATACAATCGATTTCAAATTACCTGATTTGCGCTAAAGTGCGTCGACATTTTCGTTTCTTTTCGTGAGACGAACTGCCACAAAGCACAACAACTTAGTAACTTGAGCGCTTGCTTAAGGTTGTTATGACGACGATTTTGTTCGTACTCAGTCCCCCTCTCTTCCAACTGTTTCCGTCACAGCCTTCCCGTCACATGACTAGCACGAATTACACGACGATCTATTTTAATGACTCTGGTACAGGCATGTATCCAGCAAAGTTATTTTTACACGAAAGGTAACAGAGAAGTGAAAGAAACTCGAACAGGAATCGGTAAGCATAAAAAATATTTATTTCGAAATCAGTAGGTATCTGAATTTCACAATCAAGTTCACAATCGGACTGAACAGAATTGGTGTATCCTAAAATGCCGGTTCCAATTATGGCGCCTGGTATTAGCTTCATTTTTAATTTCCTGATGTCTGAATCAGCATTTATATGTTATAAGTTTCTTTGATTTGTATCTGAAACCATAGACTTATTTTCTATCAAACAGGTTTTCTATGAACCGAAGTTCGGATCTATCAAAGAATTACTTTGCAAACCACGATCTAAATGTCGACACCAGAGCTACAATTTCGTGACAATTACCGAAGGAAGGTCCCTTATGGGATAAGATTTATACAATGGATTGGACGAGAACGTACACAAGCGTAAGATCAGATAAATTTTTGTTTTATCGACGTCTCTTTGTTGTGGTGGATGTGATGTGTAGCAATATCAACCAACAAATACTATTTTTATCGTGTGATACTGTTCATTTACTGCATTCCATCTTTTCTCCAGCTATCGTGGATGGGTCCTCATACTGACGTTCTTTGCTTACACTTCGTATCATCTTTCAAGGAAACCTATCAGTGTTGTAAAGGTGAGAAAATAGCATTAACCATTTCATGATTTTATTTTCAAATCGGGACAATAGCGTAATAATAATTATAACTCTTGTTTTTCTTGAAATTGAACTTCCCCAAAAAATCTCAAAAATTCAGCACTATGCATAGAAACATTTCTTACAGACGTTTGTTATATATATACATATATGGCTTTAAATTTTTGTTTTTCCTTATCCACCACCTCGTAAGCTTTTAGGCTTAGGTTGAATCTTGTTTGAATAAAGGTTTATAAATCTGTCTATCTGGTAGATTTCTGGTAACAATAGGTTGTTTATGAAAATAATGTTGTTTAACGAAACACCGCTGTGGATTTTAGACCCTGATGTTGGGGCAGTGGGAGGGGAGGGTAGGCTAAACACTCATTATTTTGAGGCAGCTGAAGGACCCTAAACTAAAGCTCACTTGAAAAGGTGAGTTCACTTAAATAGAGTCAAACTTTTGGGCTTTTGATCAGTAATATGGACTTCAGATGCTTTACACCACTGAGCTGTGAGAGACTAATGCTAAATTTAGCAGTGTTTATTCATTCTGTTGAAACCTGTGTCACTTACTAAATAAACACCATTTTTTCCATCACTAATCTTACCACACAGTGTGTTCAGTTTCTTTTTGGGAGAGAAAAAAACTGAAATTGAACTGAGGTTTCTCTGAGAATTGTGTGGGATACTGAAATATTTCTGAAGCATTTGTTCAAAAATTTCGTTTTGCATTGCATGTGGTAATTTCAATTTGACACCTTTGCACATGTCTATTTTGGTACAATTCCAAAAGTTGGGATTAATTTGCATAACAACTCTCCTAGACTAATTTTCAGCCTTTTCCAGAAAATGAAAACACATACAAACTTGTCCTATGATACATAGCAGCCTAGTGCATTTTTTATGAATTTTTTTGATAATGAAATATTGTCTACGATATTTTAAGTAATTTTACTGCAGTGTGTAAAGTCAATAGTGAAAAAATTAATATTGGTAGTATTGTGTGTTTCATGTCTGTGTATAAAACTAGTCCTTGTGCTGAGGAGAAGTTGTGATAGAGGTGCCATGAAGAAGAAAAAAATTGAAGGTGTTAGTGAATTGTAAATACAGATTTTTTTAAATTTGCAAAAAAGTGATATTTTGATATGGTGATTGCAATCTACTAATACATGTAGGAATGGGGTCACCAAACTTGTTTTTGAGTCTCAGGGTCTGTTTACATGGAGGTGGGGGATCCCAGGTGGGTGAGGTAACCCACCAAGGTGGGGTAACCTGCCTTTCCATGTATAATCTCTTGTTTTATCTTGACCACATTTACATGATAGGTGGGGTAACCTGTCAAGGCAGGTTGCCTGGTCTGCTAGGTGGGGTAACCCTGTCAGCAAGGGTGACAGTTTGTCATGTAAACGTCTTAAGGGGGGTAACCCACTTAGCCGGGGTCGCGTTCATGGCAAAAAGCTCAAAAGCTAAACACGTATGTTTTAAAAATTTGTACATTTCCTAGCCGTCTCATTGCAGAAATCAATAGAAACTGCAATGGACACACAAGGAGTGTAAAATGTTCACATTTCGGAATATTTAGTGTTGTAAATCGGCCATATTTCGTTTCCCAATCCATTTCTTATAACATATTAAGTCTACAATTCCTTGCGTAACCTGACACTGCTTAACACAATGTGTGACGCTTTCATGAATAAATACATAGTTTACATGTCCGAGAATTAATCTCTCCTCTTTCTCGAGATTTGAGCTTGGGATGCCTGCACTTAAACTCCCTAATTGCAAGCGCAACATCAACCTTACGAAACCTCACCCCAGCACCCCGGGGTTGTAAGATTGCATGTAAATGCATTTTATTTTTGTACCATGGCTAGGCGGGTTACCTCACCTACCTGGTGTCCCCCACCTCCATGTAAACAGGCCCTAAGGCAGATAAACAAAAACACTAAGGTGTGCAAGTAATTTAATACTGAGTTTTTATCTGCTTTTGTTCATTTTAGGGCACATTGAAACCAAATTGTTCAAAAATAAGTGCAAGTTGCCACGGCTGGAAACCATTTGGTAATAAGTGGAAAGATTTTTTATAGTAAAACTTTAAGTTGTTTTTAAAACATGCCAATAACTCCCTAAATGTGTTGTATATCATAGATATCATATGACTGCATCTGACTCATGTGGTTTTGTTGTCCATGATCATTAGATTCACCAGACACTGGTGATGAGCTTCTTGGAGCATTGGACTTGGCATTTCTTTTTTCCTATGCTGTTGGCATGTTTTTCAGGTACATATAAAATATGAATTTTAACTACAGTATCAGTGGAACAGACACATTTTTGAGCACTGTTAAAAGTGCATATTGGTTAAATATTCAGATGATGTCACTTCACAACTCTTGCTTAACCCTTTAACTCCCAAATCAAATTTGTAACTCTCCTTACTGTCAATGATACAATTGTTATAATGTTAGTTCAGAGAATTTGGTATTCAATCAACTTATTATCCCTAAATTTATATTTTTCTTTGTTCTCGTCACTTATCTGCTTGATATTATATTGATACTGTAAGGAGAAATTCTGTCTTGGTCACCCATGGGAGTTGAAGGGTTAATCATAGATCCTGATTGTAATCATTACCCTTTGATTTTTAAGAGTGACTAGCATCTAATTTCTCCTTGAAATATCACCCCTGAATCAAACACTAAGAACTCATGAATAAAGGAAATGATCACCAACTAAAGATGCTCTTGATTGTCAAACAAATTCTTATTGATAGCATCCTAGGAACTTATAAAGACCAGTATGGAGAGTGCACAGACAAATGTTATGAAATTTTCTTTCTTTTTTCTTTTGATGGTAGTGGTTTTGTTGCGGAGCACATGGACCTGCGGCATTTTCTTACAATAGGGATGTTATCCAGTGGTCTTTTTACAGCATTATTTGGCATGGGATATTTTTGGAAACTTCACTATTTTGCATATTTCTTCACCATCCAGGTATATACTATGATGTGTGTATATATATATATGTACATACAAGATAGACTCTACCCCTACATTCATTTATATATATATATATATATTTTTTTTTTTTCCAAATACAGTTTGGTTGAAGGGGAAAATAGAATTTACTAAGAATAGTTTCTTTCTACTCCTTTCTGAAACACCACTATAATATTTAATCTGTCTAAGGAAAAGTCTTTTGTTTTTAATATTTGAGGTTGCATTTCACATTCATTGTAGAGAACTTGTGCAGCCAAAGATAAATGCATGCAAAAATAAAATTTCAAATCAAGCCATATTCTGATATTGTTTTCCATTCAACTTCTTCATTTGATACAGTACTATCAAGATGAACGTAAATATGTTTTTCAGCTAAATCATGCCACATATTCATGCAGGTGTCTAGTTTAACTTTGCTATTTCTCTTTATCAGATTTTTTCAGGATTTTTTCAGGTATGGATTCTAATTAATGTACATATTATGTGAAACCCCTACTTGGTCTGTCCTGAGCCTCTTAACTCCAAGTTTTGATGAAAATATAACCTCTCTCCATACTGCCATAGTTTTATCCAGAAATCTGAGGCAACAGAAATCAATTAATTTATCGGATGGCATATAGCACCAGTTTAATTGTACTGACTGATTTGCCACTAAATATATACAACATTAACTGGGAAAAATGGCAAATCAATGTTTGAAAAATTACACATAGGTTTCATCTCTGTACAATTTCATTGGCAGGAGAAAATTGAGACTCACATTGTATGTAGGCTGGTGTCCAATAACCACATTTTTTCAAATAGTTTAAAAGGAGAGGTACAGTCAACAAATTCATATGCTATTTATCTGTGCCAGTAACTTAAGATGGTATTAAAATCTACTACCTACCAGGATTTGAGGTTCCAAAAATTTGCACTTATTAGCCTGTGAAAAATTGTCATCAAAGGTGCTCAAAACTTGACTTGATAAGCCACACCTTTGAAAGATGTTTCAGACTTCAAACCAAATGATATAAACTTTGGAAAACATATGGTGTGCTGTACTTAAACCGAAGTTCTGTATCATTTCATAATTTTGTTTGTTTGTATCTTTGTTTCTAGAGTTCTGGCTGGCCCAGTGTAGTAGAATGTGTTGGAAATTGGTTTGGAAAAGGAAGGTAAGGGAATTTTTTTTCAATTCTAGGACATGCATGTACAGATTTGGTTCTGGTCAGCATTAATGGATTTTTTGTATTTCTTCCAACTGGTAACCTGAGGAAATAGCTAAAAAAGGTTGCAGTTTACTCTATATGCTGCATGGTGTAGTTTACTCACATGACTCTGAACAGTTCTTGAATGTGATACATGTTTAACTGTCACTCTTGTTCAGTCCACTGCTAATTGAGTAAAAGAAAACATTTTAGCCAATTCAGTTAGAGTGACATGTGAGGGTCACTTGTGTAGAATTTTGAGATGGTTGGCTGTCATGTGAAAAGAAATTGCATTATTTCATGTCCTTGCGATTTGACTGCTGTCGTTAAAGTGATCCATAATTGTGCTCTTTCCACTTGTCACTAACCAGGGCGTGAAATTAATTTTTTTTTCTGATAGCCACTTGGCTCCTTAATTCATCAAAGTGGTAGCCAATTCAAAAAACGTTGGTTGCCATTTTGAAAAACAAACAAAATCTTTTTTTTTTATGCTGTCATCAATCTAAAAATTAAGTTAGGGAAAAGATCTTTAATGTGCTACAAAGGGGACACTAGGATGGATGATATGCAATGTTTAAGCTCACCTAAATCCAAGATGGCATCTAGTTATCGATTGAGATGCATCTGCTGCGTTTTGGAAACAAACTTAACGAGGAAGTTTGCCGCGGATTTGTTTTTGCAAATTTTTTTAATTCACTATATCTCTAGGTAAGGTTATGATGAAACATTCTAGTCGCCAATTTGGCGACTAATTTTCAGGATTTGGTCGCCAAAGTGAAAAATTTAGTCGCATTGGCACCTGTATTAGGCGCAATTTCACGCTCTGCTAACATGTGAGTGATGTTTGGTTCAAGAGCCAAATGATAAGATAGTGTGGTGTTCCATATGAGAACCACTCCTAAAACAAGAAAAGGGATTTGGGATAAAAAGGAAGGGACAAAGTATGAAAAGTAAATAATTCTTGAAGAGATACAGAGTTAAGGTAGCACTGTACCTTTATTTTCATTTCTTATGCAAAATTTCTTCATTTTAGAGTAATCATTTCTTATTAATAAACAACAATTTTATTAGCAATTTGTCCAACTGCATTTGTCCACTTTCTTGTAGGCGTGGTTTGATAATGGGAATATGGAATTCCCACACATCTGTAGGAAATATTCTTGGGTCTGCTATAGCTGGTATATGGGCAAGTGGTCAGTGGTAAGTTACATCTTGCTATGATCTCTGATTCTTTTGTTTTGATGTTCAGTTGAGATTGAGATTGTCATTTTACTGTAACAGACTCCATCATTATCCATCTCTACTGCAATTAAAATTGTTATTTCTGAATATTCAATTTTTTTTACAGGGGCTATTCATTTATTGTGCCTGGCTGCATTATAGCTGGAATGGCCATCTTTGTATTTCTTTTCCTTGTTGTTGGTAAGTGAATATTTGTCCTATACCTGATATGTGATATGCATCTCCAGTGAATTTTGTGGGCTTGCGATGAGCTGTCTCAGGTTAAATTTGGACACATAATTACCTGATTGAAAAAACATTAAAAAAGTGTCGAATGAGCTGTAGTCAACTTAAACTTTCCACTTGTTTTTTGTATTAGTCACCAGAAAATATGGTACAGTATTGTATTGTAAAGTACAGTGTAATGATGTATAGCAATGTGAAAAAATTGATTCAGACATTAATTTAAACATCAGATCCCAGCCATGTAGGCTGCCAACCTCCTCAACAACACACTGAGGTAAGTTTGCAACTTGCTTCTTTTATTACCTTAATCTTAGACTCAATTTATTTAGGAACCTTAAATAGGAAGTTATAAATTGGAGAATGAAACAAGAACCATTTCTTTTCAGCTGGTATGCTCTGCACTTGAGGGTTGTAGGACCCCTTTAGAGTTATTTTAAAATAGCAGCATTGTTTATTTTCTAAATGTTCATACAGTTTGTGTTAATTACTGTACTAATCATTTGAGCAAGACTGAGGCTAAACATGACCTTGTTACAGTAGAAACCCTTGCCTCTACTCTTAGAAAAAGGCTTGGTAGCCAGGCACACAACTTTAAAATGGGTTTTTTACTTTTATTATTCATCTTTGTAATAATATCCACTGGATTATCTTATCATTATTTTTAACCCAAATGGGTTTTTTAACTCCCTGCATGAAGTTTGTTCACTTTGTCTTCTTTGATATTTAAAGAATAATATTGTGATTGAAATCTGTTTATAGCCTCTGCCTAATGATTCATCTGTCAGCACAGAAGTTGTTACAGACTCTCAAGAGGTGAGATAACTTGTCTGGATCAGTTAAAAATGAATGAATAAATAAGTAGTTATTAACTAGGCACAGTAAGTATATGAGTCATTTTGTTTCAGCTGATAACACCAATTAACAAATCCTGGATTTGTGAAAAATTTTGGTGATAAGTTGGCAAATCTTTGTCATGGAATTTTGTCAGAAGAATTTATAAGAAAATCTCAAAATGAAAGCTTTGTTTTGATATTTCTGTTTTAAACATATAGAGGGGCTATTGTTGTGTTGATTATTTTCTAAGTTATATGGTAAACTAATGGACATGAATATGAAAAATAGGACTAACTTGGTTGCTTCAAGATTAACCCTCTTTAGTATAATTTCTCTGGTGATTATAGAGACTTGTACACTCTTATTGGTTGAGGATTACATCATATTTTGCTATAATCACCTTGTGCAAAGTGATTATAGCAGGGGCACTAAATTTCAAAATGGTTCCCTTGCGTTTTGTCAATGTTATGCAGGAAGTGCTAATTAAATGCAATGGGAGAAAATACAATTCTGAGGAGCACAAATGATGATACTAAGTTAAGTGTCAAACCTTTCAAAAGAAAGCTGTGAAGTTGTGTAGACCGGATTCAATAAGACTGGATTCAATAAACCTGTTAAATTCCAATGGAAACTGGCTGTTTATCTCGATATGACTGAGTAGTCAGAACAATGATAACAGAATGGTTTCAGTGACAAACAAATTTATAACAGAATTCAAAAGTAAGCAACTTTACTAATTAAAAACAATTATTCACCTTAAGGGCAGTGAATATTTTTGAATAATCCCCTTAGGTCTTAGGGATTATTCAACAATGCTCACTTCACTTTTGGTGAATAATTATTAAATATCCTGACATCAGTATCCACATTCTCCATACTGTTGTCCATACATTTCCTAAGGTGCTGAGTTTGTGATCATTTCCTTTATTCTCATGACCTTATTGTTCGATTTAGTGGTGATATTGTGAGGAGAAATTTGATGCTAGTTACTCTCTGGGGTTTAAGGGTAACTAGGAGTGCAAAGAATGCATAAATAGGAATATTTTAAGCAGTAAATTACTATCATAATCATAATGAAGAATTATTAGTTTTATATTAAGTTCTAAGAATATGCTAACGGATTTTTTTAGGTGGTCAAACAAACGGATGCTAATGTATTTCAAATGGATATGCAAACTGTTCAAACGGTTTGTCGAACACTTTTAACAGATTTTTTTAGACGTTCAAACGGATGATGAATGGATAATGAACAGTTTAACTGTTCAAACTGATAACTGTTAGTGTCCGTTTTGCCTTTCATGGTCACATATTGACATTTACTCTACAGAAGAGAGCTATATATTACCAGTGCGTTATGCATTACATAAAATTATCATTGTTGTTTACAGGGTGATGACGGAGAAAGACTTTTAAAAGAACCTTGTTCTTATAGCCCTAAGCCCACTGAAGTGAAAACAAATCTACAGGTGGGTACAAATTTATTTATGTACGAAAGTGTTCCTTTCTTTCTCAGCCCAACTGTTCAGTAACGCGTTTAAGTACTTATGTCTTATTATGTATAATTGTGCTTTCTAAGTGTCCAACATGTAGCTAACAATTTTTGGATATAAATTTAAATTCTGTGGCTGCTCAAATTAGCCTTAAATCTGACCAAGGAGACCAGAGATGTGGAACAAGGTGACCCCTTTCTGTCTAAATCAGCATGCCCTAAGAAAGAATAGTTGAATATGATGTAACAATACAGTTGTTCATTATCCTAAGTCATATAGGCTCTTTCTGTTTTTCAATCCCTTCAGGAAAATAACCATCTGAATAAATAGGTTCTTTACATTTATTGCAATAGGAAAAGTAAACCAATCTTGTCGGGTTTCAGGCTCAATTTTGTCAAAAATTGAGTATCCTGTAGCTGGCCATTTATTTTGTCAGTTGGTTCTTTTTTTACTTTCAGTCAGTTCAAGTTTCAAGTTATTTTAATTTTGTCTTTCATTAAATACATTTTAGGTGCCAAGTGAGTCGCATATTTCAGCTTCAACTGTAGTGCCACCATCACATGGAGAGGCTAGTGCTGTCGGTTTTTGGAGAGCAGTTCTTATTCCAGTGAGTCAAATATTTGATTTCTGTAGTTATTGCTTGTATTTCTCTTTCACTCCACAGATTGTTTTGGTAATCATTCTTTCATTGCTTCACTGAAGTTATTACTGTATGTGTTACTTTAACTAAATATACACTTTGTTCTTGATACACCTTCTTGTCGAGTAGTTTTATGTGAGTAGTCATTTATTTTAAGTTAGAAAGCTCGTAAAGGAAGGAAAGAGTTTTTAATCCTTTTAGTCCCCAAGTGTTTAGTAACTATTTTCTCCTATCAGTATCATCCCTAAAACAAAAATTGAGGTCATGAGAATGAAGGAAATGATCACCAACTAAAGAAGCTAGCAGGAGAAAAGAAATTGAACATTAAACATGAAGGAATTTTGCATATTTGGGTTATAGATCACAGGTTCATTTGTTTCAGTTAAGTTAGTCCTTTTTGGGTTGGAGAATTAGTGGTGTAGAGTTTCATTTCTGTTTCCCAATCAAATATAAATATGTGTGCATTGATCTAGAGTTGTTTACAAAGTTTGGAATGTATGAGAGCATCTACTGAAAGTTACGTTGTCATTGTATCAGTAGTTTACCCTCATTCTCATGGCAGCAGCACTTGTAGCTTTTGCAACTTCCCTTAACCATTAATCCATGTGTCAGCATTGGGCTCATTGAGATATAAAACATGCAGGAAGTTGGGAGAGAGTTAGAGATGCAAAATAGTTGCTTAGGGCTCAGCAGAGGGTAAATCTAGCTTCTTGAGTGTTCTCCAAACTTCTAAATGAACAAATAACTGACTCAAGAATCAACTGTTTCATGACATTTGCCACCTGGTAGTTCAAGTGAGAAATCCCCTCTGTAACACTTAGATGCATACACACATCATCTGCCCTTACAGTGGCAATATGAAGGGTGCTCACTTAATTGAGTGTGGCTGGACAAATTTAACAGTTATGGTAAAACTTAAATTAACTGGAAAGGGCAATGGTTTTTTTTTCTCCCTCAAGCTTAAATTTAAATGCTACATAAGTAGATTTGAAAATTTAATAACAATTACATGTAAGTGGAGTTGGAACCTGGATTTAAATGTCTGCAAATTTCACTTTTCAGGGAGTGATTGAATACTCTCTTTGTTTGTTCTTTGCTAAACTCGTCAGTTACACGTTCCTGTTCTGGCTACCATTTTATATTGAAAATACAAGTAAGTAGTTGCATAGTTTGTAATTAACCTTGTACACATTTTGTTAGGCCATTACTTTTGGTTCATGCATAAGTTGATTACTTATTAGGAGTAAGGATACCACAGCTATTGTCAGCATGTTTTAATCAAACAACTGATTTTCTTGGATCAAGTCCACTATTCTTCCTTTGAACCAAAATTTCCGATCAATTTGATTTAAAATTTGGCAAATGATATTTATTCATTTTTCTAAATGTGTAATGTACTCCATAATCAAAACATACTAGGTAGAATTATTTAAAAAAAGAGATTGGTTCGATAAAGCCCAAAAAATTAAGACTTAGGCAAGATGAACCAATGACACTGTAATTCTTTAAGCAGTTGTTTATACTTCTGAGGTATGAAACCTGCAATGCCGCCATCAGCTCAGTTACAAGTTCATCTGTTCCAGTTTTATGGACAATTCGAATGTGTTTATCAAATGCCGTATGCTTTAACTGTACTGGTGCAAATGAAATTTAGTTTGGAGAATTAAGTACCGCTTTGCACTTTGTATAAACTCGTACCCTATGGATGTTTTTTTTTTAATTCAGTATTTCTTTTTGTCTAGGTATTGGTGGTAAACGGTATGGTCCAACGACATCTGCAGATTTGTCAACTATGTTCGATGTTGGAGGAATCATAGGTAAGGCACTTAACATAGCGTTTCATAAAGGGGTAATTAAGTATAATCAAATTAGTTGATAACGTAAATTGGCCACCGTAAAGAGTTTCGAAGCTGACGTTTTGAACGTTAGCCCTTCGTCAGAGCCCTTTGCTCCGACGAAGGGCTAACGCTCGAAACGTCAGCTTTTACGGTGGCGGCCAATTTACATTATCAACTCAGTTGATAATACCAAATTACCTTGTTATTCTCCCTCACCGACGCAGGACTACAGTTTCTTTAGAAAGCTACGCCCGTTTCATGAAGGGCAGATCCTTTCCATGTTCGGAGCCACCACTGGATTTAGTTTGCTTCTGATTGGTTGAGAGAGTGGCGCGAGTTTTCAGGGCCAATTACAGAGCGAGTTTTTCCGGGCCAATTACAGAACGAGTTTTACCGGGTCAATTAGAGAGCGAAGTAAAGCAACACCAATGTAATCCCGGGTTACTTTGGACACTCGATTGACCTAACAGGTTTCAATTAATTCCTACTCGACTGTTGACTGTTCTCTTATGTTGTAGGAGGTATCTTAGCTGGATTTGTCTCGGACAAAACAAAGTGCAGTGGAATCACAGTTGTTGTCATGTTGTTCCTCGCGGGGCCAATGGTGAGTGTTTTGCTGAGTACATGTTGAAATTGGTTTGATATAAACATGTATTGGAAATTCCCTTATCCCAAAGCCAGGTTTTAAATCTAAGGCAGTATTGACAAAGGATAAAGTACACAACCAAGGGATAACTGGCTGCGACAAATCTCTGTAAAAACCACTATGAGTCCACAGGCTGTGACTACTTGATGATAACTGAGCATGCTGTGACTTCTTTCAGTTAACGAGCCATAATTTATTATTTTTTAAATTTTTTTTTCAGCTCTTTGTGTATAGATTTTTTGCCAATGCAAACCTCAAAGTTAACATTGGTAGGTATTTTGATATCGATGTTTTGTGCATATTGTAGACTGGTATTGGAAATAGTGCTTTCAATGTTATGTTGTTAACAATTAAAGCTGCGCAAGAAAAAGAAATCGTACATGAGACCCAGCAAACTCGATCTAACAGAAAATTTATATATTTATTTACGCTAAATCAAGGATTAGCTTCTGATTAGAAAAATTAGCAATCCGAAAAACCAACAGGTCAATTATCGAAAGTAATAAACCAATCACAAGCCGGAGAGAGCGAAGTAAAGTGATTCTTGATCAAACCCATCTCTGAAGTTCTTGAACTTAATGAGTTCAATCGATGTACCCAATCTTGTCATTGACTTTAAGCAAAGGTCTCCTCTGCATTACGATGTGCGCCGGGGAACGTGTACACAGAAAATCGGTAAGAATATTTCCGTTTGCACTACAATGGTCAGCGGCCAAAGAAACGTTTGAGTGCGTCCTTGGTCATGCGCAAAAATAAGTGTCCCATCGCCGTTGGCGTTTCTGGTTGCATCCCTCTGCGGATATGTGTGAACGATTTGCCAACGGTAGAAAAAAAGAACGTTTAGTTTTGAAATTTATCAGTTTTGAATTGAAGAGCGTTTTCAAATTGGCTAATTTCTTGGCGGACATTTAATTAGCGTAAATGTCAGGCCGTAAATACGGAATGAAAGGTGCTTTTTGAAATTTCTCCAGTGTAGTGTAGACGAGACGTTTGTGGTAAAACACTCCATTGGCGCCTTAGCTTACTATGAATGTGTTTTTTACTGATTGCAGCTCTGATGATACTCAGCGGCGTCCTAGTGAACGGTCCATATGCTTTAATCACAACAGCGGTATCAGCTAATCTGGTAAGGTTGTAACATCCAATTCCTATTAACGTGATCGGAATGGAAAAAAAAAATTGAAGTCGTAAACAATAATAAGCAGAGGTCCTAACATGTTCATGAATTTCTCCGTGAGATGCAAATCTTTTTCCTCCCGTCTCCAGTTGGGCTTCGTTTTGACGAAAATGAGAAGGGTCTTCAATTTTTCATGACTAAAGACACGTTATGTTTAAAAAAGTGGAGTCCGAATCATTAATTAAACTTTCATTTGTTTGTTTAAACCGCCCTTTAAACCCTTGAACTCCCAAGATCTGATCGTAAATTCTCCACTCTATCTGCTACAAATTTCCTTTTAAAATAGGAAGAGATTTTGGTGTTAGATCAGAATAACTTCTTTCTGATAAGCTTGAGTATTTTTATTACTTATTTGTTGGATAATGTAGAGGTACTATAGGAAGAGGTTACATGGTAATTACTTCTTGGAGTCAAAGGGTTAACACAATGTCATGTTTGCAGGGTACCCATCCATGTCTTCAAGGAAATACAAAGGCCATGGCTACCGTCACTGCAATCATAGATGGCACAGGCTCCATGGGTGAGGATAACACACTGAAGATTCTATTAAAAGATCTTATAGAACCACAGTGCTAGAAATTATCTTCGTCTAATTTGTAGTCTAGTTTTAATGAATGTATTTCCGTTGGGTAAACACCTACATTGTTTTCGACTGAAACTAAAACAGGATCACCTGAAAAGGGAAAATGAATCATTTGAGTCAAGTTTTGAAAAACTAAAATTTCATGTGTTGTGACGAAAGGCTCGCATTAAACTTCGGCTCTTCAAAATTTGCTGCGTCATTTCATTTTACCTTCTTTACTTCATTTGATGAAAGGCTCTTTAAACCCTTTACTACCTAACGTCAGAATGCATATTCTCCATACTGTTCTGTATACATTTCCTTTGGTACCTACAAGTACCATTTGTCTAACAATCTAGAGTTTTTTGAGTTTGTGATCATTTCCTGTTTTCTCAAGACCTTGTTTGATTCGAGAGAATTTAGATGCCAGGTACTCCTACACTTGCTTTCCGCCACAGCCTTATAGACAATGACTGATTTCTTTTAACCTTTTTAATCCCTGAGAGTGATCAGCATCTAATTTCTCCTATCAATATCACCCAAGAATCAAACATCAGGTCATGAGAATAAAGGAAACGATAATTAACCAAAGAACCTCTTGATTGTGAAACAAATTCTCCTTGCAAGCACATCAGAAAATGTATAGAGACCAGAATGGAGAATATGCCCACTGATGATATGGTGTAAAGGGTTTATCCTCTTATGTACTCTTTTTTTGTAGGAAGAATAATCTTCTTACCATTTCATACAAGTCGTCTCTAACGTTACCTTTCCTCATGCTAGGTGCTGCCCTCGGACCGCTTTTAACGGGAATCATCTCGCCAACGGTAAGTAAATAATTTCTGTTAAATGGAATAAATAAGCAAACTATTAATAAAAATATACTTTTATCGCCAACGGTATGTTATCAAATGCTTTTTATTGTAGAAATTCTCCTCGAATCATAAGACTCATAATTCCTACTTAAAAAGGCCAATTTAAACTTTTAGCTCTTGAGTTACCGTGTATCGATAAGAACTTAGGTAGAAATTTCACGCCTGGAAGATCTTGAAAAAATTCTGGAAAAGTCATCGTTTTCAACTAGTGCGAATCTTTGCCATGCCTAATGATGCCTTCTGTTCATTCGTCCTTATTTTAGCATTTCTCTGCCCTATCAAACTATTAATACAGGGATCTCCCTTTAATTTGCGCAGTTTTCAACGACTCAGTAGCACTCAAAATATATCGACATAGGTGTTTAGAGGAAAAAAAGTTTCTTATTGAGAAAAGAAAGTCTACTAATGGTAAACATTCCTTATGATAAAGTTTATATTGTTATATTTCTACCAGGGCTGGAACAATGTATTTTACATGCTGATTTCCGCCGACATTTTTGCCGCCATTGTAAGTATATATAAATTTTTTTTTCGAAAACAGAGGAAAAACCCACTGCACTCATCCACTTCCTCGTATACGTGAACAAATCGCGCAGTTTTGAACATATGGTGGTGTTAGATAAAAACTTCTTTCTTATCAGCTGGCCAATTCGCGTAAAAGCTGGGCAAAGATCTGCCTTCATTTAATCTTCAACCTAAATTTGCGAGTCCTTCGTAGCTTTTGCAATAATTGTCTGTGTTAAGAATCAGTATACTTCAACCAGTTTACCCCAATCTTCATCAGTTCTATCTCGACAATTAGTTTAAAACATGAAAACGCGTGCAATAAAAAAAAAAACAAACAAACAAATGAGAGCAATTGTGTGATTTAAAACTGATATTTCCTTTTATTTTCACTCTTAGCTCCTCAGCAGACAAGTATGGTTTGAAATAAGTCAGAACTGTTTCAGGCGCAGGTGAGTAACATTTAAAATGACAAAAATACATACATTTTTGCCTTCTATACGGGTATTATGGCAAAAAAACCGAACTTAGTTAACGTTGTTGAATTTTTTGTTTTCACTCCACAGAGAGCGAGTTCGCCTAGCGTATTTGGAGTCTGGCCATACCAGTTTGAGAAATGGTACTACGTATGAACCTCACGAACGACGTAGCGAAGCGGAGCCACTTCTGCACAGCAGCTAACACATACTAATAGAAATGGATAAATGACTCGGAAGTCAAAGAATTTTTTCACGCAGGTTACTGGTGTCTGGCTTAAATTTTTACTTTAGAGTTGAAGTACCGACGCGAGCCGACGCAGTTGACAACAAATCACCAGCCAATCAGAACCCGGCTTTGACGGTCACGAGCGGGAAAAGAGAGTTCTACGATCTTCCATAATCTTAAAATACTTGTTCTTTAATCTAGCCAACGATTAACATTGTTGTTAAAATCCAAGCGCCTACTTGAATGAAGAAATCATCTTTCTCCTTAATTGCAGAGTTAATAAATTTGTCTTTGAAGAAATGAAGGACAAGGCAAACGAATATATACATCAAATACGAATGAAATATTTGGGTAGTTTTCTATAAATTTTAAGAAGTATTTCAATCATAATTTACTCAAAATGAATGCGATAAGTGTAAATAGGAAATCCAGATAATTTTATACTTAATATTCATTCTCTTGTATCGCCATATCCTTAGAGTGGTGTCGTGTTACAATGAAACTGGATATTTTCTAGATAGGTAGTAGCCACTTGAGGAGACTACAGGTCTTTTGGGTATTTTTATTTTAAAAAGTGGCTGAGAACATTCATAAAGTGGCTTTTGTCATCGGAATTGCTACTTTGGTAATTCGAATAATTATAGTAAATGTTGACGGTCTTGCAGCATACATTTGTGGAAAGGAATCCGGCATTCGCCGTAGGAGTTCGGTTGGACACCTAGCCCTAGGCTTTTAGACTGTGATGGGGGGGAAGGCTTTGAAATTACGTAAAACGGTTTTGGCGAAATTTAAAAAGTTTTTAATGGAATGCATCTATTGAATGAAATAAGAGGAAATAAAATATGTTCGTCCAAATAGTTACTGTGTAGTTTTCTGATCCTATCTTTGTGTCCATGTTATGGTTGAATTTGATCCATTGTTCCAATTTAAACAAAGTCCGCACTCGGATCAAAGGGATTTTAAGCGCTTTATCGAGGATTTTGTTGCGAAAGACGTTTAGAAATGTTGTTACTACACCTGAATGGGATTTGACTTCGTAGCCGGTTGCCTCTCGTCATTTCGTCAGGTTCACTGACACTTCGCTGATCCCGATTTTACTTCTGGGTAGAGAGAGACAAAAATGGCAACTCCCTTCAATAGAAAAACGATCTTAACAATTAGATAAATTTTAAGTGTAGCATCAGAGATAGTCCTGGATTAGTTTGGTTTGCTTCACTACGCCCTTTCATTAGTCTAGGAAACTCGCGCTATCTTCTCAAACAGTCAAAACTTCAACAAATTGCATCTTGTTATTCGCGTTTTCCCGCGCTTTAGACAGTATGTTTGTTTTGCTATGAGTTTTCATGGGCTTCCTGAGTTTTTCACTTTGGGTGGCCGCTGTAACTAATCCAGTTTTACAACACTTGCTTAATTTAAAGTTTGCTTTCAGTCGCCTGAAGATAAAGGCCAGGCAAGTTTCAGAATTTTTTTCAAAGAAAATGTAGTAAGTTATAATGAGCATTCTGTGACAAGGAAGAAAAGATGAAAGTGTCAGTCAATTTTTCTTTCCGCTGACCGGATTCAGAGGGGGTCGGGTGACAGGGAGAGGGGGGAGGGGGAATGTTCTCCTTTCCATTTCTTATCGATGGCATGTGACTCAAGGTTGACGATTATTAGAGTTAACTTCAGGGTTTGTTTTTCCAGAAAAACTCATGCGAACAACTTAAAAAGCAATTTTAAGGTGTCAAATAACAGTTTCTTGATGTCATGTTGTAGCGAATTAGATCTACCATGTGCGCAAAGGTATCATAATGGGTGAATATTTTCAAATAAAAGGTAAAAACTCTTTCCATTACGAATCGGACCGATAATACTGAGATAAATATTTTGAAAAAAAGGGTGAGAGTAAAAGCTTTTTTCAAGTTTTAAACGAAAATCGATCGACATTCTTATATCATAAACATTTCACTTTATCTCGACGAGTTCCTGTCCGACATTCTTATATCATAGACATTTCACTTTGTCTCGACGAGTTCCTGTCAGCACTACTAAAAATTCAATGCACTTATCACGTAATGCGAAATTCGGTGTAACGTTTCATTCGGATGACGAATTGAAGACTTGTACGCGATCTTCTCCGTGAGCTCGAGATTTCCATTGCGTGATAGTTTGTAGGACGAAGCCCGAATAATCTAGTATCACGCATAGGAATCAAGAGCGAATAAGCCTATTTTGGCAGAATGCATTTGCTAATCGTTAAATCTTAACAACGATATAGGCTCGTGTTTTCATCTTAATCTGTACACAACTGAACATTATTAGGCTATTCACACCACCCACTATCTATCACGGAATAGCAGTGAGTAGCGTAGCCAATCAGATTACAACATTCGTGATAGAACGCTTGGAGATTTTTTTTTAACCGGAAATAGCTTTCGCTCTTGACCGAATGTCTGTTACATAAAAAAGAAAAAAAGAAAAAAGGCTTGCTTATTTGCGTCTTCGAATAAGGCAAAAAGACGAAATAAGGATTTAATCGTTCAGCACCAAATGAGCGAGGGTCTTAGCTCCAGAGGACAATGGGTCAAATTTTAACCAAAAGGAACGTTTGTACTGAGTAGCTTGACCAAACGTGCCTTGAAAAAGGGGCGAAGTACAGTCTACTGGAAAAGTACTTTGAACAACATTACAGTATAATGGAGGCGCTTCAAAAACTTCCATAGCGAGAGAATAGAGCGTACGTTACTATCTGGATGTGGTGCAGAGAAACAAAGTTCAGAGAAGGACTTCTGCTCGCGGTGATATGCTTAAAAAACATTCAGTTATTGGCGCGTGCTGAAAAGAATCAGTAGAAAGAAATTTCAAAGATATGCATGATTGTTTCCTATAACTATTAATCTTTTATAAAATCATGTATGTTGAAGTTCTATCTATTAAATCGCCAGCGTGAAAACGTTATTTCAAATTGATGTCAGAGCACTTACTGTTATACCTTAAAAATATTTTTGAAAATTGCAAAACAATTTGTCACTATCGCATGACATTTCATCGCAACGAGGGGTTTGGATCATATGTCCAAATGAACTTTGTAGCCCCTGTTATCAAAGAAAAAAATAAATCCAGCTTTAAGAAACATTCTCATGTTTGTTTTACGATATTTTGTCATTTTTGGTTATAGATAGCGAAGCTGCCACGCGAATTCTACTTTGTATCCTATGTTGGACAAGGCTAGTCTTCTAAGGCAATATCTCGCAGTAACGGAGTTTAAACGTAACGATTTACGAAAGGTTTGAAAATTGAGTAATTTCACTCCGACAGTATCACCACAATTTCTCCAGTTTTGGCAAGGTGATATCCGCGCAAACTCCAATGGATTTCAACACCAGATCGATTAGCACGCGATTGGTTTCAGCGTATCATGTGACCGAATATGACATCTTACTCAGTCTAAGGAACTTCCCGGTAAAAGTCCCCAATTTCAAACCTTGCGTCCTATGCCATCGAAGTCTTTGTATTAGATGAAAAGGTGTTTTGATGTTGTAACAGAAGAAAAGAGACAGGCTTGTTTGTTCCTACATTTTTTCACAGTAAACTGTCAGTAAATCGCTTATTTCGCACGATTTGTAAAATGTACATGTGTTTTGAAGGATAATAAACACAGCAACCTTTATTTGGCTCAAAAATAAGCCTTTACATTTGCCTTTAACGTGGTAAGTTCCTCAAGGCTGATAGATTGAAAGAAAAAAAGAAAATTGTTCCACACAAAGATTACAGATAAAGTTTAGGGAAAAATTAAATATCCCAAAAAATTTTTGCATCAAATGAAGGTTATTGTTGGTGTGTTATTCATGTTTAACTGGGACAAGTTCGTTCATGTCTCGATCGAGTCTAAACCAATCGCTCGTGAGTGGAAATATTTGATATATCAACGGCGAAAATGTTTCAAGTAAGAGGTGAAAGTTCGAGCAAAGTTGAAATTGTAACCTAATAGCCATCGGTTTGCACGTGCAACCCGTGACCATCAGTAAACGTGACGAAGACCAGCTGACAAATTACGTAGCAAATTTTTCAAGTAAGGAGGTCGCGTGTTAAATTTGTAGCTCAATTTTTAAGTTATGCAACACCGTTATGGCCTTAGTCACGGCAAGAACCCATTTGGAAGCCGGGGATTTGCAGTAGCTAAAACAACGCTATTTGGTTGTTCGAGAGCTCGTAGCCTTTCTTCAATGAGAATGTTTCCGTCAAATGCTTCCCCAACGCTTATTTATGGTATGGTAAATGCTACAGTGGGCTAAGCTATCTTTTGACTTCAGATAATCACCCAGTTGTCAAATGACCAAATGACTTCAGTAGGCTTCCCCGCAAGTCAGTCATAAATAAGGTTCTAAAGGGGATTTTTTTCGATATTTTTCTCTTTGATTTGGAAATAAATTTCGAGAACAAAAAATTCCTTCAAGCGAAATTTATATATAGTTAAGTGGCAGACGAGGTTAAACAAAGCCCGGGGCTATATGGGGGGGGGGGGAGGGGGAAGGGGGCTAATCTTTGAACCTTCAGGAAAGTTTGTGCCGGTGCGATTCTGGAGACCTCTTGCTTTTTATATATCCTAAATAAACTTCAGATGTAAACCTATTGTAAATTCTTCACCTTCAAGGTATTCTTGAAAGTTTTCACCATCATAGCTTAAAGCCTCATTCATATTGGAGAGAGAGGTCTTCTTGTCAACCATTTTAAGTATTTCAACATCCTGACAGCCACTCTCCACAAAACGGCTTATATCTCTTTGGGGAAGAGGCTATTTTCCCCACCCCACCCCCTTACCACTCCTCCCCGGGAGTTTGTAAGGGTAACCGTAAAATCACTAAAAGCCACGTCACGTCACGGTCACGCCTTCTTCATGAGAGTTTTGCAAGAACAATAACTATTTTCTACCTAGGAGTGTCTAAACTTAAAAAGTCATTCATTCGTCTCTACTCCTCCTGCAGATCGGGACAACTCCCAATCGGGTAAGAAATAGTTCAATTTAATTTTAACTAGACCGATCTCCGCACATTTTCCTCCGCATTGGGAATGCTGTCCTCTTAAAGACACTAATGAAGACGCGGAAAGACGATATTTAATTCATTGCTGAATTAAAGTCGCTTTTAATTTAACGGTGGTCTTACGCAATTCACTTTCGAAAATTGTTTTCGACTCTTATTATAAACCAGAAAATTTTATCGCTTTTTCTATTTCATCTGTTAGCTTAGCGGGAACGACAATTACAGAGTTTTTGGCGACGTAGATAAAATTTTTCTTTCATACAAAATCTTATGTAATTATGCAGGTTTTTTTTCCTTTTTTGCCAAGTGCTGATGTAAACCTAGTAGGCTGGTTCTTTCTTCTATTTTTGTATCTTTTCATAACTTGTTCTCTTCGTTTTGACGTTGGTATGCGACAAGCCCACATTTTCGAAGTGAAAAAAGGAAAATATAAGATTATCTTGATTGTCAGGGGTGAAAAATAAAATCTACTCAATTGAGGCTCACATGTGCGCTAAGGCTTTTTTCTGATTAAAATCTAAGATGGTTGTAACCCAATGCCCAAACGAACGTCTTTCACAGGTATGTGAAAGAAAATGAGGGTCGTTTCTGCAACATTTTTCCCGCTCACTATAAGCATTGTAAGTTTTAATTCTCGTTTGAAAGCTAGTAAAAGCACATAACCTTCTCAGTGGTGCCAGTCACACGACTGTCTCGATAGGGTCAGCCGGTTGCAGGATGAGACGAGAATAACATGTTAACATTGCGTTATAATTGACACAGTCAAACCTTTTTCTAAGGATAATGTCACTTACGACTGCCTTGAGAAATTCCCATCACGGAAAACACCGTGTTTATGTATTACTAGAACTGAACCGACTCAATTAAGGACATATTCCTGTTTCGAGAGCGCTCTGGTCTCCGCCGAGTGACCGTCACCCCGTATTCATAACTTAATTCTTTATCTATACTCCTATACTTTATACTCCTATTCATTTGATCGTTTATCCATGTATTTACCTAATTTAACCGTCTTTGGATCTTACAGTAGATTTCGCTGAACAATTTTCTCTCGTTCCTCTTCAAAGCCTTAGTTCTGTTTTCTGTACAGAATGTAAGGGCAGTGCCCTCTATGAGTTGAGCCTTACAACATTGTGTAAACCATTTTTGGGGACGATTCTAACTGATACGGGGCGAGAAAATTGCCGATTTCCATCCCTAAAAAACTCTCGTCATGAAAAAGGATTTAACTGATCGTTGATTATTTTAAATTTTGAATACGAGCCCTGGGCAATATTTCCGCTCGTTTTATACGTTGAACCATCGAATAAGGGATCAGTTTTCCATTTTCCTTTTACTTTCTATTAAGTTGTAGCATGCGAGCAAGAAATCATTTCAAAATAGCGCTTCGGCGTGAGCATTTCTTCGCCAGCGGAAGGTACGAGGCCTTATACAACGCAAGCTTGTGACCTCGGTAAACCTCTCTCCGACTGCCTGATCTCAAATTTCCCGCTTCCTGCAGCGCTATTGGCTTGCTCGCAGGCTAGTACATGGGTCTAGTCGTCAACATACATCCTTCGGCATCAGCTGAGAAAAATATTGATCTCATATGGCGTATAAAAAAGACGAAAACAACACAGACACAACCATGGAGATGTCTTACATGACGAACATTAACGTATCAGTGTAATAACTGAGGTACATTAATTCTGAAAAATATAAAGCTTTTGTACATGTTAAATCTAGTCTTCATGCAGCTTCAGTCAAGTTTGTTCTTTTCTTTTAATTTCATTCTCTTCTGGCACAAGTTTCAGAAAAATAATTCCAATCAATATTCATCCCTCCCGTGAGATCTTTTCAACCCACTCACAGCCGCCTGATACACCATCTTCAGCCGGTTAAGGCAAAAGGAAAGACTGTTTCTTAGTACTGTCGGATAGCTTCGTAATTTGAATATAATATTATCCCCTTCAAAATTCCAGGAGCAAACAAACTGAAATTGTTTTGTACAGGTAATCGCATGATTTCGGGATAAATCAACACGAGTAACTTTTACAAAGGCTATCTGGGCGAATGCAATTCAATTGAATTGGATTGATGCTCTACAACTTGTAGTATTTGAAAAATTTAGGAATCTGAAAAAATAGAGTATCAACTCAAAGAAATTTTTCCTTTCAGCGAGTCTTACTGGTTAGAGTGTAATGAGAAGCGATGAAAATACAGTGAACACTCTACACTTTTTCACGTTATTCTTGACAATTTTTATCGATGTAGAAGGTTACTTGACAGCAGGGAAAATAAGCATAGATTCGTTTGCCGTATAAAATCGCTCAACTCGTGCTAACCATAACTCAAAAGTCATGCGTTAACATGTTGAATTATCAGATAGTTCAACAAAACCAGAAACATTGTTTTACTTGATCAGAAGAAGCATTCCAGTGTATTTTTAAGCTCACAAAAAGGAAAACAAGTTGTTATGTCTTCTTGTAGTGATTATTCTATCTTATGTGAAATTTGAGACATGAATAGAAGCAGTTATGGTTAAGCACAATAAAGCATAACTTATCATCGGAAACACGAGTTTCTCTCGTGGTTTTTATACAAAAAATTATTACGATTATTCTACAAAACAATGCTGTTACATTCCGAAAATGCGAGACTAATGAATAGTATCCAATCATTTCAATTTAGCTTTATTCATTTTTTAACACTGGCTTAAGAATTTGGGACTGCTGATATGGATTCTTCTGATATGGATCGATACATGTATGCACAGCAAAATATTTCATTCGCATGCAAGTGTGGCTTCACGGTTGCGAAAAGTTGTGTTCAGCTTCAATAATTTTAAATTTTAGGAATGTGTGGCCGTGAATTGCCGCAGGGTTTTTGAAACAGTTTTGAAAATCATACGGAATTACTCGTGACATTCGTCAGTAGACGGTTGTCGACTTGTTTATCAGTGCTATTCAAATCTCAGCTGTACCTTTCCAAGTAAATCGGCGTCCAACCCTTGAAAATAACAACAGATCAAACAATACCTTAGTATCTTTTATTCCATGGCTGTTCAGTTCGTTTTGCAGCTTCAAACAATGTGAACTTCGTATTTCCTCGCTGGCGACTCATCAAATCATTGATTTCAGAGTGGTTGGACTTAGCTCAGGAATTGCAAGTCCGTTGTAGAACAAACCAAACAAATGATCAAAAACATTTTCGACGTTTACAAACCTAAACTACAAAGACAATTCTTAAGAATGCACAGATACATATCAAAGAGTAATTCACTTTCGGTAACTGATCAAAGTACATCGGGCGATCAATACACAATCACTAACTTGTATCGAAATATTAAACTAAGGAATGATTAACTTTCATGGTAAATCACTGCAAAGAGATTTAAACTCTACTTCAGCGTAGACTTCAGAGACATTACTATTTTATGTAAAGTTTCCATGATAAAAAAAAGTTTCGTAAAAAATTGAAACGTGCACGAGTTATTTACAAAAACGTGTTTTCGAGCTGAATTCTCTAGTCGGCCACAACAGGGGATAGCCAATTGAAACTTGTCAATATAAATGACTACCGATATGTTTTCAGAGGTAAATATCCTGGTTCTTGAATTTCAATCACTGAGACACCTCCTGATTTAATTTCACTCGGTGATCTTTGTTATAATTCTTGTGTATTAGACTAGACTGTGAATGGGAAAAGGTGAAACAGAGAAGAGTCCTTCGGTTAAAGCCAAAAAGAAGCCTGGCTGATAAAAAAAAAGACTGAAATTAAAGAGATTCAACGAGGAACGTCCGAAAAATCTCACTAAAAGAGATAAGGGCTCGTGGATTACGCAGTCTTTGCTGCTTGCACTCGATCAGCATCCATCAACCTGTTCTGGCGAGCTCAAGCCACGTACACCTTGAGATTACTCTGACGGCAAGCGGATTTGAACAGAAAGGCTGGTTCCCACTGGCGATGGCGTCGTAGTCGGAGTCGTGAGAGTGCTTCCGAACCATGCCAAGTGAAAATCAAAATCGGAGTCGTAAGTAGAGTCATAAGCTCGACGGAATCTGAGTCGAAAGAATCACAATGGTTTCATTTTTAACGATTCCGTTACGACTCCGATGCCTAAGATCTAGTGAAATCTCGATTGTTTGATTCTTAGCTGCGAGGATCTTATAATTTCATCTCTCCACCGCAGTGCAAATATGTGAATTTTCATATATCTAAAATCTTAATTCAGTTTTCATCGCATCGAAGGCGACGGAGTCGTAAGCAGTATCGATATTTTTCTTCCGATTCCGATGATTTTCAACAGATCGTATCACTCTGCTCTTCTGATTTAGACTCCGACTCCGGCTTAATCGTAAGTGAAAACTGGCTTTACAAGAGATAGATAATCCCACTTTTGTTGCATTTCGTTTGCCCTGATCTTAACAGTGTGGTGTGATTTAAGCTGGTTTTGCGATTCTATTTTTACCTTTGACACAAGGAATCAAAATATAGCAACATGTGATATAACGACAGTGACTTTAGTTACCTCTTTAAATCAATTTAAGCATAGCTAATTATAAGACAACCTTTCTCCATTTTACATCTCAATTCCTATAAAAACTTTAAAAGTCTTTGCGTCACGCAATATAGCACATTCACTGAGCATTGAGATTGTGAGTTTGCGCTGCCTTAGAATGTCGAATAATCGACACGCAACGAAGTCGAGAGGTTTGTTCGACAATATTCACTGGACCTCCGGCGTATGACTGTCAAATGATACACAATATACAATTTTTAGCAGTGATTCGGAAGTTTTTCGCGGAATATTAATGCTTGTTGATAATATACGACACCGGACTCGGCCTTTTCGTTCCACATCGATTTCCGCTTACAATATTTGTCTTTAATTATAATGCCACCACAACAGAATCGGCGTACTTCTCTAAACGGGTGCATATGGAATGTTCAAACTCTTCTTTTCAAGTTCTTCCGTCATTTCAAGTTTAACAACCTGTTAGTTCTGTTTTCAGTGGGTAGCATTCATGGTTAACCAAGTGCACAAGTATAAGTCCTAATCGATATACTTAACGTCGTTCTAGGTGGGAGGCGGCGTGTGGTTTTATGAGAAAGAGTGAGGTTTTTGTGAAGGCTTGACTCCGTGCCGTCTGGCTCTTGTTTTCTCTGTGCACTTCTCCAGTGCTATTTCCGCCCTTAGCGTGCTTTACAACAGAACAGATCACAGAAGTGATCTACAAATGATGTCAAAATGTGATAAGAACAGAAAGTGGCACGTGATGTTCTTACTGCACGTCAAAAATCGTCAGCGAGAAAGATGGCAGTAATTTTTGAGCTTCGTTAAATTACGGTGAATGTAGCTTATCAAAATTCCGTTTTCCTCTTTTTTTCTTCTTTTTTCGCGTGCATTTGTGCTTCTGTTTTCTTGCTGACCTGTAATTTAATTTTATTTAATGCTAATGTCAACTGGCCGCCTGGCTCCGCTAACCCCCATGGTTTTTCCAGGAAACCAGTACTCTAAATTTTACTTTTAATATTTTCATTATTGTGATTTATTTTTGAGCAAGAGTGAGTACAATAAAGATTGATTTATCGTCTGTGATCTATTATTGAACAGACGCACGACAACATGGAATTTTTTTTTGTTTTATCAAAGCAAAATGTTGTTAATGGTGACGTCATCTAAGCGTCTGTCCTTCAATAGAGCATAAGAAAGAACTAATCAAAATGCGTATATAATTCAGCTTATCATACCAAAAAGGTTGAATAAATCCACCAGTCCCATGCTACAGCAGTGATATAGCTAGTAACTAATGTAACGATTTTACTATGAATGTCTTACAATCATTTTCGTTATTTGCAGGCTTTTCTTAATTTAATTCTTGCAAGCCTCAAAAATGCCATCTCTACAGTTGGGGGCCCACGATCATCACCGCAGCAAAGTTCCTTATGGAATACAATTCATTCGATGGGTTACTACCGAACGAACAACGCAAGTGTAAGAATACTTTTTTTTTCAAAATCTATTCTACAAAATCTTTAACTATCGCAATCTATTTATGGGGTTACAGTGTCTAATTCCTTTGATTTTATTCACTTTCACTTGACATGCACTTCCTCAAGGGCGCACACTTTAGCAAGTGTAACTCAGAAAGAAATAAAGCAACCACTTGTTCCTTACCTTAAAGAGGCACATGGGCCCAGCCCGGAATTGCGATATCTCGTACTTCATGAGAGCTTGAAAGAGGTTCCTAGTTATCGAGATTGGAGAAAAGACAACCGGAAATAAGACAAAATAAGTTTTTACTGTACTAAGTCAAGTTCAAATTATGTAGATTTTTAATAAAATAGCTTTCTCCATTGATCAAATCAAGTACATTGTAGAGACGTCGAGAGAAATGAAACATTTTGAAGAGGAAAATTGGCGGTAATGGGATGGAAGGAATTATAGTGTGATAAAAGGAAAAGAATACACGACTGCCTCGAAATAAATTCAAATGCAGTTTTGAAGTGTTACTCATCCACACAACAAATATCGGTGAGGGTGAAAGAAAGATGAATGCACGACTGAGTCATGAGGATATCGATTTTCGTTCAAATTGAGGAGGATTCGAATAGTTGAGTGTCGGCTATTTAGGACTTTGAGATAATCTGGTTGAATCAACGGAATTGATATTGTGAGTTGACCTTTCACTGATTGGAGACAGTTGCTTTGAGTATAAAATTACTGACTAATTTATTCATTAAACCTCGCCATTTGTTCCCCTCAGCTATCGCACATGGGTACTCATTCTAACCTTCCTCGCCTATGCTTCCTATAATCTTTCAAGAAAACCAATCAGTGTCGTAAAGGTGAGAAGTACACAATTACAATAATATTATATACCTCTTAGTAACCGAGTTCGAGGTCTGTACTGTAAGTCACAGACCAAGTGTTTTGTACTCGGGTTTATGAATGCCCAATTGCAAACCGCGCGGGGCATAAATCCAAGCGGAAAAACGAGGTTCCGTGACCTACATGCAGTAAGGAGCAAGAAAACGAGGTTAGTGAGGTATTCATGGTATCTCTTGGTTCATATAGAGGGGAAAGGTTTCATTTCAAACAAGGTTTCAAATTTAGCGGGTCATACAGTAAGATACAGCCCTCTAAATTGACCAATCATAGTGTGCGTACGTAGAGGCGGTGTTACGAGCATTTCCCACCCAAAATTCATTTCGGCAACTAACCATCAAGCACAATTTGTTTCTTGTTCAGGGAGAATTCACAGTTCACAATTGTACAGCTGATAATTTATGCCGTGGATGGGCACCCTTTGGTGAGTAAGTGATAAATTCTAAAATGTTTGAAGAACTCCACACTTTGCACTCCGTACATATCAAGGAAAGTGTAAATCCTTCTAAACTGTTGGACGGGACGTTTGACGGTGAATTATTACAACCACATCTACATAAACCTGACTGATAAAAGGCTGCCTAAAAAAAATTATCTTTAATGACGAGATTGTGAGTATTTACAAAGATGAAGAAGTAAAACGTGCAGGAAATCCAAATCTTTTTCTTTGTTTTATGCCTATTTTGTCCACCATAACTTCCTCGAGCTGGTCTGGGGGTCCTTGTATGATGTGTAAACTTTTTGTTTTAGAGCGGGTGTGAACTACCGCTAACTCACGATGTTCTATTTTTAAGTCACAGATTCTTGTTAAAAAGAACTTTCTTTTTACCAGATTCTCCTGCTAGTGGAGAGAAACTTCTTGGAACACTAGACGTTGCCTTCCTCTCATCGTATGCCATAGGCATGTTCTTCAGGTACAGTTTTCTGTCTCTGGTTAATAAGGTCAAGGAGAGTGAATCTTTCCTGTGTCCTTAGCATTCTTTTCTAGATCCGTCCTGAGAAATGGAATAGTAAATGTTTATGCAATGGAATACTGAATAATTCCCCTTTTGATGTAAGGGGCCTTGTAAACCAATTCAGTTAGAAGTGGTATATGTAACATTCTATGAGCGCGCGTTGGATATGTAGAGAATAATACAAGGGCGCGCGTAGATACGCATGGAGTTTCTCTTCGAGTTGAATACCTTATTGACTAGAAAAGTCAACTTTATTAATTAATAAAAACAATAGCAACCACAATAACCGAAAAAAGTAATGAAGTGCCTTGGCGTTAAAACTCAAGATAAAGAAAAAATGCGTTGAATCATTACAAAAACAAACAATGGGCGTAACGTCCAATTTACAAAATTCTCAGTTATTGACTTTTTCCTTGCCGACAGAAGAAATCTTTTAACGGCTAAAAAATCTTTTTTTACGGCCGAATTCGGCTTGCTGCAAATCTTGCAGTGGTCGATTTTCGTTATCAGCCACGAGAAATGCCAGTACCAAAGCCACCGAGTTCGCGATTTTCGGTTTTTTTTTTTGTATTTTGATTTCCTTCATCTTCTAGGAGATTTCGAACGTCATTGTCTGTATGTCATGTGCCATACAAATTTTTAAGTGTTTCAGCAACCGTTATCCGAGAAAATTTCAAAAAACGACCTTGGAGTGAGAATGGTGAAGGCTTTGCCATTTATTCATCAACATGACAGAGTCGCGCGAAAGACGAGTGACGTGTCAGCAGCTGATTGGCGACGTCAAACACATGAAAAATTATCGTATTTTTCAATGGAAATCCTCGTATAACACCACTGTTTCAGATATGTTAAAAGACGGTAAATAACCAACGAGGAACATAGCGCTAAGTTGGCTATCTCTAATCTAGTATCCAAAAAGCGGGAATGGAATATCTGTTTTATCAAATGTTATTAAATTCTGAACGTTTGGTTACTTGGAGCCTATTTTCAAATCTGCAACAATTGGTGCAATACATTTCCATACAAGGTGATTCGCAATATGTGCTGATTGCCGGAGTTGCGTGAGCCAATCAGAACACTAGAAATGCAATATTATGAGTTGAACATTTATAAACAATGTTATTTACCGACTATTCAGTTTCTCCTTGCAGTGGCTATCTCGCTGAGCACATAGACCTGAGGTATTTTCTGACCTTCGGCATGATGTTCAGTGGATTTTTTTCCGTGCTCTTTGGTTTGGGATATTTCTACAAGGTTCACAACTTTGAGTATTATTTTTTCATTCAGGTAAGTACTCCTCGTATTTATTTGTTGAAACATCGTTTTGAAATTGCAAATTTTGATGTCATAATACTTTACAGAGTAAAGTGGGATGCAAGAGCATTTGGAAAAATGTTGATAGCAAAATGAAGTCAACCTCAAGCCAAGTAGAATATGTTTGCGATGAATGAAAAAAATATACATAGAATAGATGTTGCTACGCAGTTGGTTTTGATTCATGTAAGTGGTCAAATGCATCGATGGCCGGCTGCATCCGGGAGATATTCCTCGATTCTTCACTCTTCACAAAAAAATCAATTTGACTTTTCCTAACTTCTCTTTTAGCTGTTCGCGGGATTTTTCCAGGTGAGTAGATAAATGATTGTTAGCTTTGTTGACAATGATCTCATGTTGTTCATGTCTGTTTATGTAATTTTTTTTACTAAAACAAGCAAACCAAAAGTGGTACTAAGTCTATGAATTAATTCTGTTTTAACAGAGTACCGGTTTGCCCACTGTAGTTGAGTGTGTAGGCAACTGGATAGGGAAAAGGAGGTAAGAAACGTTGTAAACCTTCTATAACTGGTGAGCTAGAAACTTCTTTGCTTAGATACGAGGAATTCTTTATACTTTAGTTAGAAGAATTAAGAACTGATTTTTGTTGTTCAGTACGTTCATATGAAATATTCCAAGCTCATTTGCAATAGTTCTCATGAGGTACTCAAGGTTTTCTGAGCGGTTTCATCACGTAAAATAGATGTTCATGATCCATATGCTTAAATGAACTCGTTGAGGTCCACGAATTGCCACGGAGAGTTTCGATCGACAAATTCTATTGTTTTTTCACTGTGTACCATTGCAGACCGGATTTTACATCTTTCCATTCCATTAAATGAGCCTTATGAACTCGGCGTTAATCGAATGTTAATCTCTCCATGGAGTCCCATACAGCGAGCAGGAACTTCATCATTATCAGGGAAAAATGAAGCTCCATAGGGCTCAAAGTAGCTAAACAGAGTTCAGTGGAATTCTATAGGCTCTCTTAGTTCTATGCAGCATGGGTCTAGGGATCTTCACAAAGATTTTCATAGAGCTATAGTCAGTGTTACGTGTTCCGAGGGCTAAATTCCATGGAATTCTATAAAAGTCAATGAAATCCAAGAGTACATTTGAAGAGCATGATGTACCTGTTAAATAGATGTACAGTTACGCTCATCATGTTTTAGTCACGGCTATACTGATGTCAATGATCCTTTGCAGACGTGGTTTCATAATGGGAATTTGGAATTCTCACAAATCCGTTGGAGCTATCTTAGGATCCAACATCGCTGGCATCTGGGCTAGTGACCAATGGTAAGGGCCGGGATATGATTTAGGTCACAAACAATAACAATGCTGATAACTATTGCTTCGACTTTGTCTTTGTGATGACATTTAGCTTGACGTTAATATTACACTTTTTAACAGGGGATACTCGTTTCTTGTACCTGGTTGTATCATTGGTGGAGTGGCAATCGTTGTGTTTTTGTTCCTCGTTGTAGGTACGTTTTACGCCTTAACCCGTGTCAGTGATAGTATGTTTACGAGAACTTCGTCAATTGAACAGCTGCACAGTGGAAGATCCTTAAATTCTTCACTTAGTGCTTTCCTCTTAACAGATCTTTGAGAATCCTGCTGTAAAGGACCAGGATCTGGTGTTAAGGATCATATAGGGTTCTGCAAAGATGATAGAACGCTTATTTAGGATATCTGTTGAATACGTCTTTTTTCCCAGATCCTATTGATGTGGACTGCCCATCTCCGCAGAGACAATCTAAAGAGGTCTGAGCTAATAACCTTCTACTTCACCTTTGACTTAGTATTCCTGGTGATACCATGCTGTTGCGTTTCGAGATTAATTATTTTCACTACTTTGTCCCCTTGAAGTGGTCCCCTCTTCAAATCTGATTATTACCTTTGTTTTCTGCAGTCCTTTCCTGTTTATGCTACATTTAGTACGAAAGTTGATGTCAGAAATCCAGCCCACCAGGATGGCTTGGTGAGTACTCCTCTATGTTAGGGAATGGGAATTTTTTTTTTACAATTCGATCGTGATTTGTTCTTCGGCTAAGTGTTACAGTGGTATATGTGATAATTCTTTCAGATGAAATATTTTCAGGATCCGTTTTCACTATAACATTCTTCACGTTTTCAAACCTCATTGACAAGAAACAACCCAAGGTCATACAAAGAATTCGTTGTTACTTCATATTCGTTATAACTATAACTTCACATTGTTATTAACAATTTTCAGATTTCGAATGATTCGTCAAGTTCAGTTTTTTTGTCGTTTTCGTCTTCGTCATCACTTTCGTCTCATGAGGAACCCGATGCTATAAGCCTCTGGAAAGCAATTCTTATTCCAGTAAGTTAACTCAAAATTTCCTTATGATTCTAAAGAGAATGCTGAACAGGGCTCTATGGGTTTAGAGATACTACGGTATGAAACTTGTGACGGTAGGCAAATGACGTGATCGAACGAGAACAGCTTTGACTTTTCAAATAACGTCTCCGTTGGAGTTAGAGCTATATTTGAAGTTTAAATTGCCTTAATATGTGAAATGGTCTACATAAGTCTGCCACTGAAGAGAGCTTCACACTACCAAACAGCAGGCCAAACACATTTAGTTTCGATCTCCAGAGTGCGTTTGTTTTTCCCATTACGTCACAGAGGTGTATGTATCATCAAACATTTACCTAATACCATACTGATACCAAATCACGAGCTTTTATTTAAAACATCTTTTCTAAATGTTCTTGGGGAGCTTGACACAAAATCTATGCCTAATGGAACACAAAAATCTTCTTCCCTTCTTTGAATTTGCAGGGAGTGATTGAGTACTCGTTCTGTTTGTTCTTTGCCAAACTGGTCAGTCTAACATTCCTGTTTTGGTTGCCATTTTACATAGAAAACACGAGTAAGTTTTTACGTTTTTCCTCTCTTTGCTGTCATTTGATTCAAAAAAGGACGAAAATTTCGGAAGGGAACACCGACTATCAATCGTATGAGTTAGAGGTTAAGATGGAGCCTCTGCACTGTTTCTTTATACCAGGTTTTTTAAGTCTCGGTCGCTGTTTCCACTCTGAATCAAATGGAACTAGTAAACTGAGCATAAAGAAGCAGTACCATATGTCTTTTCTTTTCATGCAACGAATCTTGGATAACCTCCCACGATATGGGCCAAACTTCGTTTACTTTAAGTTTTGAAATCACGCGTATGATTTCAGCCCAAATTGCACTCCACTCAGTTCAATTACCATTATTTATTAAAAAGGAGAATCTTAACTTACTTTTTAATTTTCTTGGGGAGCTGGAAGCGCCATGCTGTTTGGCTTTACTTGTCATTATGAACGTAATATGCAATCAAACTGCTTCGAATCGTTATACATATTATTGTTGTGAGAACACTATACATTAAATTTTAAAGCGAAATAAATCCCAACTTGCTTAGGGAAATATCTGTACAAATTGAGTCAGTGAGTGCACAGTGTGGCCCTTTTGGAAAGTTAATAACCCATATCTAAATTCATTTTATGTCTTGTTTCCTTTTTTCTTCAGAAATTGGTGGTGAATTTCATGACGTACGTTTGTCTGCAGAGTTGTCCGCTTTCTTCGATGTAGGAGGAATGATAGGTTGGTGAAAGTTGTATTAGGGAATTTTAGATCTACGTTTGTTTCTGAATACGTGTGACCGCAAACTCTAGGAGTCACGTGACTAGACTCCAGCGGTTCATGTTCGCCGTTTGCCGTCAACGCTAGAACTTTGGACAAGGCAGTTTAGGGTTATGGAATCCTTCGACACTTTTTTTCTTCCTGTTCGAAAGTTCTCACGTATGTCCTATAAGTATATGTGAAGTGAAGTCTTTTCTTTTAATTCAAGGTGGCAGCGCACATGTTGATTTTTTCAGGTGAGAGCCGAGGTCGATCTAAAAAGCCGAAAGTCACGAAACTTCTAACCTCTAACCATAAACTGCCAACCATGGTTTGACGTTTGCGCTGAACACACCAAACGTGGATCTAAAACTCTCTATTAACAAAAATCCTCCAGGTTTTTGAGTCCAGGTTTGCGTTGACTAACTGCATGGCCTGAGTTTATTTCAACCTGGAGCTGGGTTCGGCTGTGTGAAATGAGGCCTACCTGCAAATGAACTAAAGCAAATATCTGCAAATGACCCCGGCAACGCTTCGCTATTTTCATCACTATTTCCTGACGACTTGAAGCTTGGCTGAATCATATCTTTTGTCATCTCACTAATCTCCAATGTCTCCCGCTTCGTTTCTTTAGTTCGCACAGCTTTTTAGGATAGCAGAGATTTATATGACAGGATTTTATATGCGAACCATTTTGCTCATTTTTAGGAGGAATCTTGGCTGGATACATCTCTGACAAAACTGGCTGCAGTGGGATTGTTGTTGCGGTTATGTTGTTTTGTGCAGGGCCAGTGGTGAGTTTTCTGCATGTGCATGTTTTATCTTGAGGTAACGATTAAATATATTTATCTGACTTCCAACTTTCTTGTAGCTCTTTTTTTATAGATTCCTTTCAAATTTTAACATAACAGCGAATATTGGTAAGTTTTTATCAGATATTTCTTGAGAACTGAGTAATATCATACGTCTTTGGTTAGATCCCAGTAATTCTGCTGTTACCTGTTCCGTTGTTCTTTTGCAATCATACTGAGCCAAACTAAGCTTTTCTGTCAGTATATCTTAATGTCAGTTCCTTCGTCTGTATATCTGTCCTCTTTTGTTCACAGTCAGTCTACTTCATTTAGATCGTCGTAAATGGAGTACTCAGTTAGGAAATATTATTTTGAAGCGTAGCTGTCTATAATAGAATCGTATGTGCAGCTTATAATGCCAAACTTTTCTTGTCTCGCCTTATTGATGATCGATCTCTGGTTTTAGGTTTGATGATTATTACGGGAATTTTGGTGAATGGTCCTTATTCTTTAATAACAACGGCGGTATCAGCCAATTTAGTAAGTTGACGTACACTTTACCTTTTATGATAATATATCACGACAAATAAGGAGACGTCGTTGAAGGACATCGCTCATTTCGGAACCAATAACAAATGTGCAGCTCATTCAAGAAGATGCCTTGGTGCATCGCTGCATGACCCAACCTTAGCGAATTTTACCCCTCCCTTCCAATCAAAACTCACAATATACGATCGACTCTCTTTGGCTTATAATTAACGACTCACCTACTGATATTGCGAGAGCCTTAAAACTTGCGCCACAAAAATTCGAAAATAAACTGAAATGTTTGTGCTGCCCGATAAGATGTGGCCTATTATATAATGGATTGAGTCAAGCGAAAGTTGATTCGTCATATCTAGTTAATCCTCTCGGGTAATTTTTTTTAATCACTCCCACTTTTGGTGATACAGGGGCATCTCTAAAAACCAATCCTGTCTTGCAAATTGTGCTTACGTGGACATCCCAAACGGTAACTGTTCGTTCTGACTAAAACATTTGCAATTGGGACCTTACGCAAAGCAGGATGGCGACGGCAACGAGAAAGATATGAAAAAAATACAAGATTTAAAGAACAGAACTGTGCCTCATTGCTAAGCCGTTGTGCAGTCTAAGAAAGCCAATCCCCGTCAGCACTTTTTTCATGTTTGTTTATAGAAATCAGGGACGCTTTTACATGCCACACTTACGAAACTCATACGGCAAATGGATGTTAATTTTTTAACGATGTCTTTCTTAGCGTTGCCCTCGTGACTGCGTAAGGTCAAGTAAGTAAGGCATGAACTACATGAGACATTATTCTCTAGGGATTAATTCCATGTATCATCATTATTCTGCTCTCGTTGAAATGATTGAAATCTATGGATACGAAAGTATGATTGCATTTGTATTTCAGGGTTCACACCCATGTATTAAAGGCAACAAAAAAGCAATGGCCATGGTAACTGCTATCATCGGCGGCACAGGTTCCTTGGGTGAGGCCAAAAGTCATATTTAGATTTACTAGTCGGATTTTTTATTGAATCATTTTTTATTTACTTTATTTGGTCAGATTTACTAGTATCTTCAACTTAGTCTTAATTAAAAGGAGTCCATGAGTTTAAATTAGGGTATGGTGGAGAAGGAACGAAAGCAGTTTTAAAGAGTTTTCTTTTCCAAAACTGAGCCCATTTCTTAACCACACTGTGTGTCTCCTCCACAGGTGCTACCCTTGGGCCTCTCTTAACGGGTTTCATCGCGCCTAAGGTAGTTCTCTGTCTCCTTTGTAGTCTCTATATGATCGTTTCCTTCCATTTGGGAGGGAAGTGAATCACAAGGAAAATTGAAGTTGTCCGGTTAGTGTAGCTCACTTAGGAACTTGAGGTTGTAGTGCTACATCGAAGTTCAGTATTAATTACATTAATCCTTGATAACATTACTTTTAAGAATTCAGTACTTTATATTAAAATGAGTGATTTTTTTTTCGTTATCCTAGGGATGGGACAACGTATTTTTTATGCTCATTGGTGCTGACGTTCTAGCGGCCGTTGTAAGTCGATATAGATTAGTAAGGAATGTTTACTGTTTTTAATGAAGGTTTTACTCGGCGCGTGTATCCCGTCAGTCTATCTTAGGAAAGATCAGTGACAGCAACAAACCGTTACTTTGTCGCCTCTGAGTCAATTAGTGACAATCGTCTTTGTCAGTACCACCTTTAAAAAAAAATATTTAGCAAAAGCGAAGCAAGTCTCAGCTGGAAAATGATTTTTGACTGGACTTCCTCGGTTATTGTGTAGATTATGTTAATCTGAATATAAAAATTCTCCCCTTTTGAAAATCAACCGAAATCCATTCTGAATAGAGAAGAGACTCGAACTGACAATTGGTACTCCATTGATAACCGGTAGTTTCTGGGTGAAGCCTTTATTGACTACAGACTGATTTTGACTGCAAACTCACTCCAGGTTGTAAGTTCCCGATTTTAACGCTGATCACTGACACACACTTGTGACACACACTTGTGACACACACTTGTGACACACACTTGTGACACACTTGTGACACACACTTGTGACACACTGACTTTGAATTCATTCTGCTTCTAGTGTTAGGATTCCCTAACAATGTTATTCGGTTGGTTCTTGCAGCTTCTCGTCAGACAAGTGTGGTTTGAATTAAGCCAGCATTGTTTTCAAAGCAGGTACAAGACAGAAATACTTCATACGCGATTCCAGTTATCAATTGATGTTACAACTAATTGCGGTAATGTCGTCATCCAAAAAAGCAAAAAGGAAAAAGGCAAACTCGAATTAATTAGCTAATAATGTACATGAAAAAATTTACGCTTTTGGCTGAAAACGAGTGCATTCTCATGTAAAACGAGTGCAAAATACAAACAGCGCTTACACGCTTTCAAAATTTCGTCTGTCTTAACTTTCTGCGATGTTTTTTCATGTACATTAATAACAAATAATGACATGATTTCTCTTGCAGTTTTGTATAATAAGCACTTGTAAATTTTTCAAAGAATTGCGCTTGCCCGACGGGCTCGTGCAATTTTATTGTCTGTGGAAAATTTACTCGCCTGAAATTTTTTCTCTTTATTTCTAGATGGCTGTAATAACAGTCTGCCTGAGCGCCACAATTTTATTGGCCTTTTAGCTATCAAGTGCTACCCCTTGTAGATAACGAGCTACTTACTTAAATTCCAAAATATGAAGCTCTTTTGTGCAGCTCACGAAAGAACGGAAGAATCGGATAGTTTGCTAATCGTCTGTCAAAGCGAAGCTAAAATCACTTGGCCATCAGAATACGAAAAGTGATGGTTTTTGGATGGATACTTTTTCCAATTTGCCCTATTCTCCTTCTAATTTAAAAAACGACTACAGTAGTACATCTAGACAATGGTTTCCATTGGATGTTATCTTTGTAAAAATTAATTTTGTTGTATTTTCTTTCTCTCAGAAGAAAGCGAGAATGTTTGCCATATTTGGAGTCTAGCAAGGTGAATTCGATTAATTGGAAGAAACCAAGCGAAAACAGCAAAGTTAGCGATAAGAGTACTGGAAGCGAAGAAGAACCACTTTTATACATTGACTAACATGCCAGAGAAAAATAATCGTAATTGTACATGTTTTTTGAGTAACTAAGCTTGAAAAAGAGGGAATTACAACGAAGCAATAGAACAATCAGGGCTTAGAGTAGTACATGTGGCTGCTGTCATCGGAGGAAATGACTGCTTGCTCACATTAGTAAAGACCCTCTAGGTTCTGATCGGTTGCTTCACCAAAGAATATTCGTTTACGCCGTAGAGTCAACGGCCAACTGTAATGGTTTACTATTTTATACAAAGAGAGAAAATAATAAAGAGAACATGATTTGAACCGTTGGCATTAGGAAGAATGAAAGTTTTGATGGCATGGAAAGTGAAGTTTTTTATGTTATAAAAATCATGAATCGTATTTGTTTATTGGCAGTAGGTAGTTGCAGGGGCTAAGAAATCTGGTGCAAGCTGTTTCTCTTTTAGATGGAGTCCTTCATAAGCCCCATGGCACTTCACTTGTTCGCAGTTTTATAAATTTTGACTTCGTCTTCTCTCCTACAAACATGAAGCAAAATTCACTTAGAAATCATTAGTCGTTGCTATAATTTGATGTCAAATCGATACCATATATTATCATTTTAATAATTTTTTTTAAACTAGAACTTTCATGTATCTTCAAAACTTGGAGCTATTAGTTACGTACATTTCACAAAAATTTGGTAATATCATAGTATATCTGAGGAAATATTGTAGAAAAAGAAAATAGTTGTTTTAGAGATGAATATGTAACATAGTCTATAGAAAAGTTTTAGCAAAATTAAAACTTAAGTCATCTAGACTCCGCACATTTATTGTAGAGAGAACAGATACCGTTGCTGTTTCAGCTGTATATCGATGTACTTCAGAGCAATTTTTTTTACAAAAATTGCTCCGAAATACATCTATGTAACGTTGAAAATTTATTGCATTATCAGTTGAAAATAGTATAGTCATATATTAGCTATTTGCAATAGTTTAATCGAGTAATTCAACGGGTTTGAAAATGGAGGAGTGCAAATGGGTTGTACATTTATGTGATTATGGGAGATAAGACACTTTTACTTGGACTGTTAAATATTAACCAATCAATAAGCATATTTCTGCTCTGAAGTACATCTACCCTAACTTCAAATTCAGTGTAACTGATGTGCCGTCGTCCTTTAAGGGTGAATAGACAAATGATGTAGTCACGTTCTTCAATGTGCAGTAGTTTCTGATTAACACAAAGATGACTCGAGATATCTTTTATTATAAATAAGATAGATTAGAGAAGTAATACAACACAACTATAATGAAGTTTAATACTTTTAGATCAAGATTTCGAGATGGGATTGTTTTGAGATAGCTTCATTAAAGAAAAATGGGAATTTGAAATTCAGCTCCCTGTCGCTGTGCTCACTCTCTCCTTTTCAAACATGGCGGCCCTGAGGACGTTGATGACATCGTCGTTAAGGTGCTTCATGTCTATTGGTCGGTTCCCACTGCTATCCCGGATGTTTAGATCGGCATTAGCTTTGATAAGAAGCTTTGTAAACTCTCTGTCATGCTTCTGAACGCACATGTGCAATGGTGTCTCGTGAGCCTCCTCTGCAGACGAAATAGTTTTTAATGAAGCATGTAACTACCAACATTTTTTACAAAATTCTCCCTTCTAACCAGCTACTCTACATTTCCTTGTAAACTGACCAGGAGAATTTGGTGCTTCATCGAAACATAATAACCCGGGATTTATAGATTTTTTAATGCCCATCATTTTTCCGTTGAGTAACATGTTGAAATCGTAAAGCGAGGTTAAACTCGCTAAAATGTTAATCATTTTTCGAAGTAGGTCGCACTTCGAACCTCAAATAAACGAATAAACCACGTTAGGCATGGAAAAACTTATATGAGTAGGGTGCGATTGGTTTTAGCTTGCAGTTGATTGCGTTTAAAAATCTACTTGGTTTTTCTTATGTGACGTGACTGTGATTATAAAATGATAACCTAAAAAGTGGTGACTTCCAGAATGCGCTCCAAGGTCACAGCTATACGTATTGACTTCCATCCTCCTCCCCTGTACCCTTCCATCCCCAAAAAATAGGTGAGACCTTCCAACCATAAAGCACACTTTATGGTTGGAAGCCACCTACAGCTGCTTCGGTCTTCTTGTGGATCAGTCATTTTCTATCGCCTGAAGGTGGGTCGGAGGATTTTAGGGGTATCACATGGTTTTTAGGGGGAGTGGAAACGGGGTTCATTCGCCGCTAACAGAGAATAAAGGGAAAACTATTCTACACGACTTTCATGATGGCCGATGGCGGGCGGAGCTGGTAACGATTTTGCATGGAAGCGAGGCCACAAACGCCTCTCAGACGTTAACAGAGCGCACATGAAGTGGTTTTAGGTGAAGTTTTTGCTTTTGAGTGAAGACAATAACACTCAATTGGGGTCAATTACCGCTTAGAATACACGTTTAGGATCAGGAAGGAATGCCTACACACTGCTGCGTTCCGGAATGCACCAAAAAAGGCTATCGCGAAAAGCAGGGGTCGAAAGTGTCGTACTTCCAATTTCCCAAAGAAAAAATAATGGAGAAGAAATGGATACATAATGGAAGATTAATTGCCAATGAAGGGGAATAATTAGAATACTACAGAGCCCTGGGTGATCAGGTGAACTTTTTATTGTGACTCAACCAAAATCCTTCGCCCCCGAAAGGCGACAAATAATGATCGGTTTTTAGGGGTCGTCACTACGTCAAGGGTGGGCACGGAATACAAAAATGAAAGAATCTCACCTGAAATGGCGTTAATATTTGCGCCACACGCGATCAGTACCTTTCCAACTTCAAGTTTCCCACAGCGTGAAGCATGATGGAGAGCTGTGTATCCATTAGCTGATAACGCTTCCATATTTGCGCCGTATTTTATCAGTAATTTGATTCCTTTTTCTTGGCCCATGCGCGCTGCCAGGTGCATTGGGGTTAAAGATCGTGGTCCAGAGTGTATTTCTGTATTAGCGCCCCTACGCAGAAGAGCCTTGAGGACCTTTAATTGACCAGTCTCAGCGGCGTTGTGTAACAAGGTTACCTGGAGTGCTTTATACTTCCTGTTGATATCCGTACCTTGTCCTATTACCTCTTTAAGGTACCCTGAATGACCACATATAGCGCTGAAATATGCAGGCGTAAGACCATCGCGGGTTTCACTGTTAATATCAGCTCCTCGAGGATGGAACAACATTAAAAGAAAACAGTTAAATTGATTTGAATTGGTAGTCTTATGACGTGAATTGCAATAATGGGGTTGGTTAAGAACGTTGATTTGACAAGCGGCTATAGGTGAGTAAGGTTATTAATGATTATGACATCAGATCTTCCTCGATCCCTTCCAGACCGTTTTCTTCCACAATTTTGGCCCTTAGAAGACGTTTTGGATCAATTTCATTCCCCAAAACCAACAAAAGTTGGGGTTAATGTAGGGCCGTTAGAAGAGGGTTAGGTGGGAAGTTGCTCCGATATTGATATTGCTTCGAACTGTTTTGCTTCCCAGTCTTTGCATGAGGGCAGAGTAAGAGGTAGTGTACTCATATGTCTTTTCTCTTATCTCAAATTCCAATAGAGACTACCGTGAAAGACAAGCAACCAAACAAAGTCTAAACATAAGAGAACAACAACAGAAACAAGTACCAAAAAATGAACGGAGGCTTCACAATGGTGCTCGAAAATAGATTTCTGTCTTGAATATTTGGCTCTTAATTGCTATATATGAAATAAGACGCGACAGCATCGAAAAAAAAACATAAATAAACATAGGTGAGGCCAACATAAATAAACAACAGACAATGAAGCGAAACGAAAATAGCACAAAACAAAACAGAACAGGAAGGACTAAAGATGGAGCAAAAGTAGCGAAGACGGTCTAATCTCCCAGTGATAAAAAATATTGGTACCTGCTTGTACAAGTGTCTGCATGCAATCCACGTGCCCACGCATAGCAGTGCAGTGCAGCGGTGTCTCGCCGAAATTATTGACGCTCCTCCAATCAGCACCGTGCATTAAAAGCAGTCTCACACACTCTATATGGCCGTGTCTCGCCGCGTAATGAAGGGGCGTGTTAGGGCCATTGTTGTTATACGCAACAGAGTCCACCTTTGCACCTCCCTCTAATAACAATGCAAGGCACTCGGTGTGGCCGTTGAGCGCGGCTTCGTGTATTGCCTGCCAGCCATAGAAATCTTCGGCTGTCACGTCTGCGCCACATTTTATGAGAGTTTCCAAGCATTGTGATTGACCGTGGCGAGCAGCAAAATGCAATGCTCGTAAGCTATGAGGAAAGACAGAAGAAAGGGCTGCTTAAAAAAAAAGCAAATTTCCAGAGCTTAGTTATACAAATCAACTACTGGGCGCAAAAACCAAAAATCACCACGAGGAATGTTTCTAACAATGAAAAGCCCTATTTCTATACTCTGCTTATACATGTATGTGTAGCACAGAGCTCACTCATGGAAAATTTAGGTAATTCAGTGTTAGTCAACTAAGTTGAAAAATCAACAACGTAAATCAGCCACCGTAAAGAATTTAAAGGCGTGAGCCCCTCGTCAGAGCAATTTGTGGAAAATGGAAAATTCAGATATAATGTGCAGCATACTTTACTATAACCCTAGCCTTAGACAAGTAATTTTTAACAATATCACTGTCTTGAATAGCAGCAACGGGCAGTTCAGCTGTTTGGGATGCTTGTGGTTTACAACACTTAACCGATTTCAGACCCAAAATCTATTCCAAAATTTTAGGAAAGAAAATTAAAAACACACACCATGGTGCCGCAAAAACCCCCAGCGCCCATTTGATGGAGCTCTCCTTCTCCCTTATGAACAAGGCGACAATGTATACTCACCCTGAAAATTGTGATTCTCTTTCGTTTGGATCCATTCCTTGTTGCAAAACCAAAGTTAAGTCTCTTTCATTTCCTGCGCGAGCGCTTTTGAACATAACGCATTTTGGGTTCCTGAGTTCATCGCTGACAATAGATGTTGAACTTTGATGCCTTTCAACGCTAGAAGCGCCCGTGCCCATAGCTGTAGTCGTCCTATCTTGTTTAATTATTGTTGTTTGTCCTTTTCTACTTTTCATTCGCTATTATGACGCTCAGTTAATGGTCGAAGTTCCACGCGCCATTTGTAGTAAGCCATATCTACAAGTAAAATTAGAACTATCAATTAGGCCGGTTCTCTCATGAGGTGGTAACTTTCACTCCCTCCAGCCGTTTTTCAGTAGAATTTTCGCGATTTGTGGGTCATTAGTTTTCCAAACTGACATATCCTCGTTGAAGATTTCCCAAAGAATTTCCAAGCCGGTAACTGCTCAGTGGTGATGCAGCTCTAAACATTTACAAAGTTTTCGCACGTTAACTCAAAACTAGAATGAGTCATATTGATGGTGATTTTGACGTAGCTTGTTCTCAGAGCTAAAGCGTGTGAGACCGGCTGATCGAATCCATGATTATTCCACCCAAAGCTCTTTTGATTTATAATTCAACGCTTCGTTACATAACCAATAAAAAATGCTAGGAAGCAGAGCCTAACAAGGTCAAATACTCAGGAAGCCATGTCAGGGGAAACCAATATATTTTCATTCCACAATCGGCCTTCATGACATCAGAACATTCCGTGTAGGAAATATGAGGAGTTAAGATTATAAATGAAAGTTGAGAGATAAAGGGTGACAGACAATAAAATTTACATATCCTGAGCAGCAGAGTTACATACAATTCAATAATCGCTCAACCCACGAAAGTTGGCTGTCGCACCATAGGTCAAATTCTTTCTCGATGTTTCGGTCAAACATAGATGCATTTAACTGGCATTGCTAACGCAAACGGAAATGAAGAAGCAGATGCTTGCCTTATCCAAGGAAATATTATTTTCATTATTAAGGGTGGTCTTCGGCAAGTGATCAAAAAGTTTTTTTTTAATAGCTTCTTTCGAATTTCATGCCCTTACCCTCCATTCTTGCGACACATGCGAATCGCAGAATAACCAGATCGATCAAAACTTTAGAAATATATTTGTAATCTTTTGTGCTAAATATAAAGTTTTCTCGTGCTTAATAGGATTTTTTACGATTCCCAATTAATTGCGTTAATCACATATCGACGAACGATACTTATGATGACGTAAGAACTTCCGGAAGCGTAGATCTGACCATGTTGCACAACCCGTCAAAACAGTCTAACACACGGGAAATAAATTCAAGTTAAACATAGGTTTATGTTCCGTACCAACTTTCATTGTAAGCTTGTCTTCATTATAAGCTCGTCCTCTCCAGTGCAAAATCAAAACGAGCTGAACGGTTTTTGATATTACATCTGGTTTTTTTTTTTTGGTTTTTGTTTTTTTTGATAACATACCACACATATTTACCTTTAGCGGCTTCGGAGATTTGTGATGAATGTACGTCATAAGTTTGAAATTTCAGTTATTTTAGCGATGTGGTGGTTGACAAGTCTTCTGTTGTAAATAAAATAAACAAATTAAACTATCTTTATTTGACATAAAAAGGTTTTCCTTAGGTAGAAAGTTGAATGTTTTCATCTTTATAGTATCACAGCTATCCTTCACGAAAATCCTCAAAGTGACACGATTCTATTAGTGTAATGAGATCTCTGGGGAATCAAGGCTGGCGCATTACACATCACCTTTTTGAACTCTCCTAAAAAGTCTGTACCCACGCATTCTTGCTAGCGACAGCTGATCTGCCTTCAAATCCTACGAATCCGCTATGAGCAGAGTTCCGTAAGGAAATCTCATTAGCCTTTGAATCTTATTTCAATCTATCTCCTCACATCCCGAGCCGTTACCGTATTCCAACGAGCAGTGTGGAATGTCAAGCGGAGGAATTCATGAATCGTTATTAACAAGAATCAGCCAATCAGATGCAGGATTGGGTCCTTTAAAAATGGCCGCGCTCTTTGAACAAGATCTTTCAAAACTGACTTTTACAGAGTGGGGAAATTGAATTATCCAGTTGCTTTTTAAAAATTCATTTTGGTGAGCGAAAAGTTTTAAAAGTTGTTTAATCGGGATACTCCTCGATAAAGTTGTAATTTTGGACCTTTTCATGCAGAAATTACCGAAAATATGGCTCAGTACGAATTCGAAAATGGCGTCAACGACTGTTTGAAAAAGCTCGAAGCTCCTCTTTCTAAAGGGCCGGTCCCACGCTGGCAAAGGAAAGAGAGGGAAAGGATTTTAGCTTCAACCGGAAAACCTTTATCGCCGCTTCAAACCACTTCTCGCAACCATGTGAACTCGAAGTTATCGTCAAAAACTCAAACTCACACTCCGGGCAAAAGAGCAAAGACTCCAACGAAGACTCCTCAAAAGTCACCGAAAAAATTTGGTCTGTCTCCTCGTGGTGACCGTTTTATTCCTTCCAGGCCGCTTGTCGACTGTGAATGGAGTCATTTTCAAATTATGCAAGGAACGGACTCGGGCGAGGCGAACTGTGAGATGGAAGTCGAAGGAAACTCGCAGTACTACTCAAATATGGCAGAGAATTTGCAAAGCAGCTCAAGTAATGGCAAGATTCTACATTTCAAGTCTGGAGCACCTGTGGCGAGGGAAGGTAGCGTGATTGGCCGTTATTCTTCGATATCCTCTTTCCTTTAAATCCTTACACTCCAAGATTTTAATATGAATTTTCCAGACTGCTCCGAGAATAACAATTGCCCCTTAACCCTTTGACCCATAAGAGTGTCTAGAATTTGATTTCTCCTTGCAATATCACCCCAGAATCACACATTAAGGTCACGAGACTAAAGGAAACGATCACCTACTTTTGAAACTCTTGATTGTTAAACAAATTCTCCTTGTCAGTACCCTAATAGATGTATAGAGAGCAGTATGGAGAACTTACATGAACTGATGTTAGGGTGGGAAGGGTTGATAATAGTTTTCTTCATTCTCTTACTTTCCTGCTTTAAAGTGTATTCAGATATGGTCATGGGAAATTCCTTGTTGGTCACTTGTGGAAGTTAAAGGATTAATTGACTGGCTATGATTGCAAAATAAATCAAGAAATGGGTATAAGATAATTAAATAAGTGATAGTAATGATGATGATGTAATTAAATAGTACTAAAATTTCAACTTTCACTGGAATGTTCTATAACAATTCATTTTACAGATACAACCAAGAACCTGCAGAGGTTTCTTAACCCTTTACACCCTCATATCAGTATGTATATTCTCCATACTGTTCTCTTTACATTTCCCAAGGTGCTGACAAGGAGAATTTGTTGAGTAGTCAAGAGCTTCCTTATTTGGTGATCATATCCTTTATTCTCATGACCCTAATGTTGTTTTTCAGGGGTGATATTGTAAGGAGAATTTAGATGCTAGTCACTCTTAGGGATCAAAGGGTTAATCAATGGCTAATATTCTGTGTATTTCCTTTAAAACTGATGCAAAATTTGAATTGTATGTTTACAATATTTAATTATTTTGGTGCAATATTGTAATTTGTTTTTAGGACATCAGAATCAATTAAGAGTGTTGTACTGTCAAAGCAAACCTGCTGCACCAAAAGCTAAGTCAACAAGACACATCCCACAGGCTGAAGATAGGATTCTAGATGCACCTGAACTTTTGGATGATTATTGTAAGTAAAAGATTTTGACAATAAATGGTGGAAGTGTTTGATATCATCAAGTGCACTGATTTCAATCAGAGCCATCTTAACTTTTACAGGAAATTGTAAAATAAATTCAAAAGAATTTGTTCTCGGACCGTGTTCAGGCCTATGGATTGTATAATTGTTTACAATTTTTCCCTAGATCTTAGTCCCAGGTTCCTTAACCCTTTAATTCCCAAGATCTGATTGCTAATTTTCTCCCCTAGCTGCTACACATTTCCTTGTAAGTTAGTTACAGGAAGTGGGTTTCAGATCAAGGTAACAACTTATACCTGATAAGTTCGAGTATTCTCACTGCATTTGCACAGTAATGTATGGATATTATAGGGAGAATTTACATGTTAATCACTTCTGAGAGTTAAAGGGTTAAGTGGGACAAGTAATTACCCAAATTTGTTTTTTATGCTCTTAACCGGTGATTTTGCAGCTATTATTTGAGAAGCATAGGTTCAAAAGATGCAAAGCCTAAAATAAATTTAGCCTCTGTTTTCTACAATTTCTTTGATTATTAATCAATTTTAAGGATAATTTTGTTATTTGGAGGGCAATACAATTTATTTTATTTGTTTGTGATCAGATCTAAACCTGTTAGACTGGGGCTCAATAAACCAGCTTGCCCTTGCATTGTCTGGTGCAGTTTACACATGGAATCCCAGTACTGGTGAGACCCAGCATTTGTTTCAGTTGGAAGGCGAAGATTACATTTCCAGTGTCAGTTGGATTGATCAGGGTAGTATTCTTGCTGTTGGAAGCAGTAATGGTCAAGTCCAGGTGAGTTAAGAAGAAACAGTGTTTGTATATGTAATAAAAACAAAAAAAATATGACATGCTTAAGTTGTTTTAGTTAATACATAGCAAATGCAGGCAAGATCAAGGAAATCCTGTGTTGTGATTGGCTATCCAAGCTGGAAAGAAGGGTCTATTCCCATCCTGCCTGTGCAGGATTTCCCTTTCTAATCCTACACAAGAGAAATTGTATGGAGTGGATTTACAATGGAGTGGCAGAAGATAGTCCAACAGTTTGTCAAATGGAAAGCAAGTACATGCCATCATAGCATTTTTCCCCAGTTCTTGAAAACAAACAAGTCATTCTTATTTCTTATTAAAGCAAAATCTTTTTGTTATATACTAAATCCTTTATTTGCCAAGTTTTCTCAGTCATGATGGCTGGATATTTACACTGCTCTTTTTCACATTTTTATGGATTAAGAGGAAGTTAAGGTTGATAAAAAGCCATCTTGCCCTTGCACTTGATTGAAATGCATATACATGTATTGGTATATGTAATTATTACCCAGTTACTACAAAGTAAGAGTCAAGCTTTTAAGCATGATGTGATTTCTAAAAGGATTGTCAAGAATGTTCCTCAATCTGGATAGAGGAATAGAAAGATCTCTGGTTGACCCCAGCGCTCATATGTATGATAATATGGCAAGCTTTCTACAGTGACTGTAAAAAGCCTGCCACATTGTGATACTTATGGGAGTGTATTTAAAGAACACAAGACAAACACAACTTTTAAACTAAACATTTGCATCTCTGTTTTTTAATTTGGCTAGATCTATTTTTACCATAAACCCAAAAAGGAAAAGGCTACTGTTGCAGTGGCCTACTGGAGGGCTGTGCTCAATAGTTGGGGGCACTTTATTTTTCCAGTTCCAGACAGGATTTGATTTTGTTTTCAAATTGAAGGATGGCTAATATGTGTTCAAAACTACATAAACTATGATCCTGGTAAGCTGATCCTATGGTTTTCATAGCCAAATGTGGTGTAAATGCAATATTAACTTCTAAAAGGAATGTTACTTCCTTAAACTAGATTCTTAGTCATTTCATTTCTTAATCTGGATAAAGGAAAAGAAAAGTCTTTGGTTGACCCAAGCACTCGTATGTATGAAAACATGGCAAGCTTTTTACAACAACTGTAAAAAGCCTACATGACACTTTGTGATACATATAGGAGTGACCTCAAGGGAAACAAGAGGAGCAAAATTTTAAACTGGAACATTTGGGTCTCTATTATTTAATTTGGCTAAATTTATTTTTGATGTAAACATTTAAGTTATTTTTAGTGCCTACATGTATTTGCTTATCTCAAACCTGTGGTCGAAAGGAAGGGTAACTGTCAGAGGGCTTTGCTCAGTAGTTGGGGTTTTATAATTTTCCATACACCCACCTGAAGTACCACTAATGTGTTGAACACAACATAAGTTATGATACAAAGCTGATCCTTGGGTTTTTTTAGCCAAACATGGTGTACACGGTACATGTATATTAGGTAGTGTAAGTATACAAGCAAGAGTGATTGACAACAACCAATAGCATAATCCTGTTTTTCCGGTGTTGTCGATAAAAATCAGGGTGAAGGTACATGTAATGAGATGTTTAATTATTCGAGGGTGGCAGTAAATTTTTCAATATGGAGTGGTAGGAGGAGCACCAATTATAAAGGAGAGGCAGTAGATTTCAAGTTTGATTATTCTAATACCAAGAGTGAAATTGTCCTTATTTAATGATTTTTTTTTTGTGAGAAGTAGGTTGAACAGGTTCCCAATTACAACATCGTCTTCTGAATTTAACTGAATGTTAAATGACCTGATCTGATCCTGAATTTTTTGTGACAGTTTCTTATAGATGGTTTTTTGTCGTACTCTGACTGGTACTCTGATCAGGTTATCTTGTAGAATTAATTTCCAGTGTAGTAATGATGATAGTGATGATATTGATTTTAATTGTTGTGTTAATAATAGCATTTACTTTAATTATGATTATAAAAATAGTAATGATAAAAATAATTAATGATAACGTTGAATGATAACAATTATAAAATCATGTAACAATAGTGATTATGATAATATCAATTAAAGTATCTGTTATTTGTTTTAGTTATGGGATGTAGCACAAGCTAAGTGTGTTCGTGTGATGGGAGGTCATGCTGCTAGAGTGGGTTCACTTGCCTGGAACTCATTTATCTTGTCAAGGTAAATGGCTCTTTGATCAAAGGCTGACTTTGAATTGTATTTCCACTAATGTGTATAACAGCAAACTTGACCAATACAGACTCCAGAGTTATGCTGGTGCAGACTTGTAAGAACCCTTAGGCTAAGGTTCATAAATTTTGCTGTTTTGGACACAGCTCTAGGTAGTAGTTGTATAGTATTCTCATGATGCCATCCAAGAATGTAAAAATAATGGAATGTTGAGGATAAGGAAAGATTATTTTTATTGTTTTTTTCTTTTGAGATGGGGGAAGGGGGTTGGGGTCAAGGGGCAAGCAATTTTAAATGGACTGACAGCAAATGTTGTCCAGAGGAGTTGCAATACTATTACTTGTTTCATTGTACTCTAGAGCTCAGGTATTAACTTAAGCAGTCATATGAGAAGCTTCAGATGTAGACTTTACCTTTAACCTTAAGTTGTCTTTAATCAACTGTTACTCCTAAATGGATTGAAGGCTCATTTTAGGTATTGCAATCAAATATTAAAGTACTGATTGATTACTGCATACAGTGTTGCTGTTACGTGTAAGTCTGGCACTTGCTCTTCCAACTGCATGTGCTCATAATTCATATAAAAGCAAGCCATAAGAAAATGGAATGGGACTTGGCAGTAGCTGTCAATAACCTTGTTTTGATACATTTTTCAGACTTGAAATTAATCTGCCTATGTACAGTGGAAATGGTTAATTCAGTAAAATTTTGGCTGGATATGAACTGCTCAGTGTCTTAAATTTTTTGACAAAAAAGGGAGGCAACAAGATTGATGCAAATATTTCAAAAGTAAAAAGTGTGACTTAAAAGTGTTTAGGTCATTTACAAATTCAAGGTTAGGTTAGAATGCAAGTTCTCTCATTGGCTTTACTTATGAAATTATGCATGTTATGCTTGATAAAAGAACAACCAAAGTGAAAGAGAAAAGCAAAATTGTTGGTCAAACCATCAAGAATTCAGGGTCAAAAAGGTCTAACAATACCCCCTCCTCTGGCTTTTTTAGTGGTTCACGGAGTGGGGCTATTCATCATCATGATGTGCGAGTGGCATCACATCATGTAGGGTCCCTTATAGGCCACAGTCAGGAGGTGTGTGGTATGCAGTGGAGTCCTGATGGTAAGCTGTTAGCCAGTGGCGGTAATGATAACGTTCTGAATATCTGGACACAGAGAGGAGCTTCAGATGATGCTGCCACTCCACTTCATACACTGACGCACCATCAGGCTGCCGTTAAGGTAATGTGTCAGCATGACAGAAATATACAAATGGCTGCTCATAGTGTGCTGTGTAAGAAATTTTAATATAATTTATATTCAAAATTATTCAGGTATTTAATTTTGTTGTTTTTAAATCCATCAACTTCAGTAGTTATCTTGCCGTAATATCCCACAGCTGGTGAATTTTGTCAGCTTCCTTTGAAAAGAGCTAAGAATTTTAACTATGGCCATAAAACCAAAACCACAGCGAAAGAGGGTAAGTTTTCAAAGGAACTGTGTTGCTGCATGGGTGGGGGAGTGAAACAAAATCATTTGGTTTTATCCACTTAGTTGATGATGTAAGGAGTTTCTAAAGCTGACTTTTCGCGTGTTGGCCCTTCGTCAGAGCGAATCACCACTCATTTCATAAAATCAAATTATCTTGGAAATCCAAAGTTGGTCCTTTTTTCTAAGTGTGCATTAATCTTCAGGCAGTGGCATGGTGTCCATGGCAACCGAATGTCCTGGCTAGTGGTGGTGGAACCGCTGACCGTCATATCAGATTTTGGAATGCAAACACAGGGTCTTGCCTTAGCAGTGTGGATACAAATAGTCAGGCATGTTTTGATAAAATACTTGCTAGAAGTATTAACAGAGAGCGGTTAGTGATTGGGGCCAAGAAACATTTAAGCCTTATCAAGCGCAAATGGCGTGTAAAGCTCAGTAAGACATATTTTCAGTGTTCAGCGCGGTGAACCGTGCCACAGATGCTAAGCTCCAGCTTATGGAAAGTGCGGAAAATCGTACGTAAGGTCCCAAATGCAGGAGTAGTGAGGGCGCCCAGGCATGCAGCTGATGAACCTCATTGTCATTGCGAGGCACTTAACCGCTGTCACGCGTGTTTACCACAGAAAAGGGCGGAAAAAATGCTGACGGTGCCGACATGCTAAAGGTGGCAAGGCGAATTGGTCATTTTATAAACTAAAAATAATGGTCTTGGATTGGTAAAATTCTTCATTAATTATGGTTCTAAAGGCGAATTAATTTTCGTCATGTTGTTTGAAATCGAATCATACAACAACAAAATTAAATCAAGAATGGTTTATCACAATCAAAGTCACACTCTGTCAAATTCTACTTGTTTGGTTTTCTTTTGTTCGTGATTGCTTCGATTTTGCTGTGACTCTTATATCTGTGTAATGTAGGTTTGCGCGCTGATATGGTCCAAGGAGTACAAAGAGTTAGTCTCTGGTCACGGTTTTTCCCAAAACCAGCTAACTATCTGGAAATACCCAGCCATGTCACGCGTCATGGAATTAACTGGACACATGTCGCGCATTCTTCACATGACCATGTCACCAGATGGACAGTTTGTGGCGTCGGCTGCCGCAGATGAGACCCTGCGGCTGTGGAAATGTTTTGCCAGTCAGCAGAAATCTAAAAAGACTTCAAGCAAAGGACTGAGAAGCGAAGGAAAGGGTTTGATGTCGTGTATGAAGGTTCGATAGAGCAGGGAGCGAACTAAGAATGTTATGTAAAGGCGGACGTCTATCATGATTATGTAAATAACAAAAGATTCAAAGATCTCGTTTTAATGATACTAAGATATGTATGAATAGCTTATACCGAAACTTTGTCTAGTGTTAATTCTAGCAGCTCCTCTCTCGTGACGTATAGATGCTCTCGGCCCTAGCTTAGATAAATGACCTAAATCTGAAATAAGGTTATTCTTTATCACTAGCATACATTTCCTTTTATGCCTTATTCTTTTAGCTGATTACCCCATTTAGTCCGGTGACAGTACATTTAACAATGTACAGGCGGAGGTGAAAGAAATTCAACTTCTACTTCCCTCAGTGTCTCTCCAAACTTAGCGTAACCTGCTATTACTAAATGATATGTGTTTGCGGACACTGCTTTTAGCAAACGTTCCTTTTTCAGACTATTGCATTTTCTGAAAGACCCCACTCTTCGTAAATTGTAAAAATCGTAGAATATATAATTAGACTAGAATTAAATAGTGTGCAGAGTTGTAACATACTTGTGAATAGCGTATAGATTCTGATTTTTTAGATATTTATTCATTTATGTTCATCCTATAATTTTACAATAAAGTAGGAAGTTTTGCTTCAATTATCTGCCTTCTCAATTTTCCTTCTTAGATTAGAATTAAAACTTTCTCGCCATCATCTTTTACAGGGTTGGTGTTCTAGGTTTGAAAGAGCCCCCTTAAAAATTCGAGGCTTCGAAACAGTTTCAAGTCATGGTAAAACGAGACTTGCATAGGACAAGAAATAGTAAAAACGAGAGAACCAAATCTTGTGGATGTACTGAGACGAATGTAACTAGAATGAACCGTAATTGTACTAATAACTAATGATCCTGTTATTCCAAGAAACATAATCGAGCCGTCTTCCCCAGAAAAGTTCTACCTTGTAGATCAGCCATATTTGGAAATAGGCAGCCTGAGACTGCATGTGGTTACTCGTATTCAATTTTATATCATTGAACAGAATAGAGGCTGTATGATAACGATGGGAGGTAGTGTTGTTCACATGCAAAACAGAAAACCTGCCGCATCACACACATTTCTGAGTAACCTGTTCCACAAAAGAGAGACGACTTAAAAATATAGTTGAAGGAACGACCTCTTGTTTAACTTGTAATCTGAAGCGACAAAGGAGTCCTACAAATAAGCAGAAAGATACGATTACGCTAAGTTCTAAAACTACTAACTTAGCATGTGAAGTCTGAGCAATCTCCTGAGCACCAGCTACAATTGTAACGAGCGTACTTGAAAATACGCATATAGTGTTCTTGACGATGTCAAGAGAACTGCGGATAAACAGAACAACATGGCCGGTGGTCAGTGGGCTTCTTTACCTCAGCGCAGCGGTAAACTCTTCAATAATGATTAATTGCCATTCAACCAATAATGAAATGGTTACAAATAATTATATCAACAATAATAATAATATATAACGATAGTAATAGTTCTAATACTCCATAGGGGCAAGCTTAAAAGTCTTGCGGTTTCTCAATCAACTAAGCTCCTACCATCCGTAAACTTCCGCCCTTTTTTAATTATGCTCGTTCATTATAACCAATTTCTAATTTCGATTAGGGTCACCTCGTTAAACTTCGCACCTTACCCGCTTCCCAAATTTAGTGGATCGACCTTGATATGCAGATCACACCTATTTAGATATTCCTGCAAAGAAAAGTTTTTTTTTTCGTGATTAAAATTATGCGTCGGCGAGATTGAAATTATTTTGAGATGTTTATCGTCTTTTGCAGTGTCACGGCAATAACTGAAAACTTAACGCGATAGTAGCTATAAGCCAGAAATCTCCAAAGGAGAGAACTGTATCGAGTGCGAATGTCGAACTGTAGATACTCCGAAAAGAATAATAAGTAGCATCAGGAAACATCAGGTCATAATTGGGTCAAGTTCGGAATTCAGTTGTTACTTATCATTATTCACTTACCATTTCCATAGCGGAGTGGCTTCGCCTCATATTGTATAGAAAGCAGTAGCCACAAAAATCGGTCCGCCATCTTTAATAAGATGCTTACTCTTCCCAGACTCCTAAGGCCGTGCTCACAACCCGAAATTTGCATATCAAATCCCCACACTACTCGTTCTTGTACTTCGACTATCCACGAGCAATCAACGACTGCTTGACCAGTGAGATTAGATCAATTTTTTTACCAAAGACGTTTGCAAAAAATTCGCATCCCCTACATTTTAGGATGTTATTGAATATATAAAAACGAAAAACAAAAATGTAAATAAGGGGTTGCCACGCTCCTTTTGGGCCAAATATCATCTACAACAAACTTCGTAGTTGTTTCTTCAATTTAAGCTCCTAAAATTGTCACTTTTCTGGTATTTCCTTTTAAGTGCAAAGATTGGGCTCGGAACTGAACGTTCAACAGCAACATATATCATATAGCGACAGAAAGAGATGTCAAACTGATATCACTGTTCAGATTGTTTTGCGAGTTTTGCTCTAAACTATCTGCCTCCCAGAAGAGAGAAATAAATATGTAGAAATTATCCAGAGAAAATTCAAAATTTGATTAAATAAGAAAAATTTCGAAAACCATTCTAATCTTCGACTTTGAGGTAAATTTCATCATACCAGTTTTACTTGTCTTATGAAAAGGTGTGGTTGAAGGACTGCCTCAAAGTCTGTCAAAGTTTATGAAATGCAAATCAAAACGTTTTAATTTAGACGAGTTCGTTTACGTTCAAACACAGCGACTTGAAAACGGGTTTTATTCATTGTTACTTGCTGACAACACTGATTGAAGTCAGTATATTTTTAATTTCAATTCATGAAAAAAATAATAAATGAAAAAAAAAAAAACAAAACCGTAGCACTCTTTATTCCAGGAATATGGTCGACGCTAACATGGTTTGTGTGAAGGTCCTATGGGCCTCAGAAGGTTAGACTATGAAAAACAGATCGAAGCAGAGAGATTTTTAAGAAGAACTGTTTCTATTCTCGATCACAATGCCCCAATCACAGACATTAGGCGCCGAATGTCTCCTTTTGCCACAAGGAATGTTTCATAAAGAGGTCCAACATTGTCATACGGTTAAAATGAGTTACAGAAAATTTAATCGAGAGAAAAAACATCTTGACGATTTGATTTGTTAATAAATATATTTCCGGAATGAGGAACATTTGCTCAATCGTAAAATAGATTAATTTTTAAAATTTTTTAAAAGAAATATATTATTTTCTGAAGTCTCTGTGATGAATCTTTGGCGATCAAAAGTCATTTTAGATTAAAACCAACTCAACGTTGCAGTTTACATGTCTACAACAGACTACCAAGTGGTTTTATTTTCCTTTTATCAGAATTTCCGTGAAAAGAAAGCCCAACATCTAGGCCACTTATTGTTATTTTTTTTTCGAAAAGCTGACAAGATGAATCGCTTTGGTGAAAAAGTCTTTAAAGGTCACCTAGTTATTCAGTAATTGCAAGGCACCTTATGTCTCAAATCAATATACTTACCTTCATTTATCCTGGGAGCTTTTGATGTGATCCATTCAAACAAGCTTAAAGACTGCTAAACATCTTTAAATTTTCTTCATTAATTAGAATTGTCTGTGGGGTGCACATTGTTTTTTTGTATGGAGGAAAGAAAAATAGAACATGTCTTATGATATCATGAGATGCTCTCTGCTTGCCAAAGATGATTTAAAATAATTTTTCGCGCGCAAAAAAATAATCGAGTCTCGAATATAAATTGTAAATGCTTCGCGCTGTATTTTACGCACGAGATATTTCCAAATTCTTCCTTAAAAGTTTGCGCCAATAAGATGTTTTTCTGTTTCGAAGCTCAAAACGAAATCATCTTGTATTCGATTCATGAATTTAATCATGAATTTAATCTTTAACTAGAGTTTTGACGGTGCTGCATTAACTATCAGAACTAAATATGATAACATCTTGTCCTCCTTGGTTTGAGCGGAAGTTAGAAGTTTATTGCGTCCACGTATGATACAAGAGTTTAATCGACCTTTAATAACACAGTTATCTACTTGCTCTTAAGTAAATATTGGCTTGATGTATTTGGCATTCTATTATTTTACTGATAAACACGCTCGTTATCAACTATTGTAGACTCAATGACGACTAGAGGAAAGAAAGATAATCAATTATTCCTTTTATCGTGCTTTTAAGAACGATATAAGAAATTGGTTTTGCAAAAAGCCATTATAAGGACAAAAGCTAGTTTCCAAATGCAAGATAAAGTGTGGTGGAAAGGACTCATGAATTTAGCGTTCTCAAAAATCGATTTTTAATTATTTTTCTCTTCAGGAGTTTTTACATGCGAGTTTTACGTCAGTTTAAGAGGTCAGTTTTATGAAATGCAATCAGTCAACATCTATCAGTCTTTTTGTCTTTGTTTGAATGAGATGTGTCATTGAAATTTCTTACGAATAGCGAGTTAATGCAAAATTCCACGTACAACAGTTGGTGACACATTTTCGATTTTTTCTATTTGGGAAATTTAGACCAGCGTTTGTATTGTTCTGTTTTATTTTTTCTTTTGAGCAGAGATATCTTTTGTTTTCCCTTTTCAACAGAGTGACTGTGATCGTTTCTTTTGTGTAAGATCGCGAAAGAGATTTGAACAAATCACAAAAAAACTTGTGGCTTATGAATTAGCAAAGAATAGGTGTGTTTCGTTCTATAACATTATAAAAATAAATTTTGAAAAAACCTGTAGAAATAATTAGTATGTTACGAGCATAAATTTATACAACTGAACTGATTTTTTAAAAAATGTATAAATTGCTTGGGAATAACTTTTATTGTCGCAAAATTATGAGAACCAATTGCCTTGTAAGAGAAGAATATTTTCCCGGTGAAACTTTTAGAATTGAAAGCTTTTGCCGCTAAAATTTGAAAGAGAGTGAGTACTTCTAGGAATTTTTTTCTATCGCGCTCAAAGTATGTACTCCATTAATGCCTTTGAAAAAGTTAAGACATAAAACAAACAAAGCAAAAAAAAAAAAAAACAGGAAAGGGAATGAGATGAAGATTCTTTGGGTAATAGATGCGGAATGACTTACAGAAAGGGCAAAGAAAAATGAAATTGAGCAGGAAATCTGGACTTGAATGAAAGAGTACCTGCCTAGTTGTAGGGACACCATTCACTCGCAATTGACCAGAGAGGTCTTAAAACTCTTTCGAATTCCGTTTGTTTTAGTTTTTCATTGCTTTTAGCATTAGATTCCTTCTAACCCAAATGGTTTTCCTTTATAAATTCTTTATTGTAAATATTTGTCAATGACTCAGCCTACGCAACAGCTTTCTTGACTTGTTTTAAAGTAGTTTGAACTCTAAATTCCATTTTCAAGGCGCAGCTCTCTTCACAATAAAGAACCAGCGTGCTAGAATTTATTCTGCAATTCTAGATCTGTCACTAGACGATTAGACTGCACTTGTGTCACTTCAAGAAGACGAATAGCTGCATGAAATAAACTGTTCAATTGTATAATTATTTATTTACAGTTACATCGGCTGTAAATTTGTTTTAACGTTGTTTTTAAAAACTCAAGATGCAGTTTAGAGAATCCATTGGCAGGCAATGTTCCTCAAATTAAAAGTACGGAAATATTACTACATTTAAGTCTGGTAGACAACCAAATGTGTTGAAGTTATAGCCATTAATAGTCTTAAGTTTTGCTTAAAACCGTACATTCACTTTGCCACTGCCACATGTACCTTTTATGTATATACTTCTGAATTTTGTTTAAAACTACTTAGAAATGATTTTGAAATTGGGTTCAGTCCCATTTTATTTTCTACTGAGAATCTGCACAATATTCATCTGATGTTCTTTGGCTCGAAGGCGAAGAGAAGCAATACTCGAAACTCGGTTAGTTTCCCTCGTCATTCCACCAGAATGTTCGGGTAAGACATCAAATCCTCGCCCGGACTCCTCAAGTCGGTAGGGGGGTGTTATAAAGCACGGGCTTCCCGTAGGAGACAGCACGCTGCAGGAGCAAGGGCACTCGCGAGGATCGGGACAACCGGGGCGCATAACAGTCGGAACTTGCGAACGGAAACACTGCATGGGATGCGTTGTGGCTTGGTAAAAGGACGAGCATATGTCGCGTGGGGTATTGCCGTGTCCAAGACCCGTGGGGAAGGTCACAGGGTACGATGTGTTGGGAGAGAATGGCTCCTGGTGTAACCAGGGGTAAACCATGCCGTGTCCGGGGGGAACTGCTCCAAAAGCACATAGCTTTTCACGTTTTCGCCATTTTGCTCTTCTGTTCTGGAACCAGACCTGAAGACACAAGTTGAAGAATAAAATTTACTTACATTCTAGGTTTTCCTTCACTCTCTGATGTCCCAGGATCTGTTTTATAAGTGCATATCAATTTGAAATATCAGAACAATATTTTGGGAATCGTGTACATCGATAGTGATATCCATTTGGAAATAAATGGGCGAGACGTCTCGGCTCGTTTGAGTCTCGCATTTCCGACATCCGCAAAATCTACCGCCCCCAAAAAATGAAATGTAAACTTTGTTATCTACGTGGATATCATTTGTGTTAAATGAACTGATCAGTTAACGTCGTTCAAACTTGGCGTTTTCAGAGATGAACCACCAACCGTTGCATCTTTATTTTTAGGAATATGTGTTCTTGGAATTATCAATGTTAGTTGTTTTATGAGAACAAATTTAATGCAATAACAAGCACTAGTTAATGATATACGACAGCAAAAGTCTTCGATAGGCAATGAAACGGTGACTTTGATAATAGAACATTTCCTATCCAAAGAATAAAGCATTTTTCATTGGTTAAAATGTGTCGATAGGCAGTTGCACTCAGCCAAGACAGCGAAGGCTTTAAATTGATAATGTCAACTGAAATTTCAAACGATCCAATTTTTTTTACTGAGACACCTAACCACCATCAACTTTCATAGATTTGATAGATTAACGCTAAAAACCCTGTCAGAATCGTCAAAAAATTTGCTAGATACATCTTTTGTTTTCGGTTGAAACAGCTATGCTTAGTACCTATTTGAAGGAGTGTAAAATTCGAATTTTAAAGAATACCTATGACCGATATATTTGTCGCTTGTTTTTCGGAACAGAGTCGTCAAATTCGAGCAAGAGGAACGGATAGCGAATTTAATTACTGGAAACAAATATTTGAAACCAGTTCAAACGTGGCATTTATATTTACCTGAATTCTTGCTTCTGTCAAGCCAAGTTTAGAGGCTAATTCTTCCCGTGCAAATACATCCGGATAAGGGGCTTTGTCGAATGCTCGTTCAAGCTCTTCTAGCTGATACTGACTAAAAGTTGTGCGGTAGCGAGTCTTCTTTTTCTTCGCTGAAGCTGAAGCGTCCTCGGACGACGAGTTCACCTCTTCAGTTTCTTCATCTCCCTCTACCGGAACTTGTTCTGCGGAGACAGTCTCGATAGCGTTGCTTTCTGCTATTACAAGGAAAATCACAAAATGTTATTCCATGCGGTAAGGGACTTCATCTCTAAAACAAAACCTTCTACTTGTAAATTGAACAAATAAATTCTCGCGCGATTTCGGAGAGTAGATTAACAGATGCTTTTTTAAATGTTTTCGTTCACTTACTTTCAATGTTGCATTTTCTCTCCCCCTATTATGAAGCGGAAAATGTTTTATTGAACTCATAACACCGCAAATTGTGGTTGTTTTCTTGGAGTTGTTAAAGACTACAAAGCTAGGCCGTTAATTTTCTTTGTAAGGTGCCAACTTCCTAAAAACCCTACAGTGAAGTTAAACTACCACTCTACGCGGTGATATCAGACTCATTCTAAAGTAAAACAACTATTAACAAGTTGCCTAGTTAACAATCTTAATAAATGCGAGTAAAAGTTAAGCTAACCAGATTTTACATCCATGTCTTTGCCAATGGTGAACTCAACCCGGTCGTTTTTAAAAAACACTTTTCTCGATCGTTGTCTGTCTAAACTGACTATAACAGATGGGCAGAATAGTTTTTATGAGTTTTGCGGGCAGATTGTCTCTTATGTCTCTTACAGTGATGGACAAAAATTTAAAACTTTCAAGGGCTTTTCTTAATATTGGCTCTTCATCCAATGAAAGTCCACGGTTTGGCGTTAATAGATATCTACCTTAATTTAGAATACTCCGCATCCATTCTTTGCCACATTGTCGAGGCGATTTCATTTGTGTCGCCCCTTTGTTTCAGACGAAGGAAAACAATTAAAAAGGAGCAATTTATTAAACATTTGCTTTGTTTATTCAAAACGCCAAAACGCAGCAAGCCAGAAAACCAAATCATTAGAGTTCAGGTCGCCAGAATTGGCGTAAATCGCGAAGGGGCGTGCATGAAAAATAATCCTAGCGAGATTTTATTCAAATGGATTGCGTTTTGTATAGCATGGAAAAGCGATGAGCTATTCTTTCATACAAATTGATGTAAATTGAATTGAATATTAGCAGTTATTAGGGTCAAGATGGAACCAGCTGCTATGAAATGGTGTTCACCGCTAATAGAGTTTAGAGCAACAAATATAGTCAGTTTACGAAATACAACACTTTTCTAAAACCTCCTTTGTTTGGATCGAATTTCGTGTCTCTTAGATTTTTTCTTCAAAATTATTTCTCTGCATATCGCGAGCTTTGAGACATTAAATTTTTCATTTCCCTGAGGTTTGTATATTTTGAAATTGCACATTGCGCTCAGACGAGACAAAGTTGAGTAACGAAGGCAAGATAGAAATACCTTAAATGTTAATTTACGTAAATCGTTGTGCGAATTCTCACATCGTGGAGTGTTTATAAAAATTAAGCCAAAAAAAATTCGCCGAGAATATGAACTACCCTGAAAAAAGACGAAGTCATAACACTACGTTCCTCAGCGATTCATTTGCAAGAGGTTGTTAAAATAATCGCATCACTGCATAATAAAATAACTGCAAACTCGATTAAAAGCGCTTTACACTTGTCGCTAGCGAAACACTCATCATAAACATTTACTAATGGCTGATTTTAAGCAAAGTAGGCAGAATGTTATTGCTGCTTTTGCAAAACTCATGATTCATCTAAAAACTGCCAAAACTCTATTTAATTTCTTGTCAAAAATTCGACGACTCAATAATATGGTATGTGACAGTCAACAAGCTGGCGAATTTAGGAAGGTACTCTGTTGAAAATGCGCATGATTTTTGATCAGTGATGTAGAAGTTTTTCCGTTGGGCGGCCATTTCTTTGCGCTGCATCAGCGTTCTCACGGTTAAATTACCGCCATAGTTTAAGCCAAATCAAAAGTCGAAGATCAAAGAACAAAACGTAGATCGAACTATTCCGAAAAGGTAGTTATTTTCAGTTAGATAGGTTGGTGATCATACCATATATTAGTGGATTTCAAGCTTTTGCTAAGAGATCGCTATGTTGACAGCCAACTTTAAAAAGTAAAAAGCAGAAGACGCAGATGAATCTCTACAACGACGAGTTAAGTTTACAGTTCAAATTACCATCCGCGTTAAATATATTGATTCAATTCCTCAAATTTCGTGATGTGAAAAGAGCAACTCGGACACATTTGGCGAGCGCGTGATGTAACTCTGCTAACACGATGCCGGCGACGAAAAACGTTTTCATTATTACCTTCTTTCTTTATCACTTCCCCCGCGTTCTCACCGTCTTGATCTTTCATCGAGTCAGAACCGCTTTTAAGGCCTAATATGCCGTTTATGCTATAGGAAAATACGCCATGTTTCTCTTTAGAAGAGGTAGTATCTACGCTGTTTCGGGCCTCCATTATACAGCGCTTTGGGCTAGGGAAGTTGTCACCACCTTGAGCTTCACCCACCTCTCTTATCAGAGGCGCAATAGTTTCTTGCTCATAATCACGAAGGGCTTAGTTAGTGGAGCATGAATGGTAGACCCACAGGGGAAATTATGCCCCTCACACAGTGACCGGCTTGCTAAATTAAATTGCTATTATTAGCAAAGGGATCCTTGCCTGGCGGTTTTCTTTGGGGTAAAGATTGGCTTTTCACAACCAATCAACGGATTTATACTCAACCACGGTTATTAGCAAAACATTCATTCAAGTAAAATATAATTAGAATTTATTAACATTAATCCCTATCTAGATTAACATAACAATCCTATACAACTCCAATAAAGACCTAATTATATCAACATTAAACTGCCTTTATGAGAAACGAGGAGTGTTATTTATGCGAAACTTCTCGAGCCGGCAAATTATTCCTTCTTTGCGTTTCGCAGCTTCACCTTGGGTTGACAGCTAAGCCAAAGTGATGTAGATTTTCTTCGAAATAAAATTCTTGGTAGATTTATCCTTAGACTCGGCATCTTCGTAAGCAAATAATATGGGCAGAAAGAAAACTCGAAATAATGAAATTTACACATTTTTGATGAGAAGTAATTGGGCGTAATTGCCGCCATCTTGCGAGCGCCGGCCAAAGAAGTCTCTTTAATTAACACTGCTTTTCTTCGCTCGTCACCAACATCAACAAATATTTTCGCTGTTGTCAAGTTTTGAGAGTACATACAAATAACTGGTTGAGTTATCTCCTCAAATTTAAGAGAGTTACCGTAAAATTTCGTCGGGCTATAAGCTTCGGTATCTAAGCATGCTTTCATCCTTCATGTCAACATTTGAGAGTGTTTCAAACCGCTCAACATCTTCAGCAGACCATGGTCCTTTTGCCCATGGACCTACCCTCTCATTTTGTTTTCCTTCATTTCATTCTCACTAGAAAGCCGGCCGGTGAACACTCCTGTGAATCTTTGGCCTCCGATATTAGGATCTGCGAGCAATTAAATGATGATAACATTTCAATGGCAACATTCAATTGGAAACAATTAAGTACCACTTCTACTCATGCCAATTTTTCGGATGTTGAAAAATTCGACTCGATTTGCATCATTACCGCCGCAGATATGGAAATGGTGATAAAAAATGAAATATTTATCTGCTTCAAGATGAAGAAATGGAAATTCTAGCAATGATACTAGTATTATACACGCGTCTTGGCAAAAAGAGGAAATTAAACCAAGGCTAGCTTAAAGGAGATTAATGCAATTATGGCTCTTTATCGCGTTGCTTGAGCCGACTTCGTTAGTTTGCGCGAAAGACTGTCACCTTCTCAGGAAATGAAAGTAATACAGAGCAACGGAAATTCATTTGAGATTAATAGCCTTAAATTGAAGTGTTCTAGCGGACGTTGAATTGTTGTTTTTCCAACAGAAGAGGCATGAGCTTGCTAGTGAAATGTTTGCGTGTTTCTCAAGGGCTTTGTAAAGCATTATTAAGCCGGCATCGATGCAAAGGTTTAACATGTATTGTCGACTTTCTTACCGACTTGTCAAATTCTATTGATATGTAATTAACCTCTTAATTAATATCATCTCCTAATTAGAAATGATTAGTAGAGGCGAGAAGCCGCTCGCGTTAATAAGATGTTCGTTTGAGCAATCGCAGGAAATTATAAACAAACATGAAAAATACGCGAAAAATACGCCGCTATTTTCTTTCAGGTCTATCAAACCATCAACTTCCCTTGAACAATAAAATTTTGACGCGCAAACAAACTTGGGATTATGCACGCATATTACATTTTGCTAAGGTTTCAAAGTTGTACTCGCTGTTTTCTTGCGCGAATGAAGTGAACACTTATTTTGTCAAGAAGTAATTACTCTTGTCAGTAATTAGTCTGTCTAACGTGCGACAAACTAATTGTTTCAATTGGAAATCTTTTATCCGACTAATTCTACTTCAACCGTAGCCGCTTGCCCGAGGCCAGCACAAAGTTAATCCCACTTAGTGTATTTTTAATAACCTGCACCGTTGGACAGCCGAGCGGTGAAGAGATACTTATAATATAAAAAATATTTGCTGTCGTGTTTGATAGTGTTTTCTGTTATCTTGTTATGGGTTGTGATACAATTTCAGTTTCGGCGTGTGCCCTTTCGATGAGGCGACGGACTCCATAGAAACATTTGAGCAAACGTTCATCGGTAATAACCAGTTCTCTCTCCGATGAAACTTCGCTTGAAATAGTTTACCAGATTCAGTCAGCAACCAGAAATCCTAAGCTCATAAAAATTAACTTCCGATAGTGAGGAGGTTGTTTTGACTTGCGGAGAAAGCAAAGCTTAAAGGAGGCTCATTATGAAAGAGCAATTAAATAATATGACCTTACGTAATTAATGCGATTGGCTAGCGTGGAATGTGTCATTTATTACAGAATGAGTAATCAATCACAGAAGGCAACTTCATCTCTGATCGATGAAATGTTTTGAAAATGGTTATTTTAATCTGCTGACCCCCTCTCGGATTGAGACATAATTAAACGTTGATAGAAATTCTGGCTGAATACTTTCAGTTTGAGAAAAAATGAGAGTTGGATTTAAGAAAGATTTCCCACCGTTTTTATCAAGATATTATTGTTTGAATGTAATGTTACGAGTATGAAGATACAGTGTCCACACAAACTTTAGCCAGTCAGGTCTGCTAATGACTGTTCATGAAGTTCTTAGTTATGGTAATTTGTGTTTAATTTTATCACTGACACTTTTCGCCCACACAAACTAACTATGAATTGAATTTTCCCCAAACCCCAAACGAGGCGGACTTTAATGCTTGCAGAATCGTGCGTTTCTTTGGGGAGAGTCCTCTTGGTTAATAGATACTTATTCTTATTATTTCCTCCATTTCAACAATCAAAACCTTTGAATAATTACAACAAGACAAAGAAATGGAGAAGAGCCCAATATAGCAAGCTAATTAGATGCCCTTTACGCTAAATTACATTTTTTCATACAGCAATATCAAAGCGATACATATATATATAAGAGAGGGAATAGGAATCACACGATATAAAGATATTAATTAGTACTCAGAAAACTAATACATAATAGTAAGCTTCTCCCGTATTGATATGTTGGACAGAATCTCCTCATATTTATTCTGATGCGTCTAGGGTTCAGGTACTGCAAAGATGTACTTCTGGTGGCATAATCGTGGATCTCAGATATAAAAGAAAGTGCAAAATTAGATGATTTTGTTTATCTACAATATGATCGTAAAATAGTAGACTCGTACTTAACTTAATTATGTCAGGAAGTTTAATAAGGCCAAGGTTTACATAATGGGGAGTACTATGGTCACGAAGTGGTACGTTATTGATGATTTTCACAGTTTTGTATATATACTTAACCCCTTTCACCCCTGCAAGTGACTGGCACCTTATTTCTCCCAGCAGTGTCTCACCTGAATCAAACACGAGAACAAAGAAAATGACTACCAACGGGAGAAACTTATGACATGTAAACAAATTCTCCTGGTCAGCAGCAGCCTCGGAAATGAATAGAGAACAGTATGGAGAACATTCATACCGATGTTAGGGTGTAAAGGGTTTAGCGAAATCTATTTTAATTGGTCAGACAACATCCATTTGACCTGCCGTAGAGCTTTTCTTCCGAGACAATCTGATGTAAAACATGATAAGCTAAATAAATCCTGATGGGGACAATTTGGGCGAGAGGTGGGTGATACGCGTCAACCCAACCCCCTCCCCCCTGGCTTAGTCCTTTAGCTCACTAGTGAAGACAGGAAGGAAGAAAGAGGGGGGAGGATCACTTGTTTTCAGGGGGAACGGAGGGAAGAGCAGTCGTCCCCAACAAATTGAAAAGAGGGAATGGGGAGACCATAGGAACTTGACTGCCGATTAACTGGCAATGAGGGAAATCATGAAAATATTGCAGAGTCTCATGAGGGGACTAGTTAAATTGTATCGTGACACAACAACACAAAATCTTCCCGCCCCCCCCCCTCCTTCCTTTCCCCCAACCCAAAACCCCCTCCAAGGCGATAAATTATGACCGTTACCAAAACTAGATAGATATGTGTCACCCAATTGGATTTTGCTTTATTTGAGCTGTTTTGGTCTTAAAAAGGCCGAGGTAGAGAACGTGACTGAGTTATTAAATCCAAAATGGTTTTTCAAGGGAACCACGACAGGTGTTAAGTGAACTACAAATGAATGGTAAAGAAAAAAAAATGAGCCAAAATGTATCATCTGAGCTTGATTTTCAGGTTAATATTGCTGACCTTGGTCCTACAACAAGGCGAAGGTTGTACAACTTTAAGAGGAAGGTCTGGATACGGGAGCCAAGTGGGACTGCGCACAGGTGCACCCCCACCGAGAATAACGAAGAGTACCCTTTGAGCAAAATCTGTCTCTGCTTAGACCTCAGAGAATGGTATACATTTGTCCATGCGAAAAAAAATTTAAATAAAAAAACCTCATTGTAAATAAGCATGATTATTTGTTTTTCTTCTTTCCCGGCAATTATTTTTTTTTTCGACTAACCTGCTACAGCCACGTTCAACGCATCCAGCCGGTTTCAACAAGTAATTACTCCTTAAGCTAATTAAGTATTCTCATATCGCTGAATGAAGAGGTGGCCTTTGATCACATCTTTGGATTAAAGAAAATTTAAAACTTGTTCGGTTCAGCTCTCGCCTGCCGATGAAGTGGCACTGTTGTCTTTTTGAACCATGGTTATGTTTAACAAAACGCACCTCTACGTAACTCGGAGATATTAGTAAGTTATCGCTGCGTAACTATTGTTTAGTTCCACAAACGAGGTCCATATTTTTTTTTTAGAAAGGTCATCTTTTCTTCTTCTTCAGTGTTTCATGTCTGTGTTATGAGCTTCACTCAACTTGAATTTTCAATGTTGTGGTTAGTTTCAACTGTTGATATCGACGTTATCATATTATTTTTCATTTCATACGGCAATTTCTAAAATTTCATGAACAATTCTTTAAAAAAAAGACATCAGCAACACACAGTAGTCCCAATCTACGACTTTTTTGATGAAGAGAAGTATCAGTATTTAAGACAGTGACTAATATTTGAAAACAGAGAAAAATCAC